CGAGCAGAGGTAGTCGCGCTGGTCTGACTGATGGGCGATGCGCAATGCTTGACGTTACGGAGTGCAGGACCTCACTTTACAGCACATCGCATACAGACACATGAACCAGTGATCGGCGATTCCGGGTGTGAGAATCCAACCACTAGGAAGTGTGCAAGACATGATTCGGCAACGGCAAACAAAAATTCATATCAACAGGCCAGACTACAGCAGCCCGAAGGGTCGACAGCCCGACCCGAAGAATCCGATCGACCAATGTGTCCGTGTCCCGACATGCACACGACGTTAATAGGAAGAAAATGACCTCCCTGGCCGCAGACCACCAGGACGAAAACGGATCGATCGAGCAATCTTGGTCCTGCAGCAAGCCATATTGGGCGTTGCCTTGTTTCTGCATGTACTGCATGTAGGTATTGTTCAAGGGACTAGCACTGCTACACCACCGACTCTATCTATCTGCAAGCGATACGTCACCCTTACATTCCCCTGTCCAAACAGGCTCTGATGCGGCAAGGTGCCTCCCGCGCATCGTACGACAATTGCTGACGCCAAGGCTGCTCTAGGTCGCTGTATTTGGTAGCTCCATAATGTTTAGGCCTTAGGAGCTTTTCTAGCGAGAGAAATCTTTCTACCTTTCTGTAGTTAGTTGTCTGAATAAGGGGGCGATCTTTGAAACCCTTACGGCGTTATAGCGCTAACATACGTCCCGTGCGATGCCGAGTCGATATGTGTTTCAGGCTTATAGAGCGGTTACCGTTATGGAAAAGAGGCTCAGCAATGACTGTATCTGGGCAGGATTACGCCTCACTTCGCGCGCTGAGCGAGATTCGAAGTTCTCGAACCATGGGGAATGGGATCTGCGGCGTTGCAACCATAAATGGCTCACAAGCAAGAGTCAGTTCTAAGCACATTTCTCTCTTGCTCTCTTTCTTGAGTCCTGCGTCCACCTCTTCTACGTCTTTCTCCCTGACGCAGGGTTCGTGCGAGTCGAGCTGTCAGTTCCATTTCGGGCTTCTTGCATTTGCGACAGCGCCGATCCGCATCTCAGACACACGTCTTTTGAGCTTCATGCTTGATTTTTGGGCTGCAATCCCCTGCGGCATCGCTGGGTGCGCAGCGGGACAAACCCATTCTGTCAAATCATGAGACGAGGAATTGCGCGTCCGGCGCCTCGACCACTCAGGAGCGAGGATTCTGACAGTGCAATGCGTCGCGCCGCTCCGCGCCACATGGTGGCTCCCTTTGTGGTGGAACACAGGACCTCTTAGCTTGTAGGAGGGAGAAGCTTTTTCGAATAGAAGTGCAACGCCGAGCGAGCTGCTCATGTGCTTCCGGCTCGTCGGTATACTTGAGAGCGTCCAACGCGCGGGAGACTTTGACGTGGCTGAATCGTTTGATCTCGATCGTCTCGTTACATACCGTGAGTGCGGGATGTTGAGGGGGTGAGTGGGATGTACGAAGCAGTAATAGGGCCGCTGGGCAGTCTCTGTCCGATCATACGACTTTTAATCGCTTCGAAGAGACGAAGGGGTCAGAGTCTGGTAGGCCTTGCGAGGACTTGAGTCGAGCGATTTGAGATGGTACTGCTATTATAGCGTCTAGTATGGTCGGTCTCGGCCGAAGGGCTATCCTATTCCTGGGTCGAGCATCCCTCTGGCTGTTTGGTTATTTTGACTCCTTGTGCACTGTGTTATTAGTTATCGTTGCTTGACTGATGTAAGCATGGTGACTTGTGACCCCGTGGTGGTGAGATCAAGATGCACAGCGGTGGTAGGTCCCGCGTTCGTTGGAGGACAACAGGAGACCAAAAATTGAATAGTCACTTTAGCAGTTGATAGATACCCATCATTGATTCCCTGATACATTTCGCTGTCATTCGTTGCACTGCTAACGTGCTGCCGATGTGTTTGAGGTTTTGCACCTTGCTCACAGAGACACTGGCACACTTTCCAATCAATTAGAGTCTACATTCAACCAATTCTATGGCTGTTCAGTCGTGTTTGAGCACCGTGAATCCTATTATCGTGTCGTATCAAGATCATATTCTTCTCTTGATGCCCGACCGACCTGTCCGTTCGTACTCGTTCGACGATCGTTGAAGAAGGTACTCACCGAGAAGCGCACCTTCCCTTGACCTTGCAATTGAGCCGACCTCTTGTCTATCCACTCTTCACTTCATGATCTCCAAGACGACTTCATCTAACCACATCTTCCTACTCATCGCTGTGAAGTTCTCCTCCCTCCCTCTCCCCTTCTCCACGACCACAGCGTCGAAGCGGAACCTCTTGAACGAGCCTCCGAGCGAACATCCACACCTCATACGTTGAAAATAGGACGAACGGCATCATACCGACGGCCGTTGAAGCTTCCTATCACGCTTCGTTCCTTCGCTTCCTCCTCCGAACCTACGTACACTAGATGACGACTCGTCTCCTATATACCTCCTCCATCCTATCTGTCATGATCCATACCGACACTCCACCGAGAGCACCTCCAGCTATCTATACACCTTACATACCGTTTATTATCATACTGGCGGGAGAAATACACGCTGTACCTTGCAGTCAACAACCCCAGGGAAAGGGGGAGGGTGCGGATCGAAGACAGAACTGATGCTTTCACGGTTCAGGGGGGCGTACATGAGTATCTATCTCCGATGAGGCTTCGTGTAGTTGATAATGCGTGTAACAGAGAACCAGATGCCATCAACAGTATATGGGGATAGATATGTGTTGGCTAGTTGACTGTCTGACTACTTGACTCCATCACTACTCGACCACTTTGGGTGGTAGGTGAGGTTTTGTTTATTGTGTGTACTTACTTGTGTACATGAAGCTTGCTGTAAGTAAACCTTGGGTATGTGTCAAGTGTTCGTGGAGGAAGTGTTCAGGGTAGGTGAGGTGAGGTTATGTATGGCGTGGCATGCTCTCCACGGTACTCACTGCCGTGGGACCTCGGTGGAGGTGAGGATAGTGGCAGGGCACTCGTATGTCTGGTTGCTACTTAACATTCGATGTGAAAAGGGGTACACGTTTATGACTTGAACACGCTGTCCAAGCAAGCCGAACACAAGCTTGAGGGACGGGAAAGGGGGTAGTAAGGCGAGGTAACCACGGTGGAAGAACTTAATTGAATGATGGCTTGCGTATCGATACATCTTCTGTGATTTGATCACAGACATAGTAGATGTAGGAAAGGATGTTGAAGAGATAGACTGGAGTGATGTCTTGAACTTTATACGTGCAATATCAACCACGTTAAGTTCTTTTTTTTTTTTGAGAATATCCTGCTATTTCTATCCAGCTCTTTCACACAATCATCTTTGAGCTGATTCACTACATCACCCCTTTCCCCAGGGACACAAATGAAGATAGGTGAGTTTCTCGCCTCTGTTTGAACTGGATATTGCTTTGAACCACCTGTGGCTTTAAATGTTTCCACGAAAACGAAATCGACGGTGTTCAATAGAAGAATTTCAATTTTCACTCAATCGCCCGCAAATCAATCATCCCAATCCAACACACTTGTTCGTTCCAACGTCTCATGGCTGGTCGAAGACGACCTCTACGCACAAATCACTCCGCCGACTAACATTCTCCCCTGGTAACGGATATACATATATCTTTTGACTGATCGGTAGTGCCAAGTCGGATACTGTTCAACAATATACAGAAGCAATATTTTAGTATTTTACTTGCCCGGGTATCTGTCCGATGATTTGATATGGCATTCTTCCCATGATGACATCAGTCATTATTATCATAGACCTCAACGTAGTTCTGGCGTACTGAAAATGAAGAGTAGAGAAGAACCACGCCCAACAGTCGTACTATTTCCCGTGATCAAAGTCCTTACAAGTAGATCATTATATGATCTATACAGTCCTTCTTTCCTGCCTTCCTTGTACACTATTTTTTTCCCTATGGAAGAGATCATGTAATCATCGTTCAGCAGTGCAGAAGGGGAAATCAACATTCTTCTTTCTCTTCAGTGGGTTTGGGTTGACACTGATATATTCGGTCTGGAGCTTGAACAGCTTATGGTACTTCGTATTATGGCGGATATATTTATCTGCTTCTCAATTTGTCGTATTTTGAGGGGGTCTGGCAGAGAATAATGGGGAGTGTGGGAGATAGAGCTTCCATTGATGTACAGATAGTGTTCGTGATCTGCATGAGATACAGAGTCAGTGGAGGATGTATGTAAATGCCTTTTGTATATAGGAGGCCTAGGAGAGACATAACATGGTAGAATCTTGGTTGACGTATGTACAGTTGGTATGATATCAGACTAGCCCTTAGCTATTCTAATATGCCTACAACTACAGCAAATGTGGGGGTTTAAGTACTACTGGTTGACCGGTTAGACTGTACAAGAAGCTATCAAGCAGCAAGCCCATCTTGATAATCTTTATGGGTTGATTGTAGCAGATTCAATTAGTTATACTTATATTCACATCTCTGTCCAGAGACAGGAATTTATTGTATATTCATAGGCTTTAAACACCTGTTCTGTTTTACCTTATACTCTATTCAAAATGCTAGACATAAAAATATGTTAAAAGAGTATACAGAGATTGCAAGAAAATAGGCGAGCGTGCTTTGTAGCCCTAGGGAAAAGAAAAGAGAAATATATAATAATATACTCTAAGAATAGGGGAATGCTACTTTGCAGTTATTAGAATAGAGATAGATCTATTCACTAGACTCCCTAGCAGCATTATAGATACAGACAGACAACAGATAGACAACAGAGTAAAGTAACACCTAGAGTATTTATTCTAGTATACAAAAGATACAGCAAGTTATATAGGGAGGGCTTCTATACTCAGTCACTTACATGTCTTGATAAATATATTATTATTCTGTATTAGCAGAGTGCTGAATAATAAAAGTTAAGACTACCTCTCTAACAGGACCAGATACATGTCATGCTAATATTTGTACGCTATCTGCCTGCCTGTCTATCATCTATCTATCACCTACCTATCTATTGTCTATATGCCTGTATATGTGAAATGTCTGTCTGTTCATTATCTACATGTTTGCATAGTCTGTTGTCTGTCTGCACGCATAAATATTAACAGGACAAGCGAGAAAATGTATTAAACCTGACTTATTTCGTGGATATGCCTTTTAATCTGCTATAAAGACTACGTATTATATTCTACTGTAATACAAAGAACAGGCAAGCAGGGACGTGTAAAGCTACTTCAGTAAGTTATTGCTTGCCTGAAGCACATTACTAGGAGCCCTCTAAGAAAGGCAGACTACATCATATCACATCAAGTGATGTTGAGTTACCTATAGATCTCCCCTACTGGAGATGAGAACAAGTCCAAGCTTGGACGCATATCGGATGGTACATCACGGACCTGACAACAGCCCCACGATAAGAAAAGAAACCTGTCGCAGATCTAGGACGAATGCACCTGAGAACATCTGGCCTGGACAGGCGAGAAGAGATCCACATCAGACAGCCTCGTTACCTCGAGTCCTAGACCATGGCGTTTCCGGGCCATCTGCGTCGCTTGGCAGATGATATCGAACCATCCACGAAAGCGGTGCGGTAGAAGTCCAGACGACGGAGCAGACGGCAACGTAGAAAACCGGAAAGGATGTTCTATTGGATTCCTTTGCGGCGGACTGGACGGTGTCTCAGACATGGACTCGACGGGATGGCTGGAGGCGGAAAGGATGACGCTGTGCGTGGATGGGTTATGGAGCTGTGTGTATGACAAGGCTGACTTCTGGGTTGTGGATTGAGTTATGGCGCATGCTGGGATGGAAAATGGACTATTGGTGATTAGATTAGCATCGTGGAATGTCGATCTGTTGATGAGACTGCATGGGCATTGGAAGTGCGGAAGTTGAATCATTTCCACAGTGTAGCGAAGACGGCGAGCAAAGCGGAAGACAGCCACAACCGAAGCCGCAGCTGAAGCCTGAAGATCAAAGGTGATGGATGAGGTTGCGACGACGAAGCGTGTCGCCGACGTGCGTGTGACCCTGCATCGGGGAGGCGGTTGGGAAGGCGGATAGTCCCGAGGAGGGGGAAGATGAAGAAGTGAGATCGTCGAAACACAATGCGCTAGAGAGGTTTCAGAAGTCGATAACGAAAAAGAGTGAACAGAACATGTCGAATAAAAACGTAGAGGCGACTGGAGGGTTACACAAGTGGAGGTCGAGATTGGTGGTGTTGATGTGAAATCGCGAGGAATTTCCCGAAGCGGGATGGAGGCAAGTGTGGATTGGCTGAGGAGCGAGGAAAGAGGCTGCTGGCTGATGTATGTCTGGAAGGAAAAAGTAAGTACAAAGCAATAATGAGTGAATTGAGAGATTGCCTTGCTGGTGACTACTTTTCCTCTTCGGATCTGTGGAAAGCTGAATGAGTGGAGTCGTGAGGTTGCGGATGGAATGGAGAGCAAGTGCCACGTGGGGAGGTTTCCATCTTCATCGGATCTCATCGTAGCGCATCTCGTCTCATCTCTCATCTCATCTCTCATCTCATCTCATCGGATCGCATCCCATTTCACCACACCTGGAATGAGATGGGATGGGACCGGATGGGATAATGACCCCAGATGAGGTTAGACAAGAGGTTGTCTTGGGCTGGAAGAAGGGTCCAGCTCAGATTGGGGTTAGTGCAGGCATTTGCGACGGCGACCAATCGTTTGGGTTTATGCCCGGATCCCGGGAATCCCGCACCCGCACATGCACATGCGCGCTCGAAGCTCGAGGCTGGAGCTGTTGGGCACATTCAAAGTACACAGAATGTACAGTAATTGCTTGCACTAAACTGTATTGTGGCATTGCAATTCACGGTACTGCACGGTACTGCACAGCACTCTATGTATGTAGCCCGTACATTCAATATTGCACACTGCACGGTAAGCGACGGAATGCGGGATGCGGCAGCCGGGAAGGCAGAGAGATGCAGGTGTCCACTGATCGACCGTCTATTGCGTAGGTGGTGTAGTGTGTCAACCCTCGAGTACATACGATAAAGTATGTACTAACAAGAATTCCAAGGAATAGGTTGATTGTCTTTTAATTCATTCTCTGATCCTTTGATTGAGTAAGTACCTAAGCACTGGACGTATGGATGGACGTATGGATGGACGTATGGATGGATGGATGGATGGATGGATGGAGGGATCGTGGAGGCTTTTAGTGTAATGTCGAACCAAGGTACTTGCACATGTCGACTTTTCTCCCTCTGATACTACTATAGTAGTCGGCGTTTACCTAATAGATGCTTGGAGGTTGATGCAAAGGATCCTAGATACTTGGTTGGAGGTTACGAGGTATGATGGATATAAGATGTATGGATTGGCATGATGGTGACGAACGGAAGGTGAAACTGGACGGAGACGGGGTTGACGTAGGCTTGCATCATAGGAGAGGTAGGCGCACGTATGGGCAGGGCACTCGTAGGGCGAGGAAGGATTGCCGATCAGCGACGTCCAAGTGTTTTGGAACTTGTTGGTATGTAGGTTTTCCGTCCGGGGTAATGAAATGTATGATGGAATATGATCGTGAAGAAGCCGGCTGTAGAAATGATCTAAATGAGAAGAGATGGAGATTGGTTCATTTAATTAGTCGAAATGTCAAAGTGTCAAAAGGTGTCAAAGACGTCTTCCGAGTTGAATTGTAAGAAGGTCCCAAGAGATGCCCCAGAGTCTAGAGTTGTCTGAAGTGTGTAGAGTTGTGTCAAGTGGTTGCGCCAATGTTGAAGGCGGTTTCCTATTGGACGGGGATGGCTTGTCTGTAACGCCGCCTCTTGTCACTTCTTGTCACTCAATAATCAATCAAACCATGAGTAACTGCAGCACGACTATGAGTATCATATACTCGTATCACTACGGCGACTTCCACACTCCTTCTTCAATTGTATCTATTCTATCCTTTTTCCTGTGTGTCTAGGTATCTACGGTTCTCATTCTTTCCACTTGTTCTCCCTCCTCTTCATTTCCATTTGATCTTGCTTTGAACTCTAGTTATTCGGCGACATACCGTCCTGCTAAGAAGACGACCGGCGACCTCCCCATCTTGTCCAATACTTGGGTAGTTATAACTACTGTACGAGTCGCCATAACATAACCTCCTTTCAACTACCTCGCACACGTCAATTCGTCTTGATTAACATCGCCAATATTCGTTCATCCTGTGGAGGCGTGGCGTGTGTGCAGTGGGTGCTCTCTCTCACCTTTGAACCCTTCTTCTCCATTGTCTTCCTTCTCCTGCATCGGTACACGATGGAATAAGCGTCGGTACTGAATCCACTCACCCATTCGTCTACTCGTCCACTCATCCTGCCCCGGCTAAGGACCGAGCACTTCCCCTACCCTACCCTACCGTGCCTACCCTACCACGCCTAACACCCAACACCCCCCCCAAACCCTACCCTACCCGCCTCTCCTCTTCCTTCTCTCTCTCTGCTAAATAATAAACACACACCCTCCCCCCCCCCTCGCTCCTTCCCTAACTACTTCCTCGTTCCCTTCCCTCATCACGCCATAAATCATTCGATCTTTCGCTCTCTTCCGTCCCACAATCCCACAATCCCACAATCCCACACTCGCCCATTCACTTCCACCTGGACCACTGGACCGCTTCACCCTCTCCAATTATTCGTCGCCATTCACCACCGTTCCCAACAACTCGCATCATCTCCATCGTCATCACCATCATCATCGGCATCGGCATCATTACCATCATTATCATTACACCATTTCTATTACGAACTACACTCGACCATCCAACTCTATTCCCATATTCCATACGCATACTCTGGACTGGACCCCTGTATCTTTCATTCCCTATCCTGTAACACTGCGTCTCTGAGTCCTGCAACCTGCACGCTCTACTCTATTTTTCCCTTCCCATTCAATCGGTCCGCATTTCCTTTTCCATACTCATACACCCACCAGTGCGGAGTACCGAGTACAGTATTACTGTATAATACGGAAAAGCAGTGCAGTGCCATTCTACCAAATCACGGATCACGAGACCGCCCAATTCATCCACCCCCGATCTTCCGTCGTCGCACTCGGCTGCATCCCATCCCTTCAGGCTCCCACCGACCCTTCCACCCCATCCCTCCCCTTCCCTTTTCGAGAGGAACCTCCACGGCGCTCGTCTGATCTTTCTTCGAGAGAGAAGGCCATGAACTGATTTGATTGATTGCCTTCCCCTCGTCGCCTGCTGGTAAGACATACCCTACTCTCCTTCACGCCCGCTCCCTCGTCACCTTTTGCTTTCCCCTTCCACGTCAATTCTTCCACACCATATCATATCCCGCTATCCATTTACTGTTTCCTTCCCTCCCTTTGCCCACTGCCTCTGTTGTCTTCAATCCCATCTGCCCGGGTGTGGCTCTTCCCTCTTGTTACAACCCGGAATCGCCATTCGGTGTTGTACATACACCCGCCACCTACTCCTCCACTTACCCCCAAGACCCCCCAAACCGTCACTGCATTCGCCATGGCCACCATGGACGAATCACGCTCGCCTAACACTGTCCTAGACGACGGACTTGCACTCGAAAAGGTCGCCGTATGTCCTCGACTACTTCGTTGCTTTTTCACTTGTCATCGCTTGTTGGTCTTTTGCGCTAACCCACCATCCCTCACCAGGTCGGACCATACTGCATCTTCGATGCTTTCAAACCCTCCCCGAGTCCCCGATCTAACAACACAATAGCAGCCTCGCCCCTGCTTAGAAAAAAGGCCATCATGAACAACCTCCCTCTCCCAGGCGACTTCGCTTTCACAAATGCCGAGCGCGCCCCTTGGCTCACCACCTCGGGCGACGACATGGCCCTCACAGCACCTGCCCCTGAAGATTTCACCCGAAACGATTGGAACGAATGGATGCAATGGGACCCGAATTCGTCGCAGCATCAACAAGCCCAACCTCAACCTCAACCTCAACCACAAAACCAGAGCCAGGCTCAGCCGCAGCCTCGGGACGCGAAACCTCTGAACCCTCAGGGGCCCGTCTGCTTCCTTAAGCCCGACCAGCGCACTCCCCTCTTCAACCGCCGCCAGATCCCCCAACTACCTCAGACTTCCGTGGACATGCAATCTAGTGCCATGTCGGCGCCACCCCTCCCCGCTACACATCTCGGCACAGTGCCTTTCAGTTTTGGCGAAGGCGTAGTGCCTCCCACCGCGTTCGATTTCGCCGGAACCGCTCTGAGCTCTCCTTCCACAGGTGATGGCCAACAGCAACACGGATTCTACTCGCCACCTCTCTGGGACCAGCAACAGCAACAAGGCGACAGGAACCTATTCTCCCCACAGGCATTCGGTCACCACGGATTGGCTTCCGTTCCCGCTCCTCCTCTGTCCACGCCTAGCCTGCAGCACAGCCCGTCTTCCGTGAACAATGGCCGAACGAGCTCCTCATCCGCACAGTCCTCGCCAGAACCCAGTATCGAGAACACAAAGAAGCGAAAGTCGTCCTCCGAAGAGACCGAACCAGAGCCATCGGACAAGAAGGAGAAGCAGCCTCCCGTGAAGAAGACGGCCCACAACATGATCGAGAAGAGGTACAGGACGAATCTCAACGATAAGATTGCTGCACTCCGAGACAGTGTACCCAGCCTGCGAGTAATGTCGCGCCCCGGTGGTGGCAATGAAGAAGACGACGACCCAGAGGACCTGGAAGGCCTCACCCCTGCCCACAAGCTCAACAAAGCCACCGTGTTGTCGAAAGCGACCGAGTACATCCGCCATCTGGAGAAGCGCAACAAGCGCTTGCAAGAGGAGGTCGGAACGCTCAAAGGTAGACTGGATAGTTACGAGAAGATGGCCATATCGGGCCCAATGGCCTTGCACGGATCGGTGGGAACTCCGGACGGAAGCCGATATCACGACGACCCATTTGCACACCACGCCGCCATGCAGCAGGCCGGCCCACCGCAAGGCATGATCCCAGTGCCAGAGAGCATGGCAAACCTTCATCGCGGACTCCCACCACAGCCTCACTATGCTCCCCAGGCTGCCGCATACCAACAATACTCGAACGGCCCGGGCCGACCCACTCACGCTGGTCCACCGATGGTCAACAGCCGACGCAGCAGCGCAATGATGGGCAAATTGATGGTTGGTTCGTTGGCTGGCTTGATGATCATGGAAGGCCTCGTCGAGCGGGAGCAATCGCAGGAGGAGCCCGAAGGCCGCGGACTCTTCGCTCTGCCATTCAACCTCGCCGCTGTTTTCGCACCACGCGTTTCGCTGGGCGCTGCCTCTGCTCAGTTGCCACTCGCCAAGTTGTTGCTCGTATTTGGCGCAGTCTTCTACATCATCGCACCGCTTCTCGACTTCCGCTCCAAACCTAAGAAGAAGGCTCCTCCCGCAATCCTCCTGTCCCGTGCTCCGTCACTCGCGTCTCCCGTCGAAGTGCGCCGCAAGGCCTGGTTGACTGCTATCCAGACGGTATGGGTTCCTCGCCATAATTTCCTTCTCGAGGTCGCCGCTTTGGCCTTGAAGACCCTCAAGCTCAGCACTCGCAAGATCATCGGTTGGCCAGCATATGCTTTCCTATTCGGCATCACCAAGGAGCAAGAGGCTGCTCGAGTTAAGGCTTGGCTAATCGCTTTGGACGCTCAACTCACCGGAGGCGACGCTGAGATCAGCAAAAGCCGCCTGGTCCTTACTCTGATGGCATCCGGAACCCTGCCTGACACTCCAGCCCTTCTTATGCTGAAGGCGCTGCACATTCGAGTCTTGCTTTGTGAACTTGCGAACACCCGTGTCGGTGGTTGGAAGATTCTGGAGGACTTGAGCGCCATGTTGGCTCGTCGGTACTGGAACCTTGCCCGCACAGAGCACAAAGTCGCGAAAAACGCATCTTCCAAGAATTCGGATGTCGATCAGTTACCATCGCATCTTGCTGCGCTCCTTGAGATGGAGTGCGACGAGGTGTTGATTCCCAGCATCGTCCAGCGTGCCTACAACTTGGCTTGGAACAAACCCAGTGCAGAAAACACCACACTGGACAAGTCAATGGACGGCGTCGTCGAAGACTTTGCCATCTCTTCACCACTTGATGCTCTTGCAGCTTGGTGGTCTAGCCATGCGACCCGAAAGGCTCTTATTGGTTGCCTTGGTTCGAAGGGCAAGACTGTGAAGGACAGTGTCAAGCGGGAATTGGAGCTGGCTGGCCGGACGGCGCCGCCCACCTCCCAGGCCCGCATTCGAGCTCTTGCAGCGCAGGCTGTCGTCCTGGATGATAACCGAACGGACCGCATCGCGACTGCATTTGCCGCCCTTCCCTCCACTCCAGAACAAGCGGAGAACAAGAGCGTCTCCGTCAAGTTTGTCAACCTGATCAGTAACGACGCCCTGCCCGCCGATGTTCAGAATGCGCTCACACTTGCCAAATGCCTTGCCCTGGTCGAGTGTCTGAACCCTCAAGCTCGTCCCCGTGCGGTGCTTACCGTCAACAACCTGTCTTTCCCAGAAGCCACTACCACTTTGCTCAGTTTTGTCGCTGGCTACAAAGTGCTAAGGCACTTCATCAACAACCCATCCCTACAGTTTGAGAGCAGCGCTGGTCTGGAGCGTCTGGCAAGCTCTTTGCGCATGTGGATTGGGCATGCTACTGGCCGCCGCAGCGGCCTCTCCAACAAGATTCGTGCCCGTGTCATTGAACAATGCCTCGATGCTAGCAAGACCCTCGTCGGGTTGGCAGATCCCGAGGACATTGACGATGGCTATGTCAGTTCAAGCGTAAAGGACGATTGAACAATTAGGCGGGCACATTTTCTTTCTTTCTTTTTCTTCTTCTCCCAGTTAAACAATTCTTTCGCGGGATATACCAGGCAGGTGCCGGAATACTTTTTGATAAATAGGCGTTATTTGGATTCGAAGACCACGACAAGGCTATTGGTCATTGCATATGCGTTTACATCCCTGGCCGAGACCTATTCAGGCCCAAACAGAGCACTTTTGCTCCATTCAGATTTGGACCTCTAGAGATCAGGGACCAAAGTCCACTCATCCACCAACTTACTTTCTTTTGTCGATATTATGTAAGGCATTGGGACTAAATGAAAGGGGATATCCTTTGGGAGGAATCGCAGGAAATATGGGCAACGGAAGCTCCTAATGAGCTACATATATGGGCGGAACATGTGCATTTAAGCGGAATGCATATCCGACAGATTCTAGAATCATTATTCATGACTGTAGCATAGAATCCACCTGCTATTCACAGCAAACCGCAATTCGTGCTCTCACATTTGAACTCCTTCCCTGCAGTTCTGTGTGATGATTTGATGATTCTTGATAGCTCTTCTATTTTCTTTCTATAGCTTAGCTCTACCGTTGTCGGGTAAGAGTTGCAAACCCGTTTGCTCCTCGAGCTGACGGACGGCATCCTTCGTCTCCCCAAGGTTCACTTTGATAGTCCGCAAACCACTCTTCTTCGCCCACTTGAGATTAATCCCAATATCATCCAAAAACAGCACCTCCTCCGCAGTCACACCCCCCAACCCCTTCCCCCTCGCCACCCTATCCAGCTCCCTAACCGCCAACTCATACGCCTTGGGATCCGGCTTCCTAACCCCAACATGCGCACTACTAACAAAAACATCAAAGCAATCCTTGATATCCCTCGAATCCCCCCTATGCGGATTCCCCTCGTCCTGGTCGTGCACAAGCCCCTTCTCAAACAGGTTCCCCTCCTCGTCCACGATGCCATCCGGGTACGCGACCGTGTTGCTCAGCGCGCCGAGGGCGAAGCGACCGCTGGCGCCGAGCTTCTTGAGCGCGGGGTACATGAAGGGATCGGGCGCGCGGCTCGTGCGCATCATGTTCCAGAAGAGTTTCTTTGCGTCGATGTCTGGGACTGGTGGGACGGATCCACCGCCAGTGGAGGAAGAGGAGGAGGAGGAGCGGAGGTAGTACCGGGACCAGTGATCCGGGTTGGAGAGTTGAGCCTTGAAGGAGGCGAACCAGGCGTCGTTGAGGACGACGTCGCCGCGCTCAATGAGCTGCCAGGCTCCTGTGTCGTGCGGGCCGAGTTGGATCGCGTGGTTGATGTAGCCGGTTGGGATGTTGTGGGCGCGCTCGTAGTCGAGGATCGCTTGGAAGGGGGATATTACCTGGTGGGAATGTTAATGTTGGGGTGAGGGTTGGGAGTGTTGCTGTAGGGGTTTTGGGGGTAGAGTTGGGGGTTTGTTTGGTTGAGAAGGGGGAGGAGGGAAAGGTACTGGGAAGTATGAATGGGAGTAGAGGAAAGATGAGGACGAGATATAGGGACGAGATATAGGGACGAGATATAGGGACGAGATATAGGGACGAGGTATAGGAAAAGACATTAAAGACAAAGACTTACGCAGACACCGCCAATGTCAAAGAGAATAGCCTTAGGAGGCGGTAATTTGGACAACGACGACATTATTTCCCTTGTGGTGCTCAATTGATCACGTACGTTGTTGTACCTATTGAATCGTAATTGCAATGTCCCCCTCTAGGATCCGGGTATCATTCTATAATCGCAATTCCAAGCTTGGGGGATTCAAGGTGTGTATGTATGTGCGAGGAAAAAGAAAAAGGATCACATTTCTCTGCACTGTAGGACTGGGGTAAGGCAGGAGGTTGTACTCGACGTTGGGGGAATCCCGTGGAGGAGGGGTGATCGTCGTCGTCGCGGTTGCTTGCATATTGCCGAGGCAGAGTAGGTTGCTGCTAATCGATAACCGGGGGAGAGTTCTAGATCTTATCTGATCCCTCTTCCCTGATTATTCGGACCTGGCGGGAACCAAGCTACTCGTATGGAAATCTTGGGTTCGCGTTCCTGAATGGACTTTCGTTCGGGACTTGCAGAAGATTTTGATTGTTGGGATTTCCGTGGAGGCGGGTGCTTTTTTCACGTGGTAGGTATATCTTCTGGGGACTCTAAGTCGTTGTTTGCGGTAACGTCTACCGAGTCCTTGGGAACCGAAGTTCAGTCGATTTAGTTTGCTCTGTATGTTAAGCTAGCTGTATAGACATTGGAGAAGTCAGTTAATAGATATACCGTTCTCCTGATACTACTCGAATAGAACTGTTGTTGAGAATCTCGGTCCATTGAGATTGACTTCGTTGCCACGGACTCGTATGTACGCAGTCAATTGGGGTCCGTCTCATTCAGGGGGTCATGAATGCAAGCTTCCAATCACCGACAAAACGCAATGTGCGGCAGCCTTACAGATGGTTTGCGGTTAAAGGCTGTGAAACTGTTGCCTCGTAGAATATCGTCCTGTGTATTTCCGTGATATGTCTGCTTTGAGCATCATTTCGCGATGCCTAGTGTATGTTGATTGGCTTGAAGATAAAGCCATCTCTCCGTATGCTCTTCTTTCCACCTCAAGTTGATTTCATCTGCAGTCGGCGCGGCAAGTATTAATGCGATTCCCTCGGATATTCAATGAATGTACGACATGCTCAATGTGCAATTCTTTCATAAATGCAGTGTGTCCGCGGGTTAGCTGGCAGCTTTTCTGGTTGTCATCCTTTCATAACTTCCACAGCCTATCGTGAGCAACGACGAGACTAAGGACATCCTGAGCCCACGGCAACAGAACGACAAAACAAAGATACGACCAATCCCTAGCCCCATTACACAAGTTGAAGCTATGGCTGTCCCAAGGACCCGTAGACCTCTCCTCACTACTACCCTCATCCTCACAGCAGCCAGCTTGCTCCCTATCGTCGACGCATGCTACAATTCCACTGGCGGCTATGTACCCGGCTTTGCTCCATGCCGCAATCATCCAACCATCTGCTGCTACGCTAACCGGTCGAGGAATCCCAGAGTAGTCGTAACAGACGGCACGAGCGACGAGTGTCTCCCCAACGGCCTATGCGCGACCATTTACGTTGATAGCGACGGGAACAATGCAACTAACTATTGGAGGGGTCACTGCATCACAAAGGAAGAAGGGGCCTGTCCGAGTGTCTGCATGACCGTGAGTTTCTGTTCATCTTTTGTTCAATTTCCTTCCATTCTTGAACCCCCTCAGCCCTGTCAAAGGCTTCATGTCGTTGTTTTGGGGAGGGTCCGTCCCCCTGGCGAATTGAATACCTGCAAAGCAAAACAGTGCATGACTAACACTGGGGCCCTTGCTGTCCCACTCAATAGGAACCTGGCAATGCTATTGGCATGACGCCCTGCAGTGGGGCCATCGACTCGCGCCGCTGGTGTTGTATCAAGTCAAGACTATGCTGTGACCCGAACAGCAGTATCGATGCCGAAATAATAGCGCCAACGTGGACCCCTTTGCCTGTGCAGCAGACACTGAACGTACCTGCTCCAACGATGACGTCGAATAATACACAGGTCATCGGAAGCTTGAGGGGAGTGCTTAACACTAAAAGCGCAGGGGAACTATCGGCTGCCGCGAAGGCAGGCATAGGGATCGGTGCCGCGGCGGGAGGGATCTCCCTGCTGGCGTTGGGATTCTTGCTGGCAAGGTGGAACCTTATTCGTGCACACTGGAGTCAATCGGCCTCTGGTGATGCTTCTTCCATCGGAGATTCGGAAGCGTCCTTGAAGAAGGCCCCGTCAGCCGAGCTGGACGAGTCAAACGTTTTCCATGAGATGCAGAGTAATGAGGATAGGCGCGAACTGTATGGAGATGGAGGCCATCATGAAATGCAGGGAGGTGATGGATGTCTCGAACTGCCGCACGACAACGTCAGACATGAAATGCAAGGTTGAATCATCTGTAGTGCTCGATCCGGGAATCTAATGTGTAAATTATCGTTAGTAGTACGCTGGATCCAGAAACAGGTTCACGACTGCATCACGTATCTTCTCTTATGTATGACAAGCAGGTTCAATTTCAGAAATGACTACATAGAGTATGGTTTTCGTGTTTTCTTCTCTTACCTCCAAATTGTGAAATATCAGACGCCATAACATTGTAGTAGCTGTAAAAGCCGGAAAACGTCCAATCTTGAATTAAGTGGTATCGGTCAGCGCGATTGCTTGTTCCGATAGCATTCGACCCATTCCACCGGTGATGCGATTCGCCAAGTTCATATCCACGTTCCTGGATAAAATCGATGGACAAATATGCTTGAGCATATAAAGATATGCGGGCTTAGTCGTGCATCACCATTGGCATAGCTGGAACGGGTGGGTGTGTGATCCTAGAGTGAGATATATCTCTCCCGTGCTTTGGACGAGCCGTGATCAGGCAACGTAAACTAGTTGTCTAAGAGCCACAGGGAGGGCGAGGGGTGTGATATCGATGTCGTTGCTAGGCTGCCAACAAGAGTCCCTTTTATGAACAACCCGGTTGTTGGTTCAATGGCGTCATGGCCGACTGTTGATTCACCAGGAAGTAGGCGCACACGCCCTTGAGGTCGGGAGGTCGGAATGAAGATCAGTCGCTATCTTTACACTTATCAGTACAGCAGATGATTCTCCTGTTCTGGCTTCGAATGTAACCAATCAGTCATAGTTGCCTCCACCAATCTGACTCGCAAATGCTGTGGATACGCTCCGGGCATCGTCGTCGTCAAATGCACCAAGACCGCGAGGTCCACGATTGCCTCCGAAGCCAGTGGGGTTTCCTTCATTGCGACGTGTAGACTCTACAAAGCGGTTCAGGCGATCCGACTGACTCAGGGATGTCGGCTTGCCATAATCATTGAGACTGAGTCCGGTCAAGCTTATACCACCTGTGCCGTTTGCGACGCTGCTTCTATCGTCGGTGAGCTCGCTTGCTGCAATGGACTCTCCCGCAACGCTTCCAGCCACTCCCTGACCCCTGCCCTTGGGAGCTGACCCGCCGCGGCCAGGAAGCGGCCAGCTCTCTTGGAAGTTCGAGAACATTTGGGGGTAGTTGGAAGGCACGCCGACACCTCCGATGGCAGATGAGTGGACAGAGGATACATCGTCAGGGATGTATCCAACGATAGAGCCATTGTCATTGTACTCTTGACGAGGAGGACGACCGCCATTGACATTTTGGCGTGGGTTGGCGGCGTTGCTAGCATGCTGGAAAGCCATCTGGTAGCGCTGGGGGCCACGGTAGGTTTGCTTAGGGCGGCTGAACTGTAGGAGTGACACTTGGAGATTGGTCAGCGGTCCCTCGACTAGACAGTTGCGTTCCTTGAAGTGGAGCAGAAGATGATGCCAAAGCGGGTGCTTCGAAAGGACCTTGGGGTTTCCAAGAATGACAAGACCATATTTAGCACGTGTAAGAGCAACGTTGAGACGACGCGGATCGCTCAAGAAACCGATACCCTGATGGTCGTTGGATCGAACGCAGGATAGAATGATGAAGTCCTTTTCACGACCCTGGAACGCGTCAACTGAAGCTACCTCGACCTCTTTGTAGTTCTCCTTCTTGAAGCTGCCAGTTGCTTGCATAGAGCTCACGACATAGCTACGTTGACCTTCGTAGGGCGTGATTATACCAATGGAGCTTGGTTGCACACCTGCTTTAAAGAAGCGAGTGACAATCTTCTCTACATTCGTGGCCTCAGTACGGTTCAAGTATGAAGTACCAGACGCCGATATTTCCTCAGCGCCAATGTTTGACCAGAACATCATAGGGTTGTCTCCAACCGGCCAGGGGAAATCAACATCGCGACGCACGCGATCCTGCATAGTAACACCGTTCTGGAGTGATCCTTCGTAGAACATATTGGATGGGAACTCCGACAAACAGGGATGCATACGGTATTGGACCTGGAGGCGAATGGGAGAACAGCCGAGAATGACCAGGCGCTCGAATAGGGACTGATTCAGACCAGCAGTAGCGGCTTTCTTGTTCATAATGACTGGCCCCAATTGCTGGTGGTCACCAACAAGGACGACCTGCTTGCAACCCAGGACAAGGGGAATCATGCATTCGGGCTCCGCTGACTGAGTCGATTCATCGATCAGTACGGTTCTGAACTTCATCTTCGAAAGGCGGGGATCACCGGCGCCAACGCAAGTGCAGCAAATGACATCTGCCGCATTGAGAATCTCTCGCTCAGCAGCGCGGGTGAGTTGCTTGAACTTCTTCTCATCCTGGCTGGATAACTCGCCAACATCGCTCTTGAGCTGGTTCAATTTGTTGAGCTCGACGTTGGTATCATTCATGCGGACCTGCTCGTGAAGTGACAAGAACCCGACGGATGATTCGACATCCTCCCTGGACTTGGCAGTGACACGCACCGTCTTCAGACCTGTGAGATGGATTCGCTCGCACAATTGATCTACAGCAACGTTCGATGGGGCGCAGACCAAGACGGGGCCGCCGCTAATCTTGCAGAGATGGTAAATGATCGTAGCAGATGTGACGGTCTTGCCCGTTCCTGGAGGACCCTGAATAAGGCTTAAAGGCTTCTGCAACACGCTCTTAACCGCGTTGATCTGACTGCTGTTGAGCTCAGGGAGTCCCGGAACGCTGAATTTTCGGGGCATATTCGTTTTCATAGGCGCGGATGCAACCTCGTGACCAAGCAGACGATGGAAGATGTAGCCCGAGACACTCATTTCGTCGATTGCGAAAGTCTTCATTGCATGCTGCATGCGATCAAAGGAAGTGGCCTTCCAGACATAGTCGGCGCTAAAGTTGTGGGTGCATTCTGTAGGAACAGACTTGTGATCGCCTTTTGTTCGCAATTCGATGGTGACCTCGTCGGATTGATTGTTCGGGATCTTGATAACGTAGCCGACACCTTCCCAATGAGGACGGAGTTCTCCCGTATAACGTAGGCGCATTTCGTCACCGACCGCGAGCTTGACGTCGCCGAGCTCGAGCTTTGGCAGAATGAAACTGGCAGTATGCTTGTTGTTAAGTGCCATGTCCCAACGTACGACAAGCTGGTCTTGCGATTGGGACTCCTTCAATTTGCGGTCGTAATCAGCCTCGATCTTCACTAGAGGCCCAAAGACGTTTTGGTATTGAAATGCATCATCGTAGCGAAGTAGAACTTTTGCGATCAACTCTTCTTGTCCTGCTCCTTTCTCCAAATCCTTGATTGTTGCATTCGCATCGTCCTTCCACAGCTCTTCCAGCTTCGCGATCACTTGAGGGCTCAGATGGCGGCCGCGGAGCTGTTCCTGGTCAGATGGCAGAGGGACCAGCCATGAGAGGAACGAGCGGTCTTCGATCAAGGGCTGCCAGCGTGAGGTATCCCAATTCATGTCTTTCTGAGAGGGCATGGATGCACATGGCTGGCGGCAGAGCAAGACAACGACGGTGTCCGACTTGGCGGGGATGAAACCGAGCGAGAATACGTTCTTTGTACCGCAGTTGTAGCATTCGAGGATTGTGTCACCGAGCGAGGACTGGGGGTGTAGCTGGACTTCCTTGTGGCGAGCGCGGACAAGGTGGTTGATGATGTGTGAGGATGAAGTGTTGCCGCGGGCACTGCAGAACCACTTGCTGCAGGCGAGACACTTGACGACGCTGCCAGCATTATGAATCCCGCAATAGCTGCCCACAATTAGCTGACCGTGACAATCAACATCAGGCCAAAGACCTACGCGCAAGCATGGGCAGGAAGCTCGACTTCCTCTTCAGGCTTGATTCCCTGCCTTCCGTTGGCTCCATCTACAGGCATGCTGACCATGCTCTCCATATCGTCATCATCATATAGGTCCGTCTCTTCATCGTCATCCATTCGCCTCCTTCGCGATCCGGTAAGTGTACCACGGGAGAGATCGCCGTCGAGGATGCTCTCATCGTCTCCGGCACCTGCATTGATAGTTGCGGCGGAGTCGGATACCAGGTGGTTACCCATGTGGGTGAATGCGCCTTCCATGGTGGCCGGGTAGGTATGCGTAGTCGGAAGGGCAAATAATGATCGTGGGGAATTCCTGCGAGTGGCTTGGGAGGGTTCGACCGCGTGTAATCCTTGCAAGTATCGCTTTACCCCAAGGGCCTAGTAGGTGTTCAGTTGGTCAGGCAGAGCCCACATACCATGCCAGCATGCAGGTTGTCAAGCTCGGTTGGGGTTGTCGGTGCGATTGTTGGAAAAAAATGTTGAAGGACGGTAGTGAGAGGTCAAGGTTTAGTCTTGGTGTTGGTGGGTGCGGGTGTAATGGTCATGGTGGGCTGTCGGTAGTCGGAGCTTTTCGAAATCTTGGCAAGGCTGTCTCTCTTACTTCTCTAGAGTCTACCTCTACTCTGCCTCCTACCTCTTACCGTACAACATCAGATCTCTGAAGGACAGGTCAAAGGCAATTTCTGCTACAATATGCCTTTGTTGTCAAGAACAAACTCTTCAAGCCCTAGAGACTTTTCTCACGATATGATCTACACCCGCTTATTGAAGTTCAAGCTCGTGCGTGCGACTTCGCACCTGTACGGATTATACTTATCGCAGAGCCTAACGGAATTGATGGCATTCTAGTCTTTGAAACACTGAGATTACTCGAATATTTGCCGTGGAATTTTTTTATCTGTCTTTTCAGTAAACTTCACGATTCGGCACACTTTACTCCCGAATGATGGCTTATACCTAGACTTCATCGAACGCTTTACGATTTACACCCGCGTAGGCATATAGAAGAAACAGTTCGATGAATCCAGTCGGATGTAGTAGTCCTGGTACATCGTCCCTTCCCGTCCTCTCATCTAATTTCATCTCCTATACCTGTACCGTCAAGACATCAGGTCATGAGAGAGAAGTATGTAAGAAAGGCAGGACGGCGATATAAAACTAGGCTACTTTCGAGCACAAGCATCTCTCCAATTCACATTCTGAGCTTCCGACTCTTCGGTTCCATATATTTGACTAATGTAGGTACTGTTCGATGGTCAACTATTCACATTAGTCATCGTGTAAAGAAAACATACTACAAATTGGCGGATACGCCTGTCCGAACATTCACAACGATCACGTTAGAATCTCACGATTGCTCCAGCTCAGAGAGTCCAGACCATAGCCATCCAGTCACCCCACCGACTTCGAGCTCTATCAGCAATTTTAATTATGTGAACATGGGAATCTCCAAAAGAACCATAGGTCGAGCTAGGTTTTCCCCTCTCGCAACCGTGAGTCTGGGCCAGCCGATTGCACTACGCATTTCCTCTCGTGGCTTCTTTGTTCAGCAATACGCGACCGTTACTTAGACAGTACAAAGCGGTACATGAACGGTACTTCCCCCTCGCTTGCCCTCAACGAACTGCTCAACTGGCAAAAACGTAATATGGGTTTAATATGCCAGCAATATCGCCGGAAGGCAACCGGTCGTGTCTCCCCACGCTGGCCGCCCCCGGAAAGCGGGCATTTCAACGGACATCAAAAACGGGTCAGAGTTGAAAGTAGGCGTGCGTGCAGCATGCGGGACTGGCCGGCTGATCAATCACAGAGCATATTCATTTCGCGTGCGGGGTGCATCAGTTAGTGCGAAAGGGAAGGGCGTCGAATTTCGAAAAAAACAACAACTCAAAAGTATCCTGGACCATGAGCAATCGGTTGCATGGTATTATGGTTCTGTGATTAATGGGGCCGGTTCGCATGGAGTATTACGGACAGGATTACAAGCAGAGTACATACAGGCGAGATAGACGTTAGATATATGGAGTCTGTGCGCATGATATACAGCATTGCCAGCTTGAAAAGTGGAGGAGAGAATCAAGGCATTCTTCGCACCAGCATGTGTATCCAGAAACGTCAGCAATCAAATGCTACCGAGGAAGTGACAGCACTTTTAGGCGCGAAAGATGACAGCTCGCAGATTACTGTCTTTGACAATCAAGAGATTACCATTAAACAGAGTTGCCGGCAGACCGAGCTTCCAACTTCTCCCTCTCTCGCTAAGATGCATGATCACTGTACGACTCTCGCTTGCAACCTCGGAGATCTAGGACTAAGAGGACCCCCACTTGCTGGGCAAATGCACGCGATCAGAGCTACGGACGTCTCTTACGAGGTCGTGCATTCACGTGTTTGGGAGCGGCGATGTCCTGTGGTGACACGTCTACGTGGAAGAATACATGATCGTCCTGCGTCCATCGTGTACGGCAAAGGTTCGCGAGATCTGAGTTGCTAGTGTCGGCTTAGACCCTTAACGTGCAGCTTGGGATTCTGATATCTGGATCCTTGCCCATAGCATTGCTCTCTCGCAGTGTTGGCAATAATGCAGCTAGGCACGACTTGATCGTGTGACCCCGTTCAAAAAAGCGGCAGAGGCGCTGAGATGCGAATGCGGATATTGCAGCTGCATGTATACCATTGATGGCGCAACGAAACGTGAAGCTCGCACGGGGGCGGATAGGACGTCAAGCACGAATGGTCAGCAAGCTTACCTACGATCAATCATTATACATCAAGCATGGAATTCTTGGCTGCGTGGAAGGTCAGCAAGACTTGCCGGTATGTGACTAAGAGAATGCTGCTTTCATTCTTTCCTGCAGCGACCTGAGTCGAAATGGTGATCGACATGACCTGTAAGCATGAGCTGTCTCCACGGAGATGAAGAAAGCTCTATTCAATTCAGAACGAGGAGATGCTAACTTGAAAGTAAGTTGTTGCCAATTGGATGTAGTGCGAAGCGTGGGTGAGATATCAAAGTCAAGCTTCTCGCCAGCGACATCCGAGTCACCGATCAGGACTGCCTTGATGCGCGGCTATCCAAATCCAAACAGACAACGTGCTTCTGGAATAAGATCTATGTTTGTCTGTTCATCAGAAGACACAGGTCAGCTGGTGATCTACGCACGTTCAACTGCATCACGCATCAGTCCGCCATACCTGGATGAGGGGGCTTTCAAATCAGAGGTGTTTCGACTTCCGAGATGCAATATGAAAGTTTGGGGTAATAGTTTCCCGCACATCTTAGCTTCTGCATCATGTTGAGATGGATGCTCACCGCGTCAGAGGAAACGATACGCTCGGAGGAAAGATCCGCGTTTGTATGCTTGCAGCAGCACGTTCCTGGCCCCAGCAGATTGAATATCAAACCCGTATATGCATCCCACAATATGCATCCAAGCATCGAACCAAGCGGATATCCGAAGGCAACACCGAGCATCAATCAATATGAGCGATGATCCTGGCATCACAACACCCTCATACTCACGGGAAGGGCTCAATCCGTTCGATTCACCGCGGTGGGAGGTGAACAGCTGCAGGTGATGTTGCATTCTCACCGACCCCTTCTGTACCAACATCCAGCTGAGATCTCACGGCACTGGACGGAAGGTCCTTTCTCCCATTGTGCATGGTGCATGAATGCTTTTCAATACAGCTGCGAGATGGCAAACTGCAGCAGCGTCGTACGGTCCGCCACTGCACTCACCTCAACCCAGGGTGGAGTCTTGTACGGAAGATTATCCCTACTGCAAGTTTGTCTCAACGTTACCATGCTGGCCATGTTCATCCAACAGTACGGAGCACCGAATGCCCACTCTGGGAGCCGCATTGAGGTACCGAACGTCGTACGAACGATCTGTCCTGGAGCAGGAGAATCTATACGTGCATATGTCGTAAAACCCACCATGCAGGCAAGCCAACCAACCAAACAGACAAGCCAGCCAAAAAGCAACAAACATATCTCAGCCGCAAATCACATCAGACCGAGCTTGAGCGAGATGCGAGATGAACAAAACGTCAAGGCAAAAACCAGGCAAATGAATGTAGGTTAACGCATAGACACTGAAACCATTGCACAATACTGCATAACCTCAACATCTCCCATCACCACCCTCCTAGGCATCTAAGCATCTTCCGATCATCGACATCTTCCGCCGTGCAAACAAACCAAGACAAGTACTCCGTAATCCAATCCAATCCAATCGCAGTCAGATTCCCCCCTCTCTCTCTTCTCCGCCTTTCGCCGCCTCCGCCGCCGCCCGCCCGCATCTTTCGCGCGCATTACTTGCATATAATCACTCACCTCTCGCGCACGCACCTCCCCCCTCCCCATTCCCCCATGCACGTACATATACGCACGCACCTAAATATGCAAACCCGCACGTTCCCTTACCCCAGGCAGGGCAGGGCAGGGCAGGGCAGGGCCTACGTAAGGTTATGTATTTCCATCTGGCCAAGTCTTATTCACATACGAGCGAGTGGTAAGCCGTAGCCGTAGCAGCAGCAAGTAAGCGTGGAAACTGTAGCTGCGCGAGATAATCAGAGGAAAGGAAGGTCTGAGCCGGCGGGAAGGGGAGCAGCAGCATCCATCGGCCGAGCGTCGAGTCGTCGTCCCTGTTCGATACAATAGTCCCTCGCCCGTTCCAGTGTAGTGTAGGAGAAAGAAGAAGCAAAAAGTGAGGCTGCAGTGGAGTCAATCTTGCCCATTGGTTCGGCATCTCCCTTCCAACTTTACAAACGAACCCTGCCCTGCGAGCATTGAAGTGCAAACACAAACATACAGTACGTGCCTACGAGGGGACGGCATGTCAATATTGACATGTCAACCCAGACCTCCAGCATTACCAAACGATCTACGATCCATCCATCCATACAGTAATGTTCCTGCACAGTGGTCCTCCACACCCACCAAAGCAACACGCAGATCGGGTGGGAGGGAGGGAGGAGGGGGAAAAACAAAACGCATCGAATCCTTCTCCAACGAATCAATATATGCAAATCACTGACTCGCCGTGCAGCGTACATCTCACCCACGTAATCGACCTGTGGCCACACGACTCGAAAACGACGGGAAGAGTGCTGTGCTGTGTAGATAGTAATCGCATTATTGATTTCTGATCCTGCATGATGGGCGGGCGAGCCGTGTTGTGGATAATTGATGATTGAGTGAGGAGTGGGCAGGCGAGCTGGGTGAGCTGCTGGCTGCTGCTGCTGCTCCGTATCATTCACACCCTGATGGTTTGCAGCCGCGAGGGTAGGCCCGGCTGCCATTTAGTTTCATGTATCTTCTGTGCTTGGACTGTCTATTTCGGAGTAGATTGTAGCTAGCCAATAGTTTAAAGGCCTCGAACAATGTATTGAATCCAGTTTACTATCCGCTGCCAGTCCGACATGCTTGCACTATGTAGGTACCCACGCTACGAGCGGAGTTCTGATATCGATCGATTTTATATAACGCAGACCAGGGCAAGGAATCAATGACAACGAAAATTCCATATCCGCACGCACAAATCCCTATCTAACTACCTAACACAATCGGCACATGCCGATACCTACCCACCCAGCTCCTCCACCACAACGCTTCCACATCCATCAAACCCTCCAAAGTTCAAACTCTCCAGGCAGCAGTCAGTCCATCACCATTCCTCATCTCCAATCCTTCAGTCCAGTAGTCCGACAACTAGGTTCCCCTCTCCAAGCTCCAAGCCTCCCTCCCTCCCTCCCACGTGTCGTCTCCACTCCCCCCAATCCATCGTTCGCCCTCCAGAAATACATACATACATACATACATACATACATACATACATACATATTCAAATCGTGCGATTCCTCCTAGATCCCATTCCCTTCGCGTGCGCAGGTGCAGACAGTCCGTAGGGCGCACGCACGCATACGTAGGTAAGAGTACGTACACGCAGCGAATCCTTCGTTCGCTACTAAATATGCGTGGGACTCGAGCGGCGGAAACATACACACACATATCTCACACTAGGAAGTCAACCATCGTCCTTCGTTCTGACGAAACATGGCCCTAAGAGCTGCTCGAACATTTGGGGTAAGTAGTAAGTAAGCTACGTAGGGTGCCGTGCGTGCGAGCGGTGCCCCCCCGGGCTATCGCGCTTAAGATTCACTCGCGGGCTCGCATGGATGTAGGTAGGCGTGCGGCCATGCATGCGTGCATGTACAAGCCAAGTGCATGTGTGTGAGACTTGAGTGAGTGATCGAGAGAGTCAGAGAGGGTGTGTGTGTAGGATGCATGGGGCTGAGCTCGAGCTCGAGCTCGAGCTTGAGTTTCTCATGCAAGGCTTCCCGTCCCCCGTATCGGCTGGAGAGGGGAAAGGAAAGGAAAAAGAAAAGCAAGATGCTGCTGCATGATGCGTTCGATGGGTTAGACCCAAAGCAGCAAAGTATTCATTTTTTGTAACGATGGGAAAGTGCACGCAGCACGAGACAATATTGGATGATGTTGTGCGAGTACTCCGTAGAATAGAAAGAATGAGCAGCACCGAGCATGAGGTGCGGTGCAGATAAGCTGTCCGCTAAGTGGCACACCCAGCCACTTTTTTGCGGGGAGTTCGGGATGGCGTGGGTTGTTGTCTGTGGTGGTCGTTCAAAACTCGATCGGCACAAGAGGGACATGCGCTCGGGCGGAAACGGAACGGGTGTGCGACGTCAATCACTGGGTTGGGGAGAAGATCGCTGGAAGTCTCACTTGTCATGGTAGTACCAATGGCTTGGGAGATAAATCATGGAATTGATAGAGGCGTGTGTGGGTCATGTCCGTACGTGCGCGGGACCTTTTCTAAATTGTCAATACATCGAAGTGATCGATCGATCGAGTTTGAGAAGATCATTGTGCAACAGGAGGCATGATTGTCTGGTTGTGGAAAGAATCTTACTCATTGACATGAGAAGATGAAAAGGTATTCATTGTTTTGAGATGTAACATTTCCTCCTCATCTCCCCCGTGAGACTCTCCCGGTTGATGTACCCGGCCAGGTAATGCATCGACCCTTTGAAATGGGCTAGGAGCTGTGCCTATTCTGCCACCAAATTGAAAATTGAAAAATAGATGTCCTGCATATATGCCACCAACGGGACGTACCAGCCCCCGTGTGGGACGGTGTAGAAGCGAAATTGTTTGAAACCAGCCAGATACAGAATTGAAGCACTGAGGAACAGATGGCCACCCAATAGATATAACCCAGAGGCCGCCGAATGCCAGCCCTTCGAGGGAATCTGCATAGCCGATACTAAAAGGGAATAAATAGAGGTCGTGGCATCGTGAGGGGTACTGAAAGGTGCAGATAACAAAGGAGACAAATGAAAATTGGCTTTTTTGGGCCGGACGGAGAAGAGCGCGCTGAAGCTGTGCCAAGTCTAAGTGATATCCCACCCAGTCCTATATCTTTTGTGTGGGGGAGGTTGTTCTTAACCTCCTACAATAACGCCAAAATGAACAAAGTGACGGCAAGGAACCGATTGGGTATAATTTCGCGACCTTGAGCATGAAACAAGAAGCGATTGGGCTGCTATGCATCAAAGACAAAACAAAAGAGAACAAGAAAACCGGATTTTCCGGATGGTGTGACGTGCGTTGCTTTGTCAATTGCCTACTCTCGGCAAATACGTCCTCGGCAGCTTCGAATGGATATATCGGCATTGCTGCGTGGGAGTTGGTGGCACGGTCTGTCTCTCGACCCAAAGCGGTGCACGGATTGTGATGGCCGTTCCCGCGTGAGTCGCGATGTGGCGTGTTGCGCGTGGTGATGTAGTGTAAAAAAAATGGTCCCTCGCATGTCTTGATTCCGAAACTCCGTGAGATGCGAGCCGAAGAAGGGCCTAAGAAATGAAAAATAAATATGATACAAGAAAGGGTATCCCTGCTTTGGTGACGCAGGCAGAAGAGCAAAAGTTGGTACTCCGCGAGATGTTGTTGGCTGGCGCGGTGAAAACAATTAGTCGAAGGTACTGCTACGACTGATCGATGTGGTGGAGGATGAGATGGTGCATTCTTCCTTGTCCTTGCTTCGCTTACTCCCGCTGTTCTTGCGACTGACCAACCGCTTGAGGTAGTTGCGGCTCGAGCGGGGGGCAGCCGGGTCTTGTGAAGCATTCATCGATTCCATGGATGACCTTCGAGAGTCTACAAACTCGGGGATCGTCGCTGGCAGAGGCTCCATAGGCTCCTCCTTTTCGATCTTGCAGAACAGTGTTGAGAAAAGGTACTGTTCGCCGTTGCTGTCGAATAGGGGAAGATGGCGATACCCCTGCTGCAGACTGCTGAGCTTGGCGGTGAATGTGGCCAGGGGAGCCCGCTCCGGGTTCTGAGCGTCGCGTGAGTTCCATACGCTCCATCGCACGAACACAAGACTAGGGTAGCGAGTGGTCAGGTTCAAGGAGATTCGGTCATTGAATTCGGGATTGTAACCGTTTCCCTTGACGATACGTGTTCGCTTGCGAACTGGCTCACCCAATCCTGAGAGGCCATTTCGAGCTGATGCATCTTGACCGCCCTCGCCAGTGGCATTGCGGCCCATGTCCTCGGCGCAATGCATCTCAAACTCGATGTAGGGGTTAATATTGGCGTCGGGACCGATCCTCCTTGGGCGAGGCAGTTGCTGGGCAGATATGATCTCGACTGCGAATTTTACAACCCTCTTGGGAGGCTTCCTATTGCCGATTAGAGGTGTAGGCCGCTCTTCGGCGCGAAGTTCTGCAGGCTTCAGGACGTAGCCGGTCCGATCGTCACCGCCAGAGAACATGGCCTCGTTGAGTTGTTGGCCAAGATCGTACGTTTGCCAGTTGAGCGCAGCCATCTGCACACCGCGCCGCCAGCAACCGAGTGGCTCGAAGTTGCTGGATGTTACACGGTCATAGCCAGGATACACCCGCATGAGCGCTCGTTTGTTGTGCTCTTCGAGGTGAGGCTTATCCGGTGAGGCCGGCTTGATGAGTTTATTGAAGGTATGCTCGCCAAACGAGAAGACGTGATTGTACGACTGTGCTTCGAGGCTCTTGAAGTTGGTGAACTTGACACCCTTCGTGTAGACGCCGAGCTCACCGAGCACTCGCGTGATCTTGCTGGTTTGCGATTTGGTCTTCTTCTTCTTGTCTTCCGGTTCCGTGGTGTGGGGGCTGTCACTGTCCTCTGCAGAGCTCATGAAAGCCGAAGTCGGGATGGTTCCAATGGTAGAAGTTGTAGAGGTGCGAGGGGTGCCCCAAAACGCGGGTCGATCGGGTGGGCTCATCGATGGTGGGCTGGAAATGAGGGGTGAGTTGGGAATGCCTGCATCACTCAGCTGCTGTGGGCGAAAGAATGGCGAACTGAAGCTGCGGTCGCGGCGACGAATGGGAAGCTCAGCATTTAGTGCGCGATTTTCGGGCTCCTCTGCTGCAGCCTTGACCTTGATCAGGATCTTTCCTTTGAGTTCCTCGGGTGAAGGCAGTGTCTGAGTGTCGTCCAGTGGTTCGAGAACAAGCTTGGAACCGAATTCCTTTTTCATGATATCAGACATGATGGCTTGTTGCTCGGGGTTGCAGTGAACCTCGAGCGAAATGATCAGTGGGTAGTCCGATTCGCAAAATGCGTACTCGTTGATGACCTTGATTGTGTCGAGGAAGGAGATGCTGGTAGTGAAGGTGCGCCCATGGCTGACGATGGGCTTTCCATCGCGACCGTTCCAGCAATCGACCTCGACACATCGGCATCCTTTCTGGAGAGCGGTGATGTAAGCTTCGGTGCTTGACTCGCCCACGACCTGGCGACCTAGCAGGTACGTATTGTGAGAGCTGGAAATAAAGTATTCATTGAGAGGACGGTCATGCTTTAGATTGGCGGATCGGGGTATGAAGCAGGAATTGGCTGGTGAAGTCAAAAATGACTGGAAGGCGGGAAAATTCATGGTCGAGGGAAGCGGAACTTCGCCGCCCTCGGTTGGTGTTGCCCTTGGCTTCGAAGACCGCGCACTCTTCTCAAATACGGCTGTCCAGTGATCAAGATCCGCATCAACATTGATGCCTTGCTCTACTTGCAAGAATGCAAAGAAAGTATCTTTGTCCATCTCGGTATGGCCCTCTGGCAATAGGCGCTTGTAGACGTGCTTCACATCCTTGCGCTCTTTCAGTCGGCGCACGAAATACAAAAATTGGGACTGATCCAGGCTGCCGGTTTGGTCACTGTCGGCCTTGTCAAAATAGTAGCGGAAGGTGTTCTCTGAGCAATTGATGTGAAGACTGCGGCAGAGAGCGATGATGCCGGGGAGATCCATCGACGCCTTCTCCTCAACAGGATCGACTCCGTTGAATCTCTTTTTCATTTCGCGTTGCCATACAAGCTTAGCGCTCCTCTCTCCAGAGCCGAGGAGGCCAGCCATCATGTTGATGCGATTGCGGGAGACGGTATCGAGTGTGCGGGTCCACAGCTCGACGATCTCCTGGCTGCGAGCGATCAAATGCATTTGCTTTATTCTGCCCTTGGAACGCGATGCGTCGGAATAGATGATGGTGAACCAGAGAGGCTCGAGACCAGCGGAAAGATTGCATTCCTCCCTGTAGTGCTTGGCCTCAAGGCCGGTTCGAATTTCCTTGACATCGTCGATGTAGAAGCATTTCGACGGACGAGATTCGTCCCAGTAGACCATTGCGTTTTCAAGGTCTAGGCGGAGTGTGATGCTCTTTTGCTTCTTCTTCGTGGCCTTCATGAGAACAGTGCCCTGTTCCAGTATGGAATTGCGCTTGGGGGCAGTGACGGTGGAGTCCGGGATTGAGCTTATGGTTGGAAGACTTGTGGAAGAGATGCCAAGGGCATTGATGGGTTCGCCGAAGTCCTCGATGGCCTCCTCCTCTTCGAAATACTGGTCGAAATCCGAGACATCCAGAGCACCATCTGCCGCGGTCCTGCTGTCGCTTCGCCGACGCATTATCACTGGTCCCGAGCTCCTGTCACGGTGAACATTGGTGCCGTTGCGCCGGAATTTATTGGGGATGTTCTGGGCACCGCGAGAGACCCTCCGTATCAATCCAGGGCCTTTGCTGAGGGCCTCTGACATTGCCGAGGGGGAAGAAGTCGGTGGGGTCGAGGTCGGCGGCGAGAGCAACGATTCGGGTAGGTGCATTGCGGGTGGTATTGGGAGGGAGGAATGTGAGACGGGAACCATTCCCTCTGGCGTTGACTGTAAGGAGGAGCCATTGAACTCGTGGTAGAATGGTGAGGATGCTGGACTGTTGCGCGAAGGTATGTTGATAGCACGCGCATACGATGGCTGTGGGGAAGGCATCCTGGGTCGACGGGCCTTGATGGTAGTATCACCATTGTAGTCGAGGGAGGCCGTGAGGGAAGTGGCGGAGTAAAAGGAAGTCGACATGATGGACGTCGGCTTTGGTATTCGAGTGGTGAAGTGATACCTAAATATAGGTTCTGTTGTGGGTGTAGAAAATGGTAGTCGCGGGTTAACTCGTCATGGTACCTGCCGGAAGGGAAGCTTTATGATTTCAAAGAATGAAACTTGGAAGAAAGCGGCAGGCAGGGGATAGCAGAGTGAGGTGGCAGAGAGAGGAATGGATGTAGTATATGAGGGCAAGAGAGGAGGGCAATTGTAGAAGAATTGTGAAAGGCCGGTAGTGAAGAGCCGGGCTGAAGAGGAAATGGGGCGGTCTTTCTAGGAGTGATGCATCGTGAATCTGACAATAGCTCTCTGCGGGACTAGGACTAATTGGGAGCGACAAGCGCGGCGGGCGCGAGGTAGGATGGGTGACGGGTCGCAGGCAAGAGAACGGTGTCAGCTGGTTCAATGCTTTTCCTGGCCTGCAGTATTGCGTGCGTCTGCAATCAAGGTGTCAACGGGGCAGGGGTGGTCGGATTATGGTGGTGGTGGTGGTGGTGGTGCAGGAGGTGTGTGCGTGTGCGTGTACAGGTGCTGTATGTGTTGACAGGGCAGGATGGTGGTGGTGGTGGAGAGGCGGAGGTGCAGGCGAGGTGTGCGCGGTACGGTGCGGTGCGGTGTGTGGTGGTGCAGGTATAGGTATAGGTAGGTGGTGCCAAATTCCGGAGCGGAGCCTTTTGAGTCGTCGCAGGATCCAGAAGAGGGAAATAGCAGGAAAGCAAAGCAATAAAACCAGCCACAATAGTAGGAAATACTGTACGACTACTACTGTGTAGGTAAGGAAGAGACAGGAAAAAGAGAGCAGCAGCTTTTTTCGGGTTGCGGACAGGCGCGTGGGGGGTCAATGACTGTTTCCGGACAGACGAAGGACGGAGCGGCAGATGGAGACAAATGCAGTCGAATGCAGAGAGACGCAGATGGCAGTCTAGTACGGAGCAGCGTGCAGATGCTGTGCAGCGTGAGAAATTGGCCGAGCGTGTGCTCCTTTGACCCACGGACCGGTGAGTCGACTTTTGTTGCCGCGTTGTATATGCAGGTATGCGAGTAGTGGAGAGGTTGTGTGTTGTAGGTTGTGTGAGTTGTGAGTTGGGTTTTGGGTTGAGGTGAGGTATGAGAGGAGAAAGAGGAGAGAGGTGTAGGTAAATAGATAGGTTTAAGGGTAGGATGCGGTGTGTCCTTGATAGGAGGGAGAGCAAGATGAGTAGGAGGACTTAGTGTGTAAGCTAATTGAGCTATGAAGAGGAGAAGGGGAGACAGAGAGAGAGAGAAAGGTACTTGTAGGGTAGAGAGGTTACAGGGTAGGGTAGAGTGGAAGAGGGGAGAGAAAGAAGGGAAAAAAAATAAGGATGGGCTTGTTGAAAATGGTACAAGTTCCAGAATAGTCCTGTACAATAGTACGAGTAGGCGGGCAGTAGGGTAGGTAGGGGGGTTTATTTAGGGTCAACGGTTTGTGTTGGGCGGCGGCGATACCAGCAGTGAGTAACCCGTACACCTATACACAGTAGGTATGGTAAAGGTACTTTGTAAGGAATTAAAGGTACTTGTACTAACCAAGTAGCCAGTAGCCAGTAGCCAGTAGCCTAGGTAGCCTTGAGGACTGAGGTAGCCCAGGAAAGGTGATGGTTGGGTAGACCTGGTAGGGGAGAATGAAGGGGAGTGACGGTTGAATGGTACGAGTAGCGTGGCGCACAACAACTGCCAACCCTACCCTACGAGCGGTAAGCGTCGGGAAAGGTGAAATTGAGAATTTGAGACGAGTTAGGTCCAGATAGGAGTAGCCGTGGCCGTGGCCGTATTAGTTGCTGTTCTTTGGAACGAAGATTAAAAAGAAGAATAGAATGGAGAAGGAGACGGAGGAGGAGAAGAACAACTAATGAGTACGGAGTAGTAGAAAAGGGCGATTATTCTATCTATTCTATTCTTGTTGTGGCACAGCAAAGCACACAGTATGAATTCCCGGATAGGATGGCCACGGGAATTCCTCAGAGTATGATGAGTATGAGTGAGATGGAGGACGATAACCAACAATAAGGTAAGGTAACTGACAGTTACGTCGTACAGGTATCCTTGGATTCCTTTCCGTCACTCTCAGAGTATATCTCCCGGTCGGTTGTAACTCGTAGATAATACATCGCTATTATTTATGGAGCAATACTTTTGCCTTCTTCCCTGCCTGCTCTCTCTCTCTCTCTCTCTCTCTCTCTCTCTCTCTCTTCTTTCTCGTATCCTTAATCCCTCGCTCTCATTCCCCTTGATTGATCCTAGTCTCAATTACAATTAGCTTTCCCTTGTAATAAGAGCAGTACTTGTAGGTACCTATGTAACAGTAAGTGTGGTTGCAACAACGGCCACCGAGCCTTGTGTGGCTTGTGTTCGCTCTCCAGTTTTGCCTCCAGATCCTTGGCTTGGCCCATCCCAATTCCCTTAATCCCCAATCCCAGAATTCCTAATCCCAAATTCCTGATCCCGTTGCAATCCTAATCCTAGGTAATGTTGCGAGGTATTGTGATTAGTGGAGAGGTATACCCGCAGTCCATCTCATCCTATCATTTCCACTCAGCCACTACATCCCTCCCTCTCCCACGCCCATCACTTGGGCTCATGGGTCAAGTCCTCGAGGCTCAAGGGTTGAACGCTCAAAGGCCGCTCAGACACGACAGCTTCCAACCAGTCGTTGTGACTCTTCACTACTCCGTACCTCTTCCATCATCTCCATCCACTAAGAAGGAGTAGGTCTGTCTGTCTGTCTGTCTCGCTGGCACGTCCTGGCCGAACACCGAAGCCCTACCCCTACCCCTGTCACTTACCCCTGCCAATCCCTGGTTCGACCAATCACAAGCCAGCATACCTCGGTTCCCATCATTATTACAGTCATATTCACCTCCATCGTCATCATATCATGTCTATCATCATACTCATCAGCAGCACCATCATCATCATCGTCGTCCACAATTCCCCCATTTCGACATTCCGTTTGCGCACCGCCTTTTTGCCGCCGAATCACTTTGCTGGCCAAACAGCTGTTTCTCTCGCTGTTCCCCTTGGAAACTTGATCCGTCCATTCCGGTTTCGGCCTCGGTCTCGTCACCAATCCTGAATCCAACTCCTCTGCCCAGAAGTCTGTGACGATGTGATGCGGTTCGTCTCGTCTCGTCTCGTCCTATCGTCTTTGACGGTTTGCCCGTGGTCCATGACGGTATTGTAATAAGGGCTATCCAGAAATTACTGGGTGCACCTACGAGTAGCTGCGCACGCTTCGTTACTTTGTGCCTAACGTGCCGCCATCCCAGGTCCCGCGTCAATCCCAACGCACGCCGTCTGTCGCCCTATGGCCTGACAATTCGCGCGGATCCTCCGGCCGCCTCTGCCTATCCCATAGCCCACAACCTCGCTCTTGAGAACCCGTCGAACCCGGCGGTGCGGAGAGAGGGGCTTCCCTGACTAGTCGATGCTAACTTCTGCGGCAGACGGACGCCAGCTTGGTGAAACGTTGTCTGATGACGTTTGGGAAATGCCACCTCCCACAACTTCCCCACTTTGTTTTTTAAACCTGGAAAACGGCCAAAAAAACGGGGACGATGCGAGGGGGGAAATGGCACACAACCAGGCTGCCTCGCCCACAAACTCAAGACAGCGCAAGAAAGACAAGACCAGGCAAACCAGACGGGTAGTCAAGCAGGCGACAAGGCAACCAAGAGTACACACTATCAGATACAGCTTAGTTACTGGCAGACACACTTACAGTACAAGGGTCGACACGCCAAACTTCAGGCCTCCCCTCCAACCCCTCGCCGCCCATCTGCCCTCATCTGGAGTGCGCCGCGCAACTGGGTCTCACCTATTTGCGGCATTCTGTACAATCGCATCCATCTCTGCTGGGTTATGTCGCCCACCTCTTTGGAAGCTTCACTTTTCCTATCGGGCAATACGTAGTTGTACTGAATGCTGAGTAATGTGCACAGCCTGCACCGTTTACCCTAGCCGCGATTCCTTCCTACCAAGAGCACTCTCTCTCCTATTCTGTTTTACTGTGTATTCTCTCTATCTATCCACCCCTGGTAGGCGTCGGAGCGGCGGCGCAACTTGAATTGATTGTCGCGTTAATTGTTGAATGGCCTCATCCTGTGCATATGGTCCCCTCTGGTCTTGCAACATGAGACAGGAAACCAGAGGTCGTGCTGTGGCGCCCAGCAGCCAATGCCGTACCATCCGGAACACAGGATTCCAAGGGCATTCGCAAGCAAGGCTGAGCGTCACAGACAGACAAACTTGGACGAGGATGGGGACAAAGATGATGCATGGGGATACCGCGAGTGTAGCTTGCAGCTACTCCTCCTTCTCTTGCTCCTCCTGCACCAAGAGCACTGAACATTTTGAACCAAGCAAGTACGATTATGTTAATTATAGGTTGCCTTTAACCTCCTTGGGGCATCTCGTTTGATTTGCATCGGCTCGCGTGTGTGCCGTAACCCGGCGCAACTCATTTTCGAACGACGCAAACGAGTACGAGAAGGAAGACTCGTCTTGGTATTGAACAAGCAGACTTTACTTTACTGTGCTAAGCGCACACCGGAGTACGGTACTATAACACACAATCCAACACTATTATTGAAGAACGATGCTCGGAAAAGCGGTCTGAAAGCCTTGTTTCTCACTATCAATCCCGCGTTGTCATCTTTTCGTCCTTCGCTCCTCGCTTGCAATGAATGACCGTCGTCGTACCTGTTGTACGCCGCTTGGTCAGGATTGACTATTGAAAGTCGGGTACCATCTCTGGACGCAGTCATAGATGGGCAGCACGACAGCAGATCACAACGCTCGCTAATGAATCGCACTGCTGCGAATCGTCATTTGGGTTGCCCTCTCGCTCCACACACACCAGGAAGAGGAAAAGTGCGCGACGCATCAATCCCGACAGAGGGGCTGCAATTCATTGTGCGTGCCAGTTTGACCGGATGGTTGACGGTGAACAGGTCAGTCCGGGGTGCTGGATGCGGCTCTTTGGTTAGGTTGGGTATCACTGTACGGTGAATGTGCAAGGCGATGGTAATCCAGGTAGTCCTTCAGGTTCTTTCTGCTGCATCGTCGCCCTACGTACAGTCAGGAGTCAGAATTCAGCAAGTATCTACCTAACTACACGTGGCGGCTTCGTCACAGAAACAAACCGACGCCGGCGGTGTGGTTAGGGTTATCAGCCAGGGCCCGCTGTCGATCACCCTTGTTACTTGAAACTTCTGCCCGCCACCATCCCTCCATCCATCCGTCCATCCAATCCCAGCCACTCCAGCCGTGCACCGCACTGTCTGTCTTCCTGTGGCTCCCTCTTTCTTCATACTGGACAAGAGGTACGCGCTCACGCACGTTTCACAGAAAGGTAGGGGAGAAGGGCTATCGCAAATCGAAAGCCAACCATGGCCAGGGACAGCAGGCTTTAGCGATGCTATCCCGTCTATTGTGAGTCTATCCACTGTAGGGCTACCTCCTCTCCTATCCTCCCCACTCGATAGTGCGCACTCCACTACTCATCTTATCGCAGAAAGGATGTTAGAGTCTGAGAGACGACTGAGCGGCATAGCACACGGTGGATTGGTGTTTTGTTTCGCACCAATGGTATGCCGTGCTTGCATGAATACCTACCCATGCGGTGACGGACAATACTGAGTACTATACGATACGATACGATGCAAACAAAGTATCTTATACGCATGCAGTACGACAAACCCGATAATACCCTCACGTTGTCCTGCACCTCGCTGCACGTTCTTTATTCGCTGCGCTGTCAAAGCAAACAGTCGTGCGCCTGCTCCGTATCATAACAGATCGGGCTTCTGCAATGCAATGCACGGAGCGTCGCGTGACGGCCGTTTTTCAGGCCCAGCTTCTGGAAGCCTTTTTCTTTTTTTTTTTCTCAGTGCGTGTTTCCTCAGCTCTGACCGAATAGCATGCAAGGCGGCAGCTGTGGCAGCTGTAGCCAACCCCTGAAGGAATGAAAGGGAAAGAAAATAATGAGACCCAGAAGTTACCAGACTGGCGCACGAATCAGATCTAACCTCCCCGCAATCTACTTCTGGTCGTGTCTGTCCCTTTTCCGTCTTGGAGGTCGAATCCTTTCCTTTGAAGCTCTTCTGCAGCAACCCACCCACCCCCAATTTTACAGTTTAACTTTAACCCTCACCCAACCCCTGGCCTCCTCCCCCTCCCCCCTGGTCTGCCACATCCACTGCCACTTGTTACTCCGCTTTGTACAAGGGAATTGCTGGGCAAGCGCAAGTAACCCTTCACTGCCACTTCTACTGTGCCACTATGCCATGATATGATGATACAGTCACCAACCGAACCGACAGACCCTTGTCAGAGGTCACATGGACAGCATGGAACAGCATTGGCGGTGTGATGCCTCATGCTCACTTTACCCTCCATCCGGCCAATCACAGCACCAACGCGTTCCGGCTTTCCATCTTGACTTTTGTTACACGTTTGGAGCTACGGTCTACTACGGTCTACTACAGGGCATTCTTTCTGTCCACCCTGGTCCTTTTTATCGTATGTATCGTGGATTCGTGACGCTAACTCGTATTCTCTTGTTCCTTCCTGCCATCTCTCTAGGTAGGCTTTGCCTACCTCGGTATTTGTATTGTTTCAATAATGCGCCGTTTGTAGAGGTGCTGTTGTCCGAGGACTTCGACGTGCTCTTCTTCCATCTCCGTCACTTGCATGTTTTTCCTATTTCACGCTTCGCTTTAATCCCTCGTTTCATGGCTAGCTGGCTGGAGGAATAAAATAAGTTCTCCGTCGACTTGAATTCCTCTCTCTCTTCAACGGCTTTTTCCTCTATCTTCCAGATCGTTTCATCCGGAGATGCGCCACAGCTAAGTCGACACTCCCTGGGACTCGGCATAAACTCTCTCTCTTTCAAACGATGCAAAACAAAGAGAGATGCCGTTACCTTCCTTTCATGCCCCCTCCGCTCTGTAGCAAGCTACGCATGTATAGTATAGTATGTACATACACGTAGATATTCCATTGAAAACAAAACGCACTCCGCACGTACATGCATGCGTGAGAGAAACATTCCGACATGATACTATACCTCCCCCAACACCCATAGACATGCGTGCATGTACTCCGTACCTATCACAGCATAAACCGTCACCATCTCACAAACAAACAAGTAAATAAATAACCAAATAAAAGAAATTCCCGAGATGCCCACACCCCTCGTCCCGAATCCAGAACTAAAACATCCCCACCGGGTTTCCTTCATCTCGTATGTCCATACATGCGGGCTTCACAAACGAAAACCCATCCACTCATCCACAAAGCCTTACCACATGGCACACACCCTCCCTCTCTCTATCTCCCTACCTCTAGTTACCACATCCGTTCTGTTCCCACAACTCCGCATGAAAGCCCAAAGAAAAAGAACCCTCCCTCGTATCCCAATGAAGACATCCACACACACACACACCCTCCTCCGGCTCGATCGTTCCGATCAGACTTCTCGATCCCGTTCCCGCGTTCCGTAGTTTTTACAATCCCGCGTCGGATTGGCGAATCACATCGTTTCTTGTGAGTGTGAGTGAGGGACCACGTGGGTTGGCTTGCGATGCTGTGATTTCCTGTTTCGGGGTGGAATGCTGATGGGGAGTGTCAAGTGAGTGTCGAATGTCGAGAGGAGATTACACGACATTCGTCTCTTGTCGTGGCGTGTCGTGGCGTGTCGTGTCGTTCTGAGAATGGAATGCAAGGGAGGAGGTCAGGACGTGACGGAGTTTGGTGACGGGTGGGGGTTAGGTAGGTTAGGTATCTAAGGTATGTGTGTGTATGCTTTGGGGACGGAGTACATGGTGATGGATTGGGAAGTGTGGTTGTGGGTGTGAGTGTAGGCATGATGGTCTGTTGGTGGTAAGTGGGTGTTGGAAGCTGGATGTTGTGGTTGATTGCATTCGGTTTGGGGTTGAGTGACGGTGTCAATCGTCTTGGCTGTATGTGAGAAGAGTGTAATATTCAGATAGTTGTGGTTTTGTTGATAGAATTAAGTATCGTGAGTAGATATATGTAACGAAGCGTGAGTGGGAAGTAAAGGATATGTAGTATCAAAAAATCACTGTTCTGATAGACAATCGAAGTACTGTTTATTTGTCCGTACTTACTTTCTATCTGATAGAGTATCTATTGAAAGTGTACTCACTCCGCACGTGGTATTTAGTTTGTTCGAATTTTCTTATATCTTTACCTAGTTAACGCACATGTTTAGACGTCATGTTCTTGTGTAACCTCACTTCACTCTTCCACACAATAAGTTCCAATTAATTACAGTCAACAGAACACAACTACACGACAAGATGATATTTGCTAGCATTCTAATAGTATTACTCTGATTACTTCACATCAGCGTGTGAAATACTGGATCTGTGCCAAGTCCACCGAGGCTTACGAGTGTATACATACACAGCAAAGAGCTGTCAAAAACAACGAACCCACCCTTACACCCTTAACTCACGGTCGAGGCCATAAGACGGGAATATGGTCACACAAAAGGAACGGAACGAGCCACCGCCGTTGCGTCGAGATGGTGGAGTGTTCTCTCGCAGGATAAACTCAATCTATCGCTTTGTGCTTCCATCCCCATCTCTTTTGCTCCCTCACATGACAAGAAGCTGCAAGCTCGAATGGAATAGGCTTGCTGCATACATCGATGTCGCGTGCGATCTTTTGACACTAGGTATGTAGCATAAGGCAAAGGCATGCGCAACTGCGCCTACGTAAACGCAAGTCTGGGTCGTGGAATTGACCCATGGAGAAACTTCCAATATAATGTGGGATGATCTTTTTCTGTCCTGCCACGCACGCAAGCACGCACGCAAGCATGTCCACAATGTAAGGTGCCTGCCGTTATTGTCGCACAATACAAGGCAAGATGATGCTCCTAGCCGAAAGAATCTTCTCTTGCATGCATGGTTGGTTACAGATGCATGGTTAGAGGTGACAATCCGAGCTGAGCTGAGCTGAGCGGCTCGTGATGCATTGCTTCTCCCCGCCAATCAATAGCTAAGCCATGTCGTGTAATATGATCGATCTGCTTGCCATGTCATATCAAATGTCGCTGATGTTAAAGACCCTTGTGCAGTTCTCTGGACGCCATACGTACCGCCAAATGGACGCCATGGCCGAGCAGGGATGTCTCTTTAGAACTTTAGGGCTGCGGCACGTATAGAATTAACCTCGTCCCTAGCACCAAGTTGAAATGAAGGAGGCAGCACACGATTGCGGAAGCGCACCACAGTAGGTCGTGCTCAATTGCCTTGCGGCCGCTAATAGGCAAAAGGGGTCATTCGATGTAGCAGTAGTCGCGGCCAACACGCATTCGTTTCCTGGGATATCCCTTCGGGAGTGGTGCGCCTCCTCCACCATGACAAGTCGCATCTTGGTCGTACAGGGAATTGTAAATGTTACCTGTCTCCGCTATCTTCTTGCAGGACCCTGTTGCGGCAAGGAAAGCCACTAGCGAGCCGACCGAGATTGCTGCATTCCACTTACTTCGGCCCGAATAAGTACTTTGTCGTTCACTGTTGTATCAGTCCAAAACCGCGATCGCATGGTGAATATCACTGGTGTTGTCGATATAGACCAGGTCGAACACGATTCAAATGAGCAGTTAATAGCTGATTCTCGCGATAGGTAATGTTCATCGATTGAGCTTGCATGAATGCAAGCGACGTTAATCCCTTCGTTTATCGGTGTAAGCTGCAGTGCACAAGTTCGAATCAACGATGTAGACGAAGACCTGGGGCTACAGGGGCTGGAGGGTAGGACACGGGATCCTGCATCACGGATGCATTGTCTACGCATGGACTCCAGGCTGACTGGCGGTGCAAACCTACTTCCATCGTAGGTAAAGACGCAGCTAGCTCTGAAAGATCGAGAGCAGCCGGTGTATATGCATACTCATCCCACTGCATCAGTCGCGCATGATATCGGCCGAAAGGTTGTTGTCATCAGAGAAGACAAATTTCCTCCACAATTGTACGCTCGCATCGATGTCGTGCGATTTCTTCGAAATCCTCTCAGGTTGAAGCAGAAACCCCTCCACAACGGCTTCCTTAAGACTCTTGGTAGAGGGCGACGAAGCACCTCCATAGGAAGACGTAATTGCTTGTATTGGTGTGACTGGGCCAATGTGCCGGAGGCCAATTTTCATGGGGACACTCATGCTGCCATCAAGACCTGGAGACGACCCATGATGGCGCTCACAATTACCAATTATTGAATTGCGAGGATGAGATGAGATACTCCCGTCATCATTGCCAATATCGAGATTTTGCGTCCAAAGAGCAGCATTGTTTCGTGAGCAGCGGTTGTCGTAAGAGCCTGTAGCCCGCAAATCATCCCTGTGGGTCGAGGTCTCACAATTGGATACGTTAATTGCCTTCCAGTTCCCCACAGAAGGTGCAGAAGTCAACTTAGACTGCTGTGCACAGCTATTAGAGGGGAGCTGCTGTTCGATAGTGTGCTCTTCCTGCAGTGTTGTTCTATCTGGGACATCGGACTGCTGATCAAGAGAAACGTGCATCAGACGCATGTTATGCTCAAAAGGCTTTGTGTACGAGCCATGGGGGCTGCTTGCATCTTGGGAGGGGCGTGCGTTACTTGGAGAGCGCTGTGCTTCAGAATCGCTGTTCAGTTGTACGCGTCTGGTGGCGTAAGGTCCCCTGCGCAACTTCATATTGGACATAAAGGCAGGTGTCAATTCGCCTGGTGCTGGAACAGGGCCCTGTAAGCCAAAAGTCAAATCCTTATTAGGGACCTCCGTGGAACCATCGCGATTGACATTCACCGATCGTGGCGATAGTCTCGACTCTAGTGTAGGTGCATAATGGCCCTCCTCATCAAACAACATGGGTTCTGGCGAATTGCCTGGAGCGAAGGTTCCAGCGTGGGAGGGCGCATGATCCGTGAGCTGCATTGGCGTTTGACTGGCCAATGCATCCGTCCCAATGCGGATTCTGATATCTTTGGCATCAATCCTCTCAGCTCGATGAGCAAACTTTGGGGAGCTATGGTGATCGGTGTGATGAATCTGCGGACGCATGCGAGTCGACAGATTCTCTATCTTCTTGCGTTTGCCTATGTCGGCCTTTGCCTCTCCAGTATCGAAATGCACGTTCGCTGGATAGGAAAGACGAAGACCGGCCCAGTCTGGGGTCTCGAGCAGCCTTTTCCTCTGATTCTCGATCGTAGTCGAATCTTTGCCCAATACCGATGTCTCTTTACTCGAGTGTAAGCAACCCGGAGGATCGTCTGTAATCATATCAGCCGCTGAACCTTCTTCTCGTACCCTCGCCGCATTCCAATATCACGCTTACTGCGATAGACATTTTTGGAGGTGAGATGGCGACGTCTGACTTCTCTGGTGGTTTTTACACCGCTGTAACTTCTGGGTCGACATTGTGCCTTGAGTGAGTCATGGGATTGTGGACGCCGTTGTATTGGCGAAACATCAGGGCGGCCCTTAGCAGGGCGACCATACAGCGATGGCTTTAGCATTGTATACGGGGGCCTCTTCTCTATTCTTCCCTCATCGTCATCATCATTAGCAGCAACAAGAGCGGCATTATCACCATGAGAACTGAAATGGCGACGGGAGGATATTGATGTCATGTTAGAGCTATCCCGATGTTGCATACGGGCATTTTCAAAGTGTTGCTTCTGTTTACGAATGATATCGTTTCGTGCACTCTTCGAGTGGCGATTCAGACTTCCTCCCATCCAGTTCATATCTTCTGTAATTGTGGATTCGCCAACTAATGCTTATAGCACTCGCGGGTTTGGAGGCAAAACAAAGATCCGCGGTAATCCTGTGCGGCAATTTCCGAGCTGCGCAACAATGGAATGGGTATGTGAACGGAGTTGGGTGGGAGTAAATGCCTACTCGCGAATCGTAGGATGTGTGTTTGAGTGGTGGTGGTAGTAGTTAGTGATGTGGAGTAAGTAAAAGGTAGTAGCAATTACCGGTAGTCTGTGCCTTCCCCCGCAAGAAAGAAATACCTACCTACGGACACCTACCTCATTACATGCGAATCAGAACCCAAGTCAATCTCAGCGAAATCGACAACAAGAACCCCGTGACAGGCAGGAGGAATATCATGTCACGGGCGACAAGAGCAAGACATGTGATAGGGACGCGGCTTCTTTCACGGCAATCATCCTTCTCTTTGGCAACTTTACCGAATGCTTCCATCATACCTAGAAGGAGAGTAACTATCTCTCCCCCGTCCTCTGTCCTCTTTCCTCATACCTTTGTCGCTCATTCGAACGGACTGAGCGGTTTCATCTCATCCATGCACGTGGTTGCCTCCTGTCCTTGTTGATCTTAATTCTGAGGCTGCTCCAGATCGAAATGCAACCTCCTCGGTTAAAGTAACGTTGAATGTGCGGGTGAAATGAAATCTCGAATTGAAGCCCGACCTAAAACGCTTCTCCGCACCCTAATCAAGTGGGGAATTGTGGAGTTCAAACCAACCCTCTCGAATTGTTGTGTTTCTCATCGTCCATCTATCGACGCGATGCGGCCTTTTCTTGAGAGAAGAATGCTTGATGACTATCCAATAACGTCGATTGAGCAAGTTGTTCGAGAATTATTGCAAGAGCTAGATGTACAGGAATGGAAATGCTATGAGGCGTGCCTGCTTGGGAACGTTCCATTCCCCCAAGGAGGAACTTCCCCTTTCCCCCAAGGAGAAATCCCGCTCATTCCCCTCCGTTGAATGCCTTCAAGATCCTCCAACTTACACTTGCTAGCATCCACAGTGCATACAGGACCTGACAATCTAATCTCCCGCCTTATCCAGGATCCCAACAACCGCACGGAGATTGTTAGGTAACTATATGTTACTCTGGAGGCCGCACAATATGTGATCAAGGACCTAAAGGCCACTTTCTCAAGTCGGCTCCATCTCTCTTGCGGAACTGATTGGTTCAACCGTGCCGAAGTGTTTCTAACAGTCCGTAGTGTCCAATTTTCATACTCTACTACATTCAGGCCAACAACGAATCCATCGACCTAATTGCACACAGTATATTGTCGGAAAGCGCGCGAGAAACCAGGCCCATAGTTTCCTCCACGTATCTGTAAGACGAGTAGATTGCTACTGAGTACTGTGGGTCTTCCCATTGGGGCAGTGAAAATAAAAGGCGCTGTCTACTGGGCATCGGCAACAGACTGGCATCGACGTGCATGGAAGACAAGCAGTCTCGGTGAGGATCCTGCGCCGTGTGTTCGTATTGCGAGTTGCAAAACTGCACAACGACCTCATTGTCCACTGATTGAACCGGAATTTGACCTTTACCCCAGTTTCCAATTACAGCGCTGCATACTGAAAGTCTGCAAGACCCTATCCCATCCATTGTAGGATTCGTTCAAATGCGATACGAGCACGCACAGTGAGGAGTGGGGCTGTAGAGTGATGTCAAGCGCCGAAAAGGTGATACTTTTGTGGGTACCGAAGCACCTTCATCTTACCGAATTGAGTTGTTCAGCGTTGCGGCTTAATGCAGGAGACATACAGGGACACCTACTGGTACAGTAAGTAAATGCGCTTACAAGGAAACTACTTGTGCTTGTATGCAATGCAGCAAGTCTGCTACCTATCCTATCCAGCACCTCGAAAAGGCTGGCGCAGGCTGACATGTGAAAGAAGCGATAAGGTCTTATCAGCTGCAGCAACGTGCGGTATTGCAGTGATTTCAACATGATGATGCCATAGTTTATGTGTTCTTTGACTGAGGCGTTCGAAAGATGTGCTTTCTGCCAGAATGTACGCAGGGCAGGTATGGTGAACGTGTGTGCATCACAACAGGTTGTGGTCATTGCGGACCAACCAAATGAGCCGCACGAATCCATAATTACTTGCAAGCTGCGCCGATTGCCCATTCAAAACATCGAGGGCTGGTTGGCTCTGCATCGACGCCAGCAGTATCAGGTAAGGCCCGGAGTCAACCGACCTTTGATTGCCGCAAGTGTTCAGCCTCAGGGTTGCTCTCTGCAGCGTTTGTAGCCGAGTTGGCAGTCAGAAACAAGCAAAAGAGTGGCATCCCGTTGCAGCGGGCTCTTGGCACATCACAGCAATACCGGATCTTTCTCGCAGATGCCGTATATGCGAACTGGGAAGGGTAATCGAATTGGCGATCGAACGCAGATTTGTGCAAGTCCCTGAAGGCGTTTGGACATGTCGTTGGTTAAGAAACACCGACCTGGGCAGCTAAACTGAGGCAAATTGGCGAGTGCCGAGTATCATGGCGTCATATCTCGGAAGACTTTTCGAATCGGGGGCGAGGGGACCAACAAACCTTCAACCAACCGCGGCCGTACGGTACGAGTATTGTGTACAGTCAAGTCAGGTCCCTCGACGTACGTCTCATCTACTACGAGGTACCGCTTCCACGAGTACCACATGGCTAGCTACCTGGGCAAATACTAAGTAATTACATGTACGAGGATAGGATCCTCCAAGCGCACCACAATGACCCCTTGCACTGTGCAGTTATCTGTCCACAGCCTGTCCACAACTGGTCTATCTACACACAAATCGACACTCCTACCCGTATCAGCGCTTTTTAATGGGCTTTTAAGATGTGACATAGTGGTCATGGTTGCAACCGCTCGCTGCTTCAACTCCATGCTCGGGCGCATGGCAAATACCCACATTCAATACTACTCGGGTTGGAATTCCGTCGAATGAGACCTGAATAGTAGACCACAACCTCCAACCATATGTCTTCAACCTTCGACGGATCGCCCCCTAGGCTGCTGTCCGCCCATTCTTTTTGGGATTGTCAACCCGCACTATGACGCAAAAGTATCCACAGTGTGAGACTTCGTTGATAAGAATTGTACACACTATGCGCTATCGAGGTTTCAACGTGCCTGTAACGACGTCGTTCATCCACCGGTGAAATCCTGTCACACTCGCCGCACCTGCGGTAATTCTGGCATGTGTGCGCATCATCCGTCAACATGTCCTGCCAAGTGTTGATGTTGACTCTCGTTGGATTGATTGTATAAATCTCGACGGAATTCCCTCTCTTCGGCATTAGCATCCATCTTCATCTCCACAAATACCCACAGTTCTCTCCGCCATCTTTGAGGGGTTATCTGGAGTATCTCCGTTTTCCTGAAAGCGACTCGAAACCTATAAGAGACCTTATCCACAGACAAATACAACCCCAATCTTTTCCCCACAGACTTTCGAAGCTGGGAGCAGATCTACAAACGATTCCACTTCATCTCCACACATCTACCTCGTAGCGTTCTACAGAATCAGAAATATCACACATTCTTCACAATGTCAGGACCATCTCTCGTCATTCCTAGTGAGGGACGCTTCATGCGTCGTCTCAGCTCGAATGAGGCCACGCGTGAAAACATCAAACTAGGCCCTACAGTCGTCGTTCCCCCAAAGCACCTCATGGCTCCGTCAGATGCCTCAGAAGTGGCAGCCGCCATGGAAACCGCAAGACACGAGCTTCAAGATGGAGCATCCCCTGCAACTCCAACCTCACCCCCAGAGTCATCGGTTACCGACAAATATGCCTTCGCTTTTGATATTGATGGCGTCCTTATCCGAGGCGGTCGTCCAATTCCAGAGGCCATTGAGGCCATGAAGATGCTGAATGGTGACAATGAATACGGTGTCAAGGTGTAAGTCGTCAGCTCGATCATTACATGCCGCTTCGAATACTAATCTGAACAGTCCATACATCTTCGTTACCAATGGTGGCGGTAAGACAGAGTCGGAAAGATGCGTTCAGCTCAGCAAGCAGCTTGAAATTGAGGTCTCGCCTGGCCAGTTCATCTGCGGCCACACTCCCATGCGAGAGATGGCCGAGAAATTCAACACCGTCCTCGTCGTCGGTGGAGAAGGCGAAAAGTGCAGACTCGTTGCTGAAGGCTACGGTTTTAAGGATGTTGTCACTCCTGGTGACATCATCAAAGATAACGAGGATACGACGCCATTCCGTACTCTGACCCCGGAGGAATACAAAAACTCCAGGGCCCGCAATTTCGCTGAAGTTGAGATTGAAGCTATCTTCGTCTTTGCCGATAGCCGGGACTGGGCTTCTGACCAGCAGATCATCTTGGATCTTCTGATGTCTAAGAATGGTCGCTTGGGTACGCGATCCGAGACCTTTGAGGAGGGTCCACCCGTTTTCTTCTCCCACAACGACGTTGTTTGGAGCGCCTCTCATGACCTTACCCGCATTGGAATGGGTGCTCTTCGCGTTTCCCTCGAGGCTATGTTTAAGGCTGTTACTGGCAAAGAGCTGAAGACCACTGCTTTCGGCAAGCCTCAGATTGGTACCTTCGAATTCGCTACTCGCCTTCTTCAGCAATGGCGAAAGGACACCCACGGTATCAACTGCCCACCAGACACTGTCTACTTTGTTGGCGATACACCAGAGTCAGACATTCGTGGCACCAACGAGTACAACAAGCACGCAGAGAACAACTGGTATTCTATCCTTGTCCGTACGGGTGTCTTCCAGGAAGGAACCAAGCCTCGTTTCCAGCCTAAGGCAACCGTCGACAATGTGCTCGAGGCAGTCAAGCATGGCATTGAGCGCGAGTACCGCAAGGCTCTGAAGGCTAGCATCGAAAGCACCGGTGTCATCTTGGAATAAGCACACTCGTGCTACACTGCGACCAAGTGGCTGCTGAGCCTCTCCTCTCTTTTGCATAGCATTGGCGTTCGGATTTTATTGGACCTCGATCGAGATTTCTCTCTATCGCTTTTCTTTCTCTACGGCTGTGTCCGTCCTTTTCTATCAAATTTTTCTCACTTGGAACACATCCAAGATTCATGATATCACGATACTAGCATCGCATCACATTGTTATCCACTAGAGGCATTCCTCGAGAAGCAGATCCAGCTAAACGTTGAAGAATAGAACTATCTAGATGTCTGCGTCAATAGATCATAAACATTTTACATGCCAACTTCACTCTCCAAGCTTCCTGGTGCTTTTGTAGATCGCAAGTGGTATCTATAATGAGGTCTTCTCTTAGAACCGAACTTCTAGGCAAATGATCTGAACGCAGAAACGTAGCTGACCAACAATAACAAGAAATGGCCCTTGTGCATAAGCATCGCAGCCAACAACTTCGTTGCACTATTTGCCATGTGGCTAGATGACGCAGCCACGGAAAACAAAACCTGCTCCCTATAACGCTTGCCAATCAGCTAGCACTTCGGCCCTACTTACAACAAATTTTCACTGACCGCTCTTGAGACCTGGATCGTCCGCGTCACTGGGCCGCAGCCGCAGCCGCAGGTCATTGAGCCACCCGAGCGAGCATCATCGACCCATCCCTGCCAGGTCGGCCCGACTGCACATGTCAATCTCTCGACACGTTGTTCCCCTGGCAGATCCCCGTGTGGTCGCTCTGGGCATTCGGCTCATCTCCCGCCGGTAAGATCGACCCTTTCCAATCGCCCGGCTCCTCCAAGTATACACGCAGCGTACTTACAACCTCGCCTTGATGCTCGTACAAGTAGAGTTACATTTCCAAAATTTGATGGAATAGCTCCAGCCTCACGGTGGAACTTGTTTCACGAAGACATTGCTTGTGCGATACGAACGTATCACTTTCCATCCCGAACTATAATTTCTCATTTCCAACCGCTTCCGCGCGGCGTAGAATCTTCGGCTGGAACCACGAATAGACGGGATGCCCTGGCCGGGGAAAGCGACAATGAGAACGAACAACCATAGTTACAGGCTTTAGCCTGCTCAGATCTGACACTCTTCAACAATTACCAGGACTTACAACGTACCCCACCCCCAAACTTCCACGACCCGCCATGATCAAACGGCATCCCGCTCTCAAGGGATCCTGTTCATCCCCCTGGCCCCCTTTACTCCAGCGATTTCAACAGGGACATTCGTTGTAATTATCCTCAGTCATGTCATGTCATGTCCATGCCATCTAGCTGTCAGCCTTAAGATGATCATTCAGTTGGGGCTTCCCAAGTTTCGCACGATGTTCCCATTCGACCCTGGACCCCGTAAACCCTAATTCTCCACAACGCCCTACACGAGGGTAACGGGTCTCGCGATGAATTCCCCGAGATTACCAGAACAATGCTGAATGCTGAAGCGCAAGCCACCAGATATCAGGGGCAGTTACTACATTTTCCCTCAACTCTAGTCACACGTATAGTATCTGTTCCAGGCCGTGGGTCGTCGGTGATATATGCGAGCGATTTCTTCTAGAACCATGGCACGGAAAAGGCCCTAATTTCCTATTCAGCGAAGAAGGGCTAATTACTGGTGAGCGCGGGTTGTCCGTTCCTCCCTCCCGTGCTTGTCCTCAGGTACATTCATTCTAGAACCAATCAGAGCGTTGTTCGACGAACCCCTTGAGGAAGTTGCTTATGGCTGGCCGCGTATACAAGTACAGGTATCGGAAGGTACCAAATCACCGCTCTGGAAGGTATGCGCGATGTTTCGCGCCGGTGTTTCTTCACCTGTTAAGTCGACCGTTGTTTGCCATCTCCGCATCCTGCAGGTCTGTTGAAGACGATGGGACGAGGCTAAATTGATAGGCGCTATCGTACGATAACGAGCGATGAAGCCGATAAAGCTGCGTTATTTACAACGGTTACTTCAGATTAGGTGAATAGATAACATGCACATGTCAGGAAGTCCCGTCTGCTCCGAATAGAGATACTTCGGCTAGTGCAGAATCTAGTAAGGGATGCTGGGATGTAGTGGAATGCCTTCAGGAATGAAAACACGCAGATACCGACGGGATATCGGTCCCAGATTTGTCCCTAGATTTGTCAGGATCAAGGAGTCAGGATAGGATTTCGAGATCGAAAAGATGCTGTAAATTTGTTGTGGAAACTTTGCCGGAAATGATGAGGGAGCGCGCGGGTTCCGCATGTGAAGGACGCGTGCTCACGGCCATGTCCGAAGATGGTGAACAGGAGCCAGAGAAGATGCGTTTGCTTATGGTGTCCTTTGTACTGCACCATGGTATTCATGTTGAAATTCTTTGAAAATAGGAAGCTCATACAAATGATTAGTAACTTCCGCAGTGTTTATCAATGCGAGTAGATCCTGTTCACAGAACTGAATATAATCTTGAACGCAAGCATATGTTTATTTTTACAGTTTTAACAGTATAACGAGGTATTTTCATCCAAAGTATAGTCTACCTACTCCTGTGAAAGGTCACCATAATCACAACTCAAGATATTAATTTGCTCAGAAAGGAGTATTAGATATATATCGTATGCTATATCAAGTTATATATTCGTGGGCGACACATAAGGAAAACCTTCAGACTGCGGCTATTGAGCAAACTCGGTTCAATTCCATCTTTGCTGTAAACATGTTGCTGTTTGCGCTTCAACCTTTGATGGCTACCTGCGTGTCGTCCTTTGAAATCAGAAAGAATACAATGATTTTTACAAATAATCAGCGAATGATGTAATCGAGATCAGTGAGGTCGAGATCACTGGACTCATAATCAAGATAGTCTTCCTCATATTGGTCCTCAAAAATGTCCTCCAAATTATCACCGTTTGGTTCTTCTTTGTTGCCTTGTTCTTCTTGCTCGACGTCGACTTCCCTGCTGTCTTGTATATCTTGCTCGACTTCGACCCCCTCACCGTCTTGAGGTTCCTCCTCGACCTCGATATCTTTATCGGTGTTTCCTTGGCTACCTTCTTCCACCTTTTCTTCCACAGTTTCTTCGACAACTTCAACATGAACATCCTCGTTGTCTTGATTATCTTGCTCGTTCTCTATTCCCTGGTTGTCTACGCTTTCATCGTTGACCTGATCTTGTTCGTTATTTTGGCTCTCTTCGTTGCTTTGACTATCGTCGTTACCTTGGTTCTCTTCGTTCTCTTGGGTCTCCTCGCTCTGATTTGCTGCGTCGTCACTGTTCTCAGACTCTTCAGTGCTCTGGCTTTCCTCGGCACTAGCAGCCTCTTCAGTATTCTCGGGAGCCTCCGCCGAGTCCGTAACCGACGACTCCGCTTCCTCCCCGTCGCTATTCTCCCCTGACTCAGAGGAAGCCGTGCCCGTAGCTTGAGGCCATATGGCAGGCGAGGGACGACCTCCAGTCTCCCAGGAGTCCAGTGCAGAGTAAACCCCATCAATGTCCCCGTGGTTGTAGGGATTGGTGCTGTAGAGCCATGCTAACTTCTCCCGGATGGCTTCGTCAGTGAAGTCGTCTGGAGTTGCGTCCTTGGGGCGGAACTCTGGTGTCATGGGGTCGATGAACATAGTACTGTTATCATAACCCCAATCTGAAAGTTGAGCGACATCGAATGCTGCCAGCATGTCTGTAAAAATGTTAGCCTTCGTTTGAGACAGGACCTCGGAGATATTCAATGTGCATGACTTACCGTTATCTTCGTGAATGAGGTTGTGACAGTGAAACATGTACACTCCAGGCCAAGGAGCATAACGAGCCAAAACCTTGACAGTCTCGCCTCCCGCCAGCCAAACAATGTCCTTCATTCCAGCAGATTCGTACGGACGAACTGCACCGCGGCCACCCGTGCGCTCGAGGACCTGGAAGTCGATGAGATGGATATGGACGGGATGTGTTCCATCACCCGCGCCATTTTTCAAAGTCCAGATCTCGTCCTTACCGCGCTCCGGCCTCGTCAAGATGCGGTTTTCGACATCGGCGAATCCTACGCCATTGATGTTCCACCTGCCGCCTCTTACTCGTGCGAAGGTGAATTCTTTGTCGGTGTCGGAAGGATTGGCTGGCGGGATGTCGTGCAGTTTAGGCGGAACGGGACCGTTATTGTCCCAATCAGTCACCTCTTCGCCAACAACGAAGCGCGTGACTAGATCAGTCGCTGCGTAGTCGACGTTCTCGCCCATACCCCTCGCGTTTCTGAGAGTGATGTTTTGGCCTCTGTGTTGTGCAAAGTCGAAGATGATTTCGTAGCGCTCACCCATGGCCATCGCTAGATAGTTTGTCTTCACCGGAGCACCGAACAATCCTATAGACATATTAGCATATTACTTATCAGGAAAGAGATGTTCATTACATACCACCATCGGATGCAATTACTGTGAAACCGATACTCTCTCCTTTGGCTACATCCTCGGTTGCAGCTGTGAATGAGAGTCCAAAGGCTGGACTGAGGTTAGTAATTGAAGCCCGGAACGCTCAACATCTAAAACATACTTCGGCTGACAGCTCCATTGAGGATACGCAAGCGATACTTTCGAGGCTCAACGGGAACATAAGGCCACGGTTGGCCATTGCTATCGTATATCAGAATGAATTCTTAGGCTTTTTCGTTTACCGAAAAGCGTACATTTGGATCACATCGCCCCACAATCCGATATTGTTGTTGGTATTGTACCAAAGAGATCCATCTGAGTTGTAAGTTTTGGCACTGATTGAGAGTGGCAAGTCGTAGTTTCCGGATGGCAATGCTAGGGCCTGTTCTTCGGGATCGTGGATGAGGTAGAGGCCTTCCTGACCTCGATACACATTCTCGCCGGTCCTGTATTCCGTATGATCCTGTCCGAACTTAGATTTGTTCATTCGGCTTGATATAGTCGTGATGGAGAGATAAGATAAGTCAAATAGCACATCATGTCTTTGAATTACTTACGTGGTACCAGATCGTTCTAGCATTTTGTGCATTTGGGTAGTAGTAGTCCTAAATAAATCAGTCTCGTACACATACAGGCTAATATCAAGTGACGAACTTTGTACTGTCCGGGCGTAGCATAGTCTCCAGCCCAACCGTCAAAAGGTGCACGATCTGTCAACAACGTCAGCTGCTTATTTTGCTTGGTCTAGGGGCGCAACTTACTGTATTGTCCATGCACATGAACAGCCATGTTCAGGGGTCCGTTGTTTGTGAAACGAACAACCGCCTCTTTTCAGTGATGGTGAGTTGATTTGTCCGACATGGTCCAGTGAAATTTGCTTACCTCTACCTCTCTGCATGACGAACATGGGCCCGGGCGATGTTCCATCATATCCTACCAATGGCGTTGCTTTTAGATCTGGATATATTTGTGATTCCACACTGGTGACCTCTACTTCGTAGTAATCAATATCTGCGCCATCCTCATTCGTATATGTACTGTTGTCATCTTTAGCTCCTACCCCATGATAGGCAAGTTTGCTACTTACAATTTTGGAGTCTTGACAACAGGGAAAGGGACAGGGAAATCGAAAATGTAGTTGTACTGCGGACTGATCCAGGTTCCGTCAATTTTCAGTGAATTGGCAAATCTGGTGCCATATGAAGAGAGAGTAAACAAAAGAAGTATGCGAGTCGTACTCCATGAGCGTGGGTAAGGCATCGTGGGCCGTTAGACAACGTCCCAGGGATTTCTGACAACCCAGGTATGAATCGAGGCGGGAATTCAAGTCAGAGGTGAGTTGAAATTCTGAGGAAGGGGGAGAGTCCCGCGATTGGGTATGCGGAACATAAACACATATTCTGGCGTACACATGGTCATATTCAAGGGACATGCAATTCTGCCCATGACGCGATTGAAAAGGTAGAATGCAGCAAAATTCCACCTTGAAGACCTGATCAGGCTTAGAGCGTTGATGCGTACCTACATTCCCATGGACATATGGTTCTCGGAAGCCAGGCGGATAGTTTAGCGAAGTGTACCTTTGGATATGGTATGGATCTAAACCGTAAACACATACGACGCATGACCTCAGGATACCGACTATACGGGCGAGCATCAAATCTACGCACTTGAATCTTTTTTCTGTGATATTCACACAGGCCTGAAAAAGGATTTCTTCCTCATTACCTGTTCTTAGAGTTCCAGTAAGTTTGGTGGGCTTGATTAGGGCGCGAATCTCATTCACCATTGACGTGCACCATGCCAAGTAAACACCGGATCCCCAGTAATCTCCTCGCCCTGATATACACACACTCCACTCCAAGCCAATCCAATCATTGCTTCCTGTGATTGAGAAGGGGAGGTTGGGACTGTCATGGTGCATACTGTATCAGGAAGCAGCACCTCTTGTGCGACCTCGGTACATCTGTTACGCGATTACTCTTGCATTCTTTGTACTCGTCAAGCATTCCGTGGACGGAAATATTCCAATCATGTTTCAACTTAAATAAGATGCTGCTTCCAGTGCCTGGCTACGCGGATAGAGCGTGACGGGCTGCATTCGGCGCGAGGGGTATAATTGTACCAGCCTTCCCTCCAACCTTTCCAATTTCCTGAATGCTGCCAAGAGAAGTTCTTCCTCGCGACGTTGGATGTTCAGCGTCAGAGATCCATCAAATTCTGTTCTAAGACCTTGGCTATCTGGAAACGTTCCATTTTGTGTGTTCTTACATCACGATCTTCCATCTACAAAGTACTTTACCCAGTTGCTCTGAGAACAGAGTCGTGATGTCCGAGGAGGTCACTAGTATAGTATACATGACAACAGAGTGGCCATTAGCCAAAGAGGGCCTCGATCAGGAAACCATGATTGTCGTGGCTCTTCATTTCTAAATTCGTTGTTTTCGTTGTACCTATTAGAAGCTACTATGATCAAATGATGACAAAGTCCTTGAAGGAGTGTTCAGTAAGACGAATTAGAGTCATACTTCGATAGATCATTCCATTCGATATATCGCTATGAGAAAATTCAAGTGGTAGTTAGGGGTTGGAAATCAAATGATCAACCACCGTTGTTCCGTCCAGAAATTGGTTAAGGTAATCCATTATCCTACGACAGTGGTGCACAATTTGTACAAGACTTTCACTACATGGAACAAGAAACGAATGGAATAAGAAATGCCAGTTTAATAATAGTCAGTCGTGCCGCCAGAACACCCGTTATAATTGGATTCTAACCTGTATCAGAGCATAGTAGACTCGTCTGGTTCAAACAATGAAGTTTGCATAGTAAACATGCGTCGGTATCTAAATGCCCCAACTTCAAAAATAATATTACATGTTGTAGAAAATATCCGCCGTTGCTATCTGTGTTTTCTTTTATTCAACGATTGAAATTCTTGGAAGAACTTTCATGTGTCAAACAGTAGCTTGCAGCTCTTCAGATGCCAAAGTTGTCTGCTTCCATACTCTGCATACACATTGCTTCCACCAACAAATCCCTATCTTTCCCACGCAGATCGTCCATCAAATCTGCAAGTAGAACTTCTGCTGGTTGTTGCGGATCAACATCAACATCCAAAGCGTCCCGAATCCGAGCAACCTGCAAATCGAGAAATTTTCTGATGGTTGTGATATTATCCAATTTTCCACCCTCGCTCATGACACCGATTTCCGTGGCAAGGTAGAGATCTCTTCTCTGTTCAACGATCTGTAGTGTTGACAGTGTAACGCGGCCTTCAGTCGTGAATTTTTTGAGTGCAAACTCCAATGGCGTGGCCGTCTCTTCCGCCGGATAAATTATGTTCGAAAAGGATCGTGTTGCCGTACTGACATCTGGGACGTTGCCGATCGTACGGCGAGAGAAGTCGCATGTAATGGCCCCTTCCCCGGCGAGCCTGTTCAGCAAGATTTGGAGGTCGTGGGGGACCTGAGCATCTCCTGTTACATAGCAAGGCTTTGTTTGGCTGTTCCACGGAGGCTTCTCTGAGAGGACATCATGGAATTTGGGAGCACACGAAGCGAGTATCAGTTGCAGAATGGTCCAGAAAGCGAAAAAGGAAAGACACAAGAAGGATACAGCAACACCGAGCATTTTTGGTTGCCTTAAGATAGCCTGAGAGAAAGTAGTATACATATTTGTGGATACGGATAATGCGGCTCGTTCAGGTCTTATACCTAATTCCTTTGACTGTGGTTATAAGGCCACAGATACACGTCCATCTGCACACATATGTTCTGACCATCGCAAACGGATCGAACTGTGGGGATCATGAAAGTTTGGTGATCCCTCGTTCCATTCAAGGCCGACCGTTGGTGTAGATATGGTTCTGTGTGAACAGATGGCACCAATCTCCAACCAAATACAGAGAGCCTTTTGTATTCATAAGGCTGTGTTGTATGATCGGTATGGACGTGGAAGGATTCATAGCATGTTGAGGATCCGGATGCACGATCCTTGGGATCAAATCAGGTAGCTTTGTACATGCTATCTCTTTTAAATAGTTCTTTTAATAATGTGCCATTTCAAATAAAGGTAAGTATTTTGCGATGTGCTCTTATGTGCTGCATCCGTAAGTTGTAAAGGCGACAATCTCCAAAGAATGGTTTTCGACGGTGGAACGAGGCGCAAGAGGTGTAGGCATGTATGCTGTTTCGAAACTACGCCCTATGAGAGGACACCGAAGTCCGACACACAGGGAACAACCAATAACGATGCGAACGTAGCCTACCATTACAGAAATCGTAAATGTGGCATACTCGCGATCCAGTCTCGACTCCATTCTGGCTCTTGTTTTCGCACGAGCAACTACATGCTCTTTGGCACTCAGTAGCATGCATGATGCTTTTCGCAGACATCACCAGTATTATGGACATATCATAGCTAAGTGGAGATATCAGGAAATGTCTCTTGTCGCATGTTCCGTACGAGTTGAGGGCAAAGCTTCCTTCTACATATGAGCTGTCAAATATTTTTCTTTACTCTACATCCGTGTATCCGAATGAGGAGACCAGTGAAAGGTTGGACTTTGTGTAGATAACACTAAAAGACTTCATGTCTAAAATTATCAAAAGCCGTGGCCTGTATATACTTAAGCTTCCTTTGCGACTTGCTCCAGAGTCTTCAAATACTCGCCCACTTCCTTTGCTCCCACGAGCGTGAAATCTCTCTTTCTGCCCTCAAAAACTACATACGGCACGCTGTCAACCCCATTCCCCGCCTGCTCCCTGATCGCCATCTTCACATCCATCAAGCCCTCGCTATCATCGTTCACCAGTTCTTTGGCTTCCTGTTCCGACAAACCGGCATCAATGCAGGCTTTCGAAAGCGTGGCCGTCGAAGACGGATGAGCTTGTTTGGTGAAGTACTGTTCGTACAAAGCTGCGGTTGAAGTCAGATATGAAAGTCAACAGAAACATCTTACAGAAGGAGATAACGAACAATCAACTGCTTTTCTCGCCCCATCCTCGCCCTTCCGCTCCTGCACCACCTGCAACACTCGATGCGCATTCATCGTATTCGCGATAGTGCCATGGAAGTCGAACGTCACACCTTCTGCCTCTCCCAAAGCGCCCATGTATTTAGCGAACATTGCCATCTTTTCTTCATTGTCGTCGTACTTTTTGCTCTTGTACCATTCATACTTGTCGATGCCGTCAGTGGAAAAGTCTGGGTACAATTGGTACGGGAGGAATTTGAGGGTGAAGTTGACTGGTGAGTCGGTCGGGTGGGCGTCCCTGTACTGCTTTAGAGCCTTGGAAAGTCGGAGGTATCCTAGGTATGTCCTGGTGATTTGAGTCAACACGTGCGATGTGGGTTGCACGGAGTGGTCCAGTGGCATACCATGGACATATTGTGTCGAGTGTAAATGCTATTGTAGAGTCGTACGTCATTGTGGTGGGCCTATGGTAAATATTTGTTAGGTGGATGCAATGTTGTAGTCATATATAGGTAGTTATGTGTACGAAGTAGTGAGCACACATAGCGAACAAGTAGGTATAGATGCATACAAGTCCCGAGGAGACATCCTGGCCGCACATCAGCGTCATGCGGGGCAGTTTTACCACTAGATTCAATGCCCGTCCCCGCACTTGTGGCTGTGGTAGCAGAGCTAACGACAGACGTAGAATGATATACGACGGATCTTGAGGTTTGGCCGAAGAATAACCAATAATATTGTCAAACGAACATTAATTTGAATTCATACATGTCAACTCACACTCGTGTGAGTAGGGAAAATAAGGTCTTGAAGGGATACAAAGCATGCTGAACCAAAATGCCTCTTCGCTGAAGCGTTGCAAAAACGCCCGATACATGATTGTCCAAGAGAAAGCCAGACTCCGAAGGAAATGTATAATCGTTCAAGAGTTTAGTTGGACATAGTTGCCTGAGAGAGTCATTAGTTCTGTGATCATTGCGGTAGTGGAGATTCAACATACCTGGAAATTGTCCTTGCCGTCCACGAAGTTTGCCCGTCCACCACTCGTTCACGTTCTGGGTGCGCGAAACGATTTCGATCACATCGCCAGTGGTAAAGCCCAGGTCTCCCTCGGCTTGTGCTTCATAGTCATACAGTGCCGTGACAGTCTCTGCCGCAGGTGCACCGCTGAGTCGAGAAGGCTTTGGTTTTGGTGGAGGTGGTGCGGCACCCTTAGACTTGGCAGCAGATCCCCACGAAGTCGCTGAAGCTGGGGGCGAGAGGGCGTTGTTGGCAGGTCCTGGGCTGTATGGTGGAGGCGGTGTTTCAGTCTCATCAGAGAGCACAGATGATTGCCGCTCGCCTTTGGCCTCCAATGCTTTTTGGCCGTATTTCGACATTGGTTGTCCAGGTCTCCTTCCTCCTGTTGTCTTGAACTTTGTGATAGAGATGGCCTCTGCCTGAGTCTGAATATCGCCTCGCTTCTTCTCATAAGCAGCCTCGATATCGAGTGTTAAATCGAAATAGCCAATGTCGATATTCTGCATGCGCTCGTGCAACGTATAGAAAACGTTCAGCTGCATGTAGTAGAAGGACTGGAAAAGAGGTTTGATAAACTCCCTCTCCAGCCTGAAGAGCTTCGGCAATTCATCTTTGAGAAGGTCGTTGAAATAATTGTAATCTTGGGTGGCCTGTTCCACGTCGTTTTCTGCCCGATACATGGCCTTCTCATCCTTCAATGTCTTATCTTTCTTGTCCTGGAGCTTCTTGAGCGCAGTGCGATGGCGATCGTAGTCGAGCTGTTTGTGATCACGCTTGAGCGCGATTTTGCGCACTGCCTTGATGATTTCTAGCAGTTGATCCGCAGGGCTAATGACGCGGGATTCTATCATTTCAAGTTCGGGCTTCAATGTTTCTTGTAGTTCCTTCACAATGCCTTCATATTCCTCGCATGCCCTGATTCCTTCGACGTTCCCCTCTTGCACGAAGGAGTCCGGATCCGACATTCGTCCGGAGATGGGTTTGTAGATTTCCGCTATCGCTTTTGAGAACTCAATCTGATGGGTGAGCATGCCTGAAAGTTTAGTTAGCTCCGCGATTCATCTGGAATAATAGGTAGGCAGAAACGAACTGTTGATGGCGTCGAAGTACCTGTGCCGCGTTAACACATCTTAGCTTTGTGAAATGGGAACCAGCAGGAAAAACGCACTTTTTAGACTCATCATGCAGCCTCTTAGTTTCCTTCTCTAGCTCTTCGAAGCGTCGCTCTGCGTCAATGTAGATCGCATCTTTGGTTATTTCTCCCTGCGAGTGTTGCGCGCATTAGTGAGGGCTCGATGAGTTCCCGGAAGCGGGCGCGAAGGCCGCAGCCAGCTCGGATGTATTCAAGATTGAACATACGATATTGAAACGCTGTTTGAAGGTTTGCGGCGCCTGTGGATGATGAGTTAGCTCAAGCCGACGTCATCCGTGACCATGGCATACCCGAGTGACGCTCTTCGTCAGACCTTTCCAACTCATTTGGTACGACTGGAAATTGTGATGTGATTCGGGAAGAAGGATGTGTAGTATGTGTTAGAGTAGCAGAGGCCTAACACAAGGTAGGATATGCGCAGGTAGAAGAAGTAGAAGAGGAGGAATAGGAGCCCAAGTGGGTAGGTTTTTTGGCACGGTGCTGGCGTTTGGCGGGCGTGGGTGACGGGCAAGACGGGGTTCTTTGATGCGAGCGAGCGATGGCAGTGGCAGATGCTATGACGACGAAGAGAGTGGCACAAGTGGCTGAGCGAATGATGTTGCCCGGTCTTGGACGCTAATTGGCTACTAAAGTCCGACCAAGAATCATAGAAGACGCGTAGTGGGATGCGTAGTACCTCCGTACTCGTAGACAAGACACTTTATCGGAGGGAAGGCAGCAACAATTATGGAATCTTGCAGCGCGTTTAGCTGATAATCATCATTCTATCTACACAGTTTTACGGATTACACAGGTTCACCGCCGTCAGATCACTCCTCGTTGGACGGGCTTTCCCATTGAGGAGAAAGGTGCGTTCTGTGTGTGTTTGTGTGTTAGTGTGTGGTACCTCCTCGGTCCTCGCTTACCAAAGCCGGAGATAGTGGCCACCTGCCAAGCAATTACCTAACTACCAGAGCTTTAACGGAGTCGGCAAAACCTCTGACTCCAGGTATAATTTCCACCCCTCGTACCTCTCTTTTCCATCACTCGCCATGTCACATCTTGCTCCTTCTTTTGCGAGGCAGGCTGTTCGCATCGCAACTCGCCGTTATCCATCATCCGCCTTTGCCCGTGCTGCTCCTGGTGCTGCAGCACTCCGCAGCCATGGATACAGGAGCTATGTAACGGAGACGAAGCCATCCAATGCCACCGTCAACGTCGAGACTGCCATCAAGGCTGATCAAAAGGCCTTCTTGGAGGAGACTGGGAAGAGGCCTCAAGATGTCTCCATGCCCACCACCGGCATGGCAGCTGATGCCATGCTGAGCCCCTCTGCCGGTATGCGGAACCCCTCATCGAGTGTCGGTATCGAGTGGCAATTGCTAAGAATTTGATAGGTATCTTGAAGCAAGCTACCATCATGGATGAGGGTTCCCGTCCCATCTACATGGATATGCAGGCTACCACACCCATGGACCCGCGAGTGGTCGATGCCATGCTACCATTCATGACTGGCCTCTATGGTAACCCTCATTCTCGAACCCATGCATATGGTTGGGAGACCGAGAGGGCCATCGAGCAAGCTCGTGAGCATATTGCAGACCTCATTGGCGCCGATCCGAAGGAAATCATCTTCACAAGTGGTGCGACCGAGAGTAACAACATGAGCATCAAGGGTGTTGCTCGCTTCTTCAAAAGATCTGGCAAGAAGAACCACATCATCACTTCACAGACTGAACACAAATGCGTCTTGGACAGCTGCAGGCACTTGCAAGATGAGGGTTTTCAGGTGACATACCTGCCAGTCCAGAGCAATGGTCTCATCGACATGGCTCAGCTCGAGGCTGCCATTCGACCGGAAACCTGCATCGTCAGTATCATGACTGTCAACAATGAGATTGGTGTGGTGCAGCCTATCGATGAAATTGGCAAGCTTTGCCGATCGAAGAAGATATTTTTCCACACCGATGCCGCTCAAGCTGTTGGCAAAATCCCACTCGACGTCAACAAATCCAACATTGACCTTATGTCGATCTCCGGCCACAAGATCTACGGACCCAAAGGCATAGGAGCCTGCTATGTTCGCAGACGGCCTCGTGTACGTCTCGACCCTCTCATCAGTGGTGGTGGCCAAGAGCGTGGCTTGAGGAGTGGTACACTGGCCCCACACCTAGCCATTGGTTTCGGAGAGGCAGCTCGAATCTGCAAAGAGGAGATGAAGGTATGTTCAAAACAAATTCTCTTCAAAACCATCCACTTCAATGATTATGAGCACCAAAACATGCATGGCTTTCAGAGTGGTCGGTGTGCTTCACGGCCGCCGGCTCGCCGTGTTGATAAATGTGCAGGGGTTATGAGACTTTCACTTACTCATCGCTTGGCTATCCTTTTCACCCCTGAAGCAAGTTTTCTAACTTTTGCTAGTACGATACCAACCATGTAACAACACTGGCTAATCGTCTCCTCAATGGGTTGTTGTCTTTGGAGCACACTACACTCAACGGTGATCGGGAGAGACATTATCCCGGCTGTGTAAACGTCTCCTTTGCATATGTGGAGGGTGAATCCCTTCTCATGGCGCTAAAGGATATTGCCCTCTCGTCTGGTAGTGCATGTACATCTGCCTCATTGGAGCCAAGTTACGTCCTACGCGCTCTTGGCAGCAGTGATGAAAGTGCACACAGCAGTATTCGATTCGGAATCGGTCGATTCACGACAGATGCTGAGATTGACTACGTATTGAAGGCTGTCCGAGAACGTGTTACTTTCCTTCGCGAACTGAGTCCCTTGTGGGAATTGGTGCAAGAGGGAATCGATTTGAACACGATCGAATGGAGCCAGCATTGAGAATGAGAAAAAGGAAAATACCCTAGCATTTTGTATGATATTTAATGGTGCACCGGATTTAACGGCATTTATGGGAACACGCTCGTTGCAGCGTTGATGACGGAGACTACGAACATTCGCTGTATTATAATTATTACGCTCTTGATTGAACCTTGTTCGGAGCTATTGTATTAAAATGCCACAACATTGTCTGGCGGCCGCATAGGTTTCTCTCCTAGCTTTGGCAATTTTGCACCCCAAGTACTGTATTATATATAACTTGAGAAAATGAACATCGCTGCCTAATAAAATTCATGATGACCTTAACTGTCTTGCCGTGGACCGTTCCCGTAACGTCTTTAGCGAGTGTCTTGCTTGCCAAGCTGCGCTCATGACATCGCGATAGTTCCGCAACATGCTTGGAGCTTCCCCGCGCTGCACCTCATCTCCACCCAAAGCATGGCCGGCGTTCCTGAGAAGGTGCTAAACTGGCTTTATAGCGTTCTACCAAGTGTAATACTCCCACTGTGTGCAGTCCAACCTCTGCTAACGTTCACACACTTCAGGAATATCCGGACGTGAACCGTACCTATCATGACGTTACCGAGACCCTCGCAAACTACCCATCCCTCTCACCTCGAACGGAGGTTTACAGTACGCAGTCGCCCCGTATATATCTACAAAGGCTCCGCGTTGCAGGAACGAAGATACTAATGGGAAATCAGCGTACGAAAATGGCGTTTCGGCCCTGCTATTGCTGCTTAGCGGTACCCTTCCGGTGACATTTCGAGGCGCAACCTACGGTTTCCCCGTCGCGATATGGATACCGCATGCCTACCCTCGTGAATCACCCATTGTATATATAACTCCATCACAAGACATGGTTGTGAGACCAGGACAACATGTTAGCGGTGATGGGAGGGTATACCACCCGTATCTGGCTCAATGGGGCAAATACTGGGATGTAAGTCGGAAATGCCAAAAACCAAGAAGCATTCTATGCAGGAGGAATTGCGACAAGATCTGACTTCTGATTTACAGAAATCTACCATTTTCGATTTCCTGGCGGTCTTAAGAGGAGTCTTTGCGAAGGAGCCGCCTGTTCGGTCCAAACAACAGCAGTACAACGCGCCGGATCAACAGGCAGCTCCCCCACGACCGCCACCACCCCCAACAGGAGTGCAACGCCCTGTAGAACCGACAAACATCGCTTCGCCATTATCGAGACCGTCATCACAAGCACCTGCCCCTCCTCCAAAGCCTCCGAAACCGTACAAGCAGAATCAGAGTACTCCGCAACCGCGACCAGAAGGACGATACAGCCAGCCTCCTCCACTACCACCTCATCCTCCGCAACCACCTCAGTCACAGTACCAGCAACAGTATCAACACCAGCCCCAGCGAAAAGACTATGGGGTTCAGCATGGCTGGCAGCAGCCGGGGCCATCGCCTCCACCAAACATACCGCAACAGCAGATGGGTTATGATAGAAATCCCCCCACACCGGGTTCTAAAGCCCCACACCCTCGTGTACAGGCCACAGGCAGCCAAATATACCAGGACAATTCATATCAGGTTGGCAGCCCGGTGAGTCCACTGACTCCTGAAGACCAGCAGCATAAGGCGCGGTACCAGCAGGGCGCACCCATGCCTCAAGTGCCATCACAAGCAAACCACTCTCAGTATCAACCTCAATACCAAGCGCAACACCCTTCACAACAACAACAGCAACAATATGGAGCCCCTCACCTTCAGCAACAACAGCCACAATACTCGCAGGGCCCTCCCCAGCAGCAGCGATACCAGCAGCAATACCAACAACAGCCTCCCTACAACCAACAACATGGACTACCACCACCACCACAACAACAACAAGCCCCACCAGCCCCCAAACCCCCCATCAACCTCCTCGACGATAGCCTCGAAGTAACGCTCCCCTCCCAAACCGGCTCCCAACCCTCCATCCCCGTGCCACCCGTGCCCCCAAACCCCGAAAAAGACGCCCTCCTAACCGCCCTCTCCCAAACCCTCTGCACCCAGATCCGCCAAACCGTCTCGTCCAACGCCTCGGCCATCGCGCCCCTCCGTGGCCAGCAATCCGCCCTGCAGAACGCGCACGCGCGCCTCCAGTCCGAGCTCGAGCAGCTGCAGCAGCTCGACGCCGCGCTGGCGTCCAACGAGAAGATCCTGCGCGACGCGATGGTTGAGGCAGACCGCGTGATGGGCGACGCGCGGACGCGAAAGGTGCCCGACGTCGATGACGTGCTTGTTGCGCCGACGGTCGTCGGGGGTCAGTTGTATGTGCTCGCGGCTGAGGAGAGGGGCATCGCGGATGCGCTGTTCGTGCTTGGTAGGGGGTTGGATAAGGGGAGGGTGGGAGCTGATGTTTTTGTTAAGGTATGTTGTGCCTCACCTCACTAATCCCTTTTTATGTGCGGGCTAAAGCTGACGATGTATCATTGTAGCAAACGAGGAGTCTGGCTAGAGAGCAGTTCTTGAAGAAGGCGTTGATCAAGAAGATTGCGAAGGGCATGGCTTTGGACGATTATCAGATGCGGTAGATTTTTATGCATCTTTGTGCTACATATGTTTTAGGTTGTGCATGGCAAGCCCGTCAATTATAGATGCATATGGACTTTCAGAAGCGAGCAATTGTGGAGAAGAATTACGTTTTCGAATGTTCAACTGATCAATTAATTCATACATTACGTGATTAAAAGAAGAAAGGCTAGTAGTACAGTGGGAATCGTAATAGACCTGTTCAAGTGGCTGCGTTTTGGCCACTGCCATCATCATACAGACATAAATCGGACACGCGATCAAGCTCTTAAATCATTGTCGATACAAGGCGTTCATTTGTCCTTGTGGCTGCCAATGTGGAGCTTCTCTTTGAGCTTCTCCATCTTGGAGACCTTGCCCTCTGATGAGTCACCGTGGCTGGACTTCTTGAGGTCGGAAGCGTTGTGGGTAGAAGTCTTGTGGTCGGGGTCATCCTTGTGGATACCCTTCTCTTCCAAAAGACCTGCAATCATGTCAGCCTAGGTTAGGATTTGCTCGGTCTTGCGCAACATACGGTTTGCCTCGGCGCCAGCGCCGGGTTTCGTGGCGTCGAAGTCTCCGCCGTCGGCCTGCAGGCCGGACGTCTTGACGTACTCCTCGCCGGTTCCCTTGGAGGCGGCTTCCTTGGCCTTGTCGCCCTCAGTCGTCGTCTCTGTCTTCTTCTCGGAGCCGTCGTGCATCTTCATGGGCTCACCGGAATGGTCGTTGGGGTCCTTCTTGAAGGTCTTCTCGGCATCCTCCTTGGTTTCCTTCTTGCTGTCGAGTCCTTCCAGTGGGCGGTCAGCACCCTGTTGTTTCTGGTGCAGCTCGCCGCCAGTGGGGGCACCGGTGTTTGACTGAGCATTCGAAGGGGTGGCATCGGTACCCTTGATGGGGTCACCGAGCTTGCTGGTCACGCCAGTCTTGTCGGTCTCCTCGAGGGGCTTGGGCGGGTTGGAAGTTCCAGTGGTATTGGTAGCATGGCTTGCGCCGCCGAGGCCTGAAGTGGTGTCGGCAGGGTTGGTGGAAGAGGTGGTGCCGGAGGTGGAAGTTGGGTCGGTAGTAGTGGTGTCGGTCTTGGTTGTGGAGGGAGTTTTGTCCTCGTTGTAGACGCCAATGGGCTTGTTGTCAGGGTCGGTAGCGGTAGCAGTCTCTGAGTCCAATGTTAGTTTCGATTCAGTGGTTTGGCGCGTAGTGAAGATAGATGATGCGAACAAGGGATCGCAAGGAAGTTTAGTAGGCCATACCAGAGTTTCCCTGGTCATAGGGAGAGTCCACCGTTCCCTTGCCGGTCTGGCCAGAGATAGGCTCAGTTCCTGTGGTCTGTCCCTCTCCCCAGATAGTCTTGCTGACTCCCGATGCGATGTTGTTGATGGTCTCCATGTTGGAATGGTGAAATGGGTATCAAGTGTGTGTGTGTGTGTATGGTTGGTGTTTTTGTTGTAGATGGCGATGGTAACAAGTGAAGAGCAGTTGGTATATCGAGAAGAACAAAGAAGGGGCGGCAGCTTGATGTTATAGAAGTACGGAGTACCTTGGGAAAGAATAGTAGTGGAGGGGCACTATGACGTGTATGTGTATCTCTGCGATGTAGAACATAATCCTTTTGGCACGCGCGCCCCCTTCGATCAAGTCAAGATCCAGCCATCCGCAGTCACCATCAGGCTCGAGCACGCAAGGCTCAACGTCAGAGCGGGGCTCGCTACATCCTGTGCCACTGCTTGACCAAGCTTGAAGCTGCACAGATGCTACATCATTTACCAATTGCAAGGCTCCGCAGCCACATTGCGACGATTCGTGGCGGTTTGAATTGATTACGTCGGGACTCGGGACGGCCTATCTGGTTATATTCTTGGATACGACATCCCGTGAGCCAGTAAAGCGGAAACTGGGAAAACTTGGGTAGAGCTTGAAGCTCACAAGCTTTTGACCCAAATATGACATGACGTCGAAGCACGGGGAGGAGTTTGTATGGACGAGTATGAGGTAGGCTACGTTACCTTAACGCACTGTGATTGGCTGATTGAGGCTAATGATGGAGTGATGTCATAAGCATTCCCACCTTCCCCATATCTCATTTTATCGATAAGACATCATCCTTCAACTCAACTCTGGGGTTATATCTTCATCTCCATCTCCTTTCGATGTCTGCATTCATTTCCATTCCAATACACTGAATTGAACAGAAGAACCGCCATCCAATCTCACAGTTCGCATCTACGCCATCTGTCCTTAAGCCCCATTGAGAATATTATTCAACTCATCGTCAATATTTGCCCTTCGCTGCCCTTGCTCGGCATCCCATAAGCCCTCACGAGATTGTTGTCAAAAGTATACTACTCGTACATACTCACTCTTCAGCCTTGAACGTTCTCATGTTGGTGTTTATCTCTGCTCGTCGACATCCTTCTCCACGAAGACTTGCGCCGCTGGCAACCCGTCCGCAAGCCAATTGATCACTCGCAGTGCTATTACTCCAACCTTGGGTTGAGGGTATGTGCTGAAGGCTTACCTGGTTGCTGGTATACTTACCCACTTTCCCCATACTGTTCATGACTCGGAAAAAACGGGTTTCCTCCTTCTGACCGAGAGCGGTGAACCCTCTCTTCAGTCGAATTGGGCTGTGTGGGGTGAAATATTGTGAGCCTTAAGTCAGTTGTTAGGCATTGCATCGGCGATTCTCAGCCCCTTACCATAATGGACGCCATCGCCGGTGTCCCTCCTCCCGTGCGCATTGGAATCACAGGGAAACCTTGCTCGGTACTTCTGATCTTATTCTCCTCTTCCCATGAAAAACACGGACGGTAGGACCATTATGAGACATATTCGTCCGTTTGATTGTGTTCGATCATATGGCGCGCCCCATATATTTGGATCTGAGTCCATGCTCATTATGTAGCCGTAGGGCCCACGAGCTTTGGCCTTCGGCAATTGACCATGGTGCAGATGTATGGTTTCCTGAGGGCTTCATTGATTTCTCTAGGTATTTCTCGTGGATATTCAGTTGGACAAAACATCTGCCCATCGCGTTTCTCGTGTTATCACATGAAGTTGGCCAAGGGTACATTATGTACCTTACTAGGAAGTGATACCGAGGCTCAACAGTGATCACTGATCACTAGTTCGCACCGTATTGCGCACCGTATTGCGCTATCTATTTTGTTCTCACGTTTCCCATCTTGCAGGAACAATGCATCAATCTGGGGAATCTGGGGATGGCCCTATTGATCAGTGCGTACCCCGCATTTACCGTTCTGGCAAAAAGTCCGTGGCTGGAGAACGATATTCTAGCATTTATTGACTCGGCTTTCAATCGGCCATCGACGACTCCCATTTGTACATGTATGTCTTCCGTACTCCGTACAACGTCTCTTCGGCCGCCTCGTAGCACTCCATGGCTTGCACTGTAAAACCATCAACGAGTATATTGCTGGAGCGCCACGTTGTCACCGTACAGCGGTAAAATTGCACAATGCGCATCAGCATCTTGGAAAACCCGGATGTCGAGGAGGCTCGAATGGAGAAATTAAGATTATTGACAGAAGCGATCAGCATAATGCTTACCCATTCTGACTGCAGGACATGGGAAGCCGTATCTTGATTTGTCCGCGCCAAGTGAAATACATCCTCATGACCACAGCACGAACATTCACAACAGCAGTTGGGCGCTATTGCACCGCCTTTCCCGCAATTCTACCGCCTGTTCACCATGTACCCCTGAGGATCTTCTGAACGGTCTGTCGGTGATAGGTTCGCTAAGCAAGCATCGTGCTGTCGGGCTCGGATTCTAGCAACCATCTCAGCGACTATCTGGACGCCAATATCTGCACTCCATTGCCCTTGGCATGGATATATCATGCACCAACGGAGTCACTCGGGGCGTGGAGCCTTCTTTATGAATTTGGCGCTATCAGCTGAAGAATTTCCGACTGGTGTTGACCGAGGACAGCATGTGGATTTTGGGAGTCAATTGCTCGTGAAAGAGAAGTTCTCCGTACTTATAGCCTCGAGAATCCACGATAGATCTTGCTGAAGGCAGCCGGAGTGGGATAAGCGACTTGACATCCACACAGATTCAGGGCCTCACTTTGCCAAACAACATGCTGTTCTCTCTCTTCCTTACGCTCGCGCCCTTTGTTGCGGCTGCGCCAGCTGCTGAGAAACTCGCAAAGAGAGCAGACCCAACTGTCATTGCGCCTTCTCCTGCAGCAACGGTTGTAGGTAAATCAGCATCGTCGGTGGAAACTTTCAATGGAATTCCGTTCGCTCAACAGCCCGTTGGTAATCTCAGGCTCAAGCCACCTCAGCCCTTGACCGCAGGACTGGGAAAAGTTGATGCTAAAGGCACTCCCAAAGCCTGTCCCCAATTTTTCTTCAGCGTAGACGAGACCCAGTTCCCAACCAACGTTCTGGGAACTATCCTCAACACTCCACTTTTTCAAACGGTGACCAGCGCTGGAGAGGATTGCCTCACGATCAACGTGCAAAGGCCCGCAGGCACCACGAAGGACTCGAAACTACCGGTCTTGTTCTGGATCTTCGGGGGTGGCTTTGAGCTTGGCTCGACACAGATGTATGATGGCACTTCTCTTGTTCAAGAATCCGTCAACCAGGGAAAACCCATCATCTTCGTAGCTGTGAACTACCGTGTTGGTGGTTTCGGATTCATGCCCGGCAAAGAGATTCTAGCAGATGGGTCTGCAAACTTGGGCCTTCTCGACCAACGACTGGGACTTGAATGGACTGCCGATAATATCGCCGCATTCGGTGGTGATCCTGAAAAGGTCACTATCTGGGGCGAGAGTGCGGGAGCTATCTCTGTATTCGATCAGATGGCCCTTTACGATGGTGATAATACGTACAAGGGCAAGCCACTCTTCCGTGCTGGTATTATGAATTCCGGAAGTGTCGTTCCCGCGGATCCTGTCGATTGTCCAAAGGGCCAGGTTGTTTACGATACGGTATGTCTGGAAGAATTGCACTCGGAAAATTTGAGACTAATCAAACTGCAGGTTGTTAAGAACGCCGGTTGCTCAGGGGCATCGGACACACTCCAATGCCTGAGAGAGGTGCCTTATACCAAATTCTTGAACGCCGCCAATTCCGTCCCAGGACTCCTCTCTTACTCCACGATCTCGCTCTCGTATCTCCCACGACCGGACGGCAAAGCCCTCACCGATTCGCCGGATGCCCTGGTTCTCGCCAACAAGTACGCCAAGGTGCCCTTCATCATCGGAAACCAAGAAGACGAGGGCACACTATTCGCGCTCTTCACATCCAACCTGACCACGACCGCCCAAGTCAGCAACTACCTCTCGAGCGTCTTCTTCCCCACGACCGACAAGTCGCTCATTGACCAACTCGTCGCCTCGTACCAGACGATCACCGAAGACGGTTCACCCTTCCGCACGTTCCTCCTCAACAACTGGTATCCGCAGTTCAAGCGCGTGGCCGCCATCCTCGGCGATATCACCTTCACAGTGACGCGCCGCGTCTTCCTCGACACCGCAGCCGCCATCAACCCCTCCGTCCCGACGTGGTCCTACCTCGCCACATACAACTACGGCACCCCGATCCTCGGCACGTTCCACGGCTCCGACCTCCTCCAGGTCTTCTACGGCATCAAACCCAACAATGCGGCAAAGACCATCAGGGGCTACTACTACAGCTTTGTGTACAACCTCGATCCGAACAAGGGCAACGACTTCGGCGAGTGGCCGCAGTGGAGCAAGGCGAAGCAGCTGGTGGAATTCCAAGCGAACAAGAACGGTCTACTGAGTGATACCTTCCGGAGCGACACGTACGAATTCTTGAAGAAGAACATCAAGGCGTTCCGGATTTGATGCGTTTTTGGTCGCCAGCTTTTGGGTGTTGGGATGGCGTCGCGTGGGAACAAAAACGGTGGGCGTTGATGGAATGGGTGTTGGGTAATTCAAAGTACAAACAGTAGCTACGTAATAGCTTAATGACCACAGGACGATTTACACGTCCGTAATACATGAAGATAGAGGAAAGATCATTGATTCCTCTCATAATTTTGATTCTTCCCTCATGGTCCTTTGCACCTCGGCACGTGTTTGCGCACATGTGATTTCGCTCACGTATATGCAGTAGTATTTCTCTATGTACTCCGTAGTGATAATGTATAAACAAGTGGCTATGATGGGATGGGAGGTATCTAGCGAAGAAAGTCCTTTTTGTTGCTACGATGAGATAAAAGAGACACATGAAATGCTCTTCTCTCACGGCGTCCGGTAATTTTGGTGTATATCCAGGCTATTCATTTCAAATATCGTCTATGTGTGCTACCTCTGACTGCTCAGCATATGCTTGAACTTCTCGATCTGTGAAACTCCATGTTAGCAATCTGTTGGTCATGTAAAAGTGAAAGGGAGGGTTGTGTGTATAGAAAGACACAGCGTACCTTTGTCGACAAATACTTCTCCACCTCTTCGCTATTGATTCCCTGCTTGCCACCCGTCTTCCAAGCCAACGGCACCATAGCAACTCTCTCCCTAACCACGACCTCCCTATTCGGCCCCTCCACCGCCCTGACCTTATCTGGATTGTTCGTCAGCAACCTGATCCCCGCCTCGCCCTCGAGCCCCAGATCCATGAGCATCGCGGTCGCGAGGCCGTAGCTACGCGCATCGGCCGGATGCCTCAACATGATGTTCGCCTCGTAGGTGTCGTTGCCGAGGTCCTGGAGGTTGTATGCCTTGAGCTTCTCGCCGAGCCCGATGCCACGGCCCTCCTGCCGGAGGTAGATGATCGCGCCGCCGGTGGGCGACAGCCGTGGGTCGGCCATCAGGCGCGCGGCCTCGTCGAGCTGCTCGCCGCAGTCGCAGCGCGCCGACCACACCGTCTCGCCCGTGTAGCACTCGGAGTGGATCCTCACGAGCGGCAGGTCGAGGTTCGACGCCTGTTGCACCTCTCCCGAGTCCGAGGACGCGGACGACGAGGGCACCAGCGACCCGTCCTGCTGCTTTTCGAGCACCACCGCGAGGTCTGATTTCGCCGCCGCCGCCGCCGTCGCCGATTTGGGCTTCAAACCCCCGCCGAGCTCCGCCCGCTTAAGCTGCTCGACGCGCGAGCTCGTCCGCCCCGGATACAGCCTGCCCACGTACGCGCCCCTCGTCATGCGGTCCAGCTCCGTCTCGCCGGGCCGCTCGGCGTCGAGGCTGCGCGACCGGATCTGGTTGCCGAACACAATGGCGAGGTGCTCCTTGGTGTCGACGTTGTTGCGGTAGACGTGCAGCCACATCTCGTGGCCGGTGGTCGTGGGGATGCGGGCGCGCACCTCGCACTCGACGATCGGGAGCGTCTGCACGAGTTCTGGGGCGGGCGTGTCGGGCGACTTGGAGGTGTCGACGGGGACGGAGCGGGGCGGCCGTGGGTGCGAGGGCGTCGTGAGGCCTGGTGTTGCGGGCGGTGTGAAGGCGGGGGATATTAGGGACGGGGGTAGCCCGTGGTGCTGCTGGATCGCCCGGTTGGCGATTGCGTTCTTCTTCTGTACATTTCGGTTGGGGGAATCGTGAGTTGAGGATGCTGGGAGTTCGAAGCCGTCTTCTCGTGTGGGACTGGAGGGTTGTGGGGATGCGAGGGGTGGGAGGGCGGGAGAGGCGTGACCTGGGAGTTGGGACATGGCTCCTGGCTGTGGTTTATAGTCGAGATTGGGGGAGGAAAGGTAAGGGGAGGTGGGAGTGAGAAGGTGGAATTGGTTGTGCTGGTGATATGACGAGTTATCGCATTGCGTGATGAAATCTTGAGGTTGCGAAACTGGGACTGAGAAAGGGTCCGGACACCGAGGTTCGGTAGAGGGAAGGGCGAAGGTGGAGGAAGAGGAGGAGTCGAAGGTTCCGATGTGCGCGGAACGACAACGAAACTACTGGTAACTAGGTTGGTAGATATTACTCGCAACTCTTCTTTAAACCAAACTTTGGGCTGGCAATTGGCCGGGTTTTGTGCCGGCCGATGACGGATGTTCGGTGGAGAGATGTAATAGTAAGCAGAGAAGACATGTATAGTCAGCATCGCAAATTTCGTGCATTATTCACCAAAATGTTACGAGTCTTAGTGACTTAGTCTGACTCTCTTGACATGTTCCTGAGCCCGGACTGATTTCGGTCGGCTTGTCGAAGAGCCGCGCTTGTGTCTTGTTATCGTCATTTGTTATTGCCTATTTACATGTCGTCGTTCTACTCTATACAAATACTCTGAGTATACTTGTACTGCGTGTCAACTACCTTCAACCCTAAATCTTTGCATACAAAATGCCTATTCTGGCCATCCATAAATCGTGCATGTTCCCTTCTGCCTCAGTCTACACGTCGCTCCCTTCCCCAAACCTCGTCCGGCGTCTTCTTCCCCTTGGTCTCAGGGACATACCACGAGATGAATAGGAAAAAGAAAGCAGACAATGCCGCGAAGATGAAATAGACCTTTCCGTGCAAGACTGCGCTGGCCAATGGGAAGAATTGAGCGACAAGGAACGTAGCTATCCAATTGGCAGCGAGTGCTATGCTCTGAGTTGCACCCACAGCATCTGCGCCAACCAATTCGCTAGAGAGGATGAAAGGCACTGGCCCAAGGCCAACTGCGAAGCTGGATACGAAGAGCAGAACTGCAATCGCTGAAAGAACGCTGATAGATCTCATAATGCCAACAGCCAGAAGTAGTGAACTGGTGCCCATTCCTGCAAGAGAGTATAGAAGGCAAGTCTTGCGACCAAGCTTGTCTGCCAGCGGAGCACACCCTGCAGTCACGACGATGTTGAGGGCTGAAACGGCCAGGTTGAGTAGGGCAGAGTTGGACTCCAACAGATCTGCTAACAGTGATACGCCATACATGACAATGCTGTTGATTCCTACACGCGATTATTAGTACTATACGTATCATAATGAACCGTGCTCAGGCTTACCGCTCAATTGCTGGGCCAACATGACCATGATAACGGCGAACGCAGCCTTTGAGTAATCAGGATGCTTGAAGACCTGGATGATGCTGAGCGCATCTTCCTTATCCTGGCTGCGTTTGGTAGTCGCGGCGTCAGCTACATTTATATCGCGGTCTTCGTTCCTGAGCAACGTCTGCTCCTCATCGCTGGTTTCTTCCGTGCTGTCAATTCCCCAGCTGCTAATCTCCGTATCAATATCAGCTTTCTCGCCCCTCAATTTGCGCAAAATTCGTCGCGCTTTGCTTGTCTCGCCCTGCTCAGCAAGGAACCTGGGGCTCTCGACGGTGAGGAGAAGACCAAAGCTCTGGCCGACACCAATGCACCCGCCAATTGCGAGGATGAGTCGCCAGTATTGTCCGTGGCTCAGGAAGTACCCGAGGAGCTGGGTGAGGAGAATGCCAACATTGCACATGATCTGCGTGAATGCTCCAAAGAATCCTTTCTCAGCAGGTGGTGCAATCTCCGAGATGTAGATGGGCACCACAACCACTGCAGCTCCAGCACCTACACCGGACAGCAGTCTACCAAACGCTAGAACTCCAATGTTGGGCGACAGGGCTTCCAAGACGGGCCCAAGTGCGAAGAAAATGGTAGTCAACTGCATTGTCCTGTATCGTCCGTGATTTCCGGCCAGAGGTCCAGCAGATAAAGCACCAATGAGTCCTCCAAGTGTGTACATCGAGCCAACAACACCCCACTGGGTGGGATCCATCTTCATGCATTGTGGGAGGCCGACCGATGCGGAGACGATCGAGTCTTTCTTACAGCGGATAACATCCTCGGGGGCGTTCAGTTCGGACTACACAATGGTCAGCTATATGTCGCGGAATAAATAGGAAGGGATCGCATCGCAGCTCACCAAGTGGAAACCAAATAGCAGTGGGCCAAGGGTAGCTACGAAGAGGGTGTAGATGAAGTATGGAGTCAAATCTTGGAACCACGACCGCGGGTCCATGTTGCCTGATGGAGTGTGGTTGGGTTGTTTAGGCGGAAGGAAACTCTAAGGCGAGGCGACCTGCGTATGGCTTCTTTGCGGGCTCTGAAGCATACGTAGACACAGACGTGACGTTGAGGCAGTGGTGGGTGGTAGCTCCTCCAGTGAGCTGTTGGTAGTTTACTCGGCCGTCCTAAAGACGTAGCCCTCTCTCTCTAAAGTGCGGGCATTCGGTAACGAATACGAATTCGCGAGACTGGTTGCGAGTAAATGCCGGTTGGCCGGTCCGGTGGGTTGGCGGTACTCGATGAGGTGTAGATGGGATGGGATGGGTTGGGGAATTGCGGGACAGGACCAGACGACAGTTGATGAGGCTCTGCGGGCAGTGAACAGTGAGCACTGGGCAAGCAACCTCCAAGGGAAAGGCAGGGCAACAAGGCAGGGCAGGGCATGGCATGGCAAGGAAACGAAACGCGACGCAAGAAGAAAACATGTGGCATTCGATCACAACCATCCATCCATCCCGTCCCATGGCACTGTGCCACTTGCGCCTACTCGTACCATAACCTTCGACTCCCTCTAACAATCAGACGAATCGAACGAACGAATCAACAGCCTCCTTGGGAATACTATTGATAACACTCAGCTATTCTCATCAACCAACTGTTATCATCCTCCCTACTCTTCCTCTCCCTCTTCCTCATCGTCTCAGCAGTACGGGCGTATACTCGTTGTCCGCTGCGTGTCTCAGCTGCACATCTGCACGTCAGCAGTCATCTCGTCCCAGCAACTCTCCATGTCTGTTGGCAATCATTAAATCCTGTCTGTTTCGATATTGGGATCTGAACCACGCGGACACGCCCCATACGACTACTAAGTACAGTAGATACGGGGGTGTGGGGAGACTTCCAAACAGCAAGACCAGGCAAGGGCAGGCGGTAGGACGATCCAACATCCGCAGTATAGCCCCAGCTTTCCTTGTTCGACAGTAACTAATGCTGTTTGCCTGGATCGACTTGCGATAGCCAGGACAGACTACGGTGGAGTTTAATCAACTACTGTATTACCTACTTCTCCGCCTAGTACTCGGACCAGCAACCGCTCGTACAGACCGTACTTGTACATACCTGTACTGGCTCTGGTTCGGCATCGGCTGCGGGCTGTGGGCTGCAGGTTGGTGCTCCATTGTGCTGATACTGGTAATTGTAAGTGCATTTGCCTACCGCCTGTAACACATACCGTTATGCGCCATCTGCCGGCGGAGCGTGGAGACAGATCATTATTACCAGTACTGTTACTGCAGTACATTCAAACAGGTACAATATACGAGACGCAGCAGCTGGGCCCGATGCGATAGAGATGAATCATCCATCATCGAATCCTCCATCCGCGGGAGGCCCACCTTCAGCCGCTGCCTCTGCACGATCCGTGTTGCGAAATAGTGTTGTGGCGGCCTTTAACGGTTGGTATTTTCCTTTCCTTTCTTTTCCTGCTGGTGCTGCGGCTCTCCTAACCATAATCCCCTTCGGAGCTCTTTTCCCCATCATCAAAGGCTTGGGACTTCGCCCCTCTCTTTTTTTCCCCCATCAAATGCACCAGCACTAATTACCACCTCCATTCCCCGTCGTTACCCACCACCTAGGCCAGTCTTTACAATCCGTTCCGTATATACTCCTGCTCATCCCTCTTCACTATGTCGCTATACTCAATCTTACGAGCCCTGTCGTGATCTTCCGCCGCGTCATATCCTCCGATGCATTTCTTTCCTTAGTCTGATCTTTGGTAGCGTCTCCACCGTCTGATCGTTACTGCTTTGTGTTTGTTCGCCCCATTCAACGGCGCCGAAACCTCGACATCTTTTCTATTTCAATCTGCATCTGGCATCGTCATCTCATTGTCGTCGCTTCGCTCATTTCTATCTCGTCTCTCTTTGGACCGTTCATTAATCTGCTGTGCGAGCAGATCCGGCCGACTCCTCCCAAGCAATGTTCACTGGCTACAACACCAAAAAGCGAGTGAACGAGCGATACAAGATCATAGGCTTCATCAGCAGCGGCACCTATGGCCGTGTCTACAAGGCTGAAGGCCGAAATGGCCATGTTGGAGAGTTTGCCATCAAGAAGTGAGTCGCTTTACTTGCCCCCTTGTAGTATCCTAAGCTCACACTAGCGCGTAGATTCAAGCCGGACAAGGAAGGGGAACTGCAATACTCCGGCATTTCTCAGTCGGCCATCAGGGAGATGGCCCTCTGTACAGAGCTCTCACATCCTAATGTCGTGCATACGTGCGAGATAATCCTGGAGGACAAATGCATCTTCATCGTGTTCGAATATGCAGAACATGATCTCCTCCAGATCATCCATCATCATAACCAGCCACAACGGCAGGCAATTCCAGCAAAAACAATCAAGTCGATTCTGCACCAACTGCTCCAGGGCCTCGTCTACTTACATAAGAATTGGGTCATGCATCGAGACTTGAAACCTGCCAACATCATGGTGACTAGTGCAGGTAAAGTCAAAATCGGCGATCTTGGCCTGGCAAGGCTGTTTTATAAGCCATTGCAGTCCTTGTTCTCGGGCGATAAAGTCGTAGTAACGATCTGGTATCGTGCCCCCGAGCTGCTACTTGGTAGTCGCCATTACACGCCTGCTGTCGATTTGTGGGCTGTCGGTTGCATCTTTGCGGAACTGCTATCATTACGACCCATCTTCAAGGGAGAAGAGGCCAAGATGGACAATAAGAAGACGGTTCCATTCCAGCGGAACCAGATGCAGAAAATCGTGGAGATTATGGGAATGCCAAATCGGGACCGATGGCCGCTGCTGGTGGCCATGCCCGAGTATCAGCAATTGAATACATTGGCGGCAGGCAATTCGAGATTCAATCGTCCTCAAGGGTTGGAGAATTGGTATCAGTCATGCCTCAAGAATAATCAGTACCCCCAAGGCGCGTCGCCCGACTCTCCCGGACCCGAAGGATTCTCACTTCTCCAACGACTGCTCGAGTATGACCCGCAGAAGCGATTAACTGCCGAGAAGGCCCTGCAGCATCCCTACTTCACTGCTCAAGGAAAGCCATCGGAGAATTGCTTCGAAGACTCCAAAGTAAAGTATCCGGTCCGAAGGGTTAGCCAAGAGGATAACGACATCCGGACGTCAAGCCTTCCAGGTACGAAGAGGAGTGGACTGCCGGATGACACACTTTTACGACCGGCGAAACGACTCAAGGAGGGATGAGGGCAACAACAATACACTATCAAGGAGGAGCGAAAAGCGTTTGCTTCCACGTCATTTCCCTATTCCTATTGCAAAATCGCCAGGCTGCGAGTTGAGAAAGGCCGATATCGATCGGATTAGATTGGGACCCGGGCGGATGATAAGAGTTGAACGAAGACATATAGAAGAGAGCATTGGGTTCGACAGGCACCGATTCGATCCTCCCCGAGAAAAGCCGGCGAAGTATAGCACGTTCGCAGGATACTTCCCCGCATACAGTCGGCAATGAATGGGCGGTATTATAATGCACTTCCGAGTCAAGCATCATTGGGCGCTGTTGGAGTCGGAATTGGTCGTGTATTTTCCAAAAGATGAAGCTATATTGAGATCAAGCATAGGAAGGCAAGTTGTGCCTCGATCAGGGTGGCGAGCACTTCCCGGTCAAAAACCACTGTTATGTTGGTGTCTGTATTATTATTGTTTTATTGATATGCAAGAGGCTTTCCACGGTGCCTGGAGCCATTGTTGTATAGGGAGGGTACCTGTTCTGGAAGTAGATGTCATCGATAATACTATTATGATCCATATGACCCATATCACCTTTATTCATCAGCGACCCAGTATGAATTATCCATATCAATGTAAGTCATGGATCAGCATCTTACCAAAGAAGATCTGGTGGTCCTTGAGAATTGCGTTCATTCGGCGCTCCTTGCAACTTTCCCCGTCTACTGACAACGCAGTTGCTGGTCGTACACCTATCATCCACACTGTAGTCCACCTACATTGTAGATACCACAAGAAGTGGATACGGCTACACAAAGCTATCCCTGTGCAACGATGCGGCACGGTGGTGCGTAGTCACTCGATGATCGTCATGCTGTGTTTGCAACTAACATCCAGTGTTTGGCATCATCTCACACCTACAGTATGGCTGATGGAACTTCTTATGGGAGCATCGACTGCACCTCATTTATCCAATCTACTGGAGGGACAGTAGACGATGGACGGCGAATAGTGTTTGAGCATCGGCTCACAGGAGATGGCTAATGGATGTAGTATCATCACTTTGAGCTCTGACGCCACATCAGTCCATATTGGCCTGTGGAAAGTGAAGAACGGAAAGCGTGGTAGACATGATGCTGCCTCACCGAGTAAGTGGAGTTGGGCAAGTCTTACTTCTTTCTCCATTAGAATCTCAGTCCCAGCTGGAGTTCAGGCCAGGTCAGGTCAAGTCAGGTCACGTTGCGTTTGTTTGCGGGGGCAAATTGGATTGAAAGTGAAGGCAGGAAGTAGTAGGAGGGAAGTACCACACACAGACCCAGCCCACCTATCACGCCTTGACCGCTGATACCTTAATCTCCACAACCTTTCACATATTTACCTCCTAGTAGTCAATTACCGTTTGATCCTATCACCTCTTTCTGCTTTCCTCGCTTCTGCTTCATAACAACGCTCTCTGGAACCAACAGCCTACCTACACTCCTTCTGAACAGTCCTTCATTCGAAATCGAAGCCTTTGACAGCCACTGGTCCGGGGCACAAAGCTACGCCGTCCTAGGAACTCCATTATCGGCATATCCAACAATATCCTTCTCATCAATCACCTTGGCCAGTCCTCATGAAGTTAACCACTCTTCTCTCCTTCGCGATTGCGAACGTAGCATTCGCGGTGCCGAGCGTGCTGGAGGCTCGCGCCCAGGTCGATGGCGCTGCCCCGAAGATCGATGACCCTCAGTTCATCAAGCGCATCATGGATGCCCACTGGTACTGGCGCTCTATCCACTGTGCTCAGGAGCTTCACTGGGACCCGGCCCTGGCAAAGGCTGCCCTCGACTCCGTCAGCGCTTGCACCGAAAAGCCCCAGCACGTGAGAGACATCATCATACCTACTAGGATGTATTAGATTGATATACTGATGCTTATGTAGGACCGTGGCGGCAGCAATCTCTCCTCTGTCTCTCCTGCCCCTTCCAACTATGACGAGTGGCTTGAATTCGCCCGCACCGTTGTTCATGGCTGGCATGAGGAGGAGCTAAAGTACCCATATGACAATCCTCACTACCACGATTCCTGGGGTCACTTCACTCAATTAGTCTGGCGTGATACCACACGTATCGGCTGCGCCCTTGGCCACTGTCCTCATGACCGCCCCTGGCCCGGACGTCTCTATTGCTGTAAGTTTGCTGCTCCTGACCGAGATCACACACACTGACCACATCCGTCCAGTCTACGAGAACGCCGGCAACAATCTTGCATTCTCCTTCAAAGAACAGGTGTGGCCTATGGTTTGTGGTGACCCTACTGGTCGTCACAACTAGGCAACGTTGTGTTCCACGGCCTGGCAGGTCTGCCTCTGCAAAGTGAAACTTATCAAGAACTTCACTTCGTAACACCTGGGGGTGAAATGTAGGACAATCGGTGGTGGACGCCTTCTCAACTCTATCCAGTATCTCTAATAGCATTGGTAATGTTTTGTTTCTGGGTTGTTTATGCCTGGTCAACATCACTTGCTTAGAGTATCGATACATCACAACTTGGTAGTGTTTCGGGATGAGCTTTTTGCATAATCGGAATGAGAGATTCTGGAATAGTCGTAGTCTTTTCCTCAAGATGCACAGGATAGCTCTGGCTCAGTGGTCTGTACCTTGGCCACCCCCAATACAATCTCTTTCCCTGGGATACACTATGCTTCTCATACTCTCAACCCATCCTTCAATATTCTCTTGTAAGACGCTGCACTTCGTTGTGCACCCCAATTCATGCAACTGACAGCATCATAAGATGGTTTTTGTCTACCACACTCGGGGGAGGCGGCAGGATGAAGTTGGCAGATAGATTTGACCTCACAGTGCCGAGCACTGTGATCATGAACACGAGTCTTATCCTCTCTCTCAAAAGTCAGAAGAGTCCGCAATCAACTGTGCCAACTCCTCAAGGGCCACCTTATCCTCCTCGCCAAATCCCTTCAACTCCGCACAATCAAGATCAATGATCGCGACAACCTAAACCCCGAAATTAGCCCCCTTTCAAAACACCCACTCACCATTCACCACCACGAAAAGATCAAACAAAAGAGAAGTAAAAGTTCAACTCACCTTCCCCTCCTTAACAATCGGCACAACAATCTCACTCTTACTCGCCCCATCGCAAGCGATGTGGCCGGGAAACGCATCCACATCCTCCACAAGCTGCGTCTTCTGCTCTTTCGCCGCCGTCCCGCACACGCCCTTGCCGAACGCAATCACCTGGCACGCGACCTGCCCGTGGAAGGGCCCCAGGACGAGGGAGTTGGGGTCCTTGGGGTCGGACACGTAGAAGCCGGCCCAGTTGACGGCGGAGGAGGGAGAGGGTAGGGAGTGTAGGCCGTGGTAGAGGAGGGAGGATGTGTTGGCTAGGTTGCTGTTTGGGGGGTTGAGACGTTAGGATTCTTCTTTTCTGAGAGGACGGGAACGGGTTTCTTCTTTTCCTCTGGGTTTGGGTTTGGGTTTTGACTGGGGGTTTGAGGGGGATTTGGGATGTCGAGTGTATGGTTCAGGGGGGTCTTTTTGAGAACCCCACGGGTTTGAATGAAAACATGGGAATGCTACAGGACGTACCAGACCTGTTGTATACAGTTAGTTACTCTCCTTTCAGATATTGATCAAGGGTTGGCAATATCCATTCATCTTCCACTTTCGCAGTCTAATGGATTTGGTTGTTGCTTCACAACTTGTGTGATATGAACATCCCAAAACACCAAAACGAACAAAAGGCATTACAGGAAAAGAAGCAGGGGGAGACAGAAACCAAACAAACAAACTCACCCAATTCCTCTGCCCATCAAACAGCGCCTTCGCCTGCTCGAGAATCTGCTCATACACATCCTTCTTGCTCAAACCCTCCGCGAAGGTCGATGAATCGGCGTGGACCTAAGCATAGCCAAAAAGTCAGTTCAATTCAATCAAAGGAATACAAAACGAAAATAATTGCTTTTATGGCTCGATTGAATCGTCGTTCCGCTGCGTAGCGATTTCTTATCTCCCACATATCTTCGACGTCCGTTTATGGAATTTTGAGGGGGATTTCTAGAGGGGTGGGGTGAAAACTTACCATTGTGAATGATGATGATTATTGTATTACTTCCTGTCTAATCACGGTATTATTAAACGAACAGTTGGTAGTATTATTCCTTCGGTACCTGGGTTTGCGATATCAAGAAAACGTGCAACACTTGCAAAGGAAATCTCGGAATCGTTCGGCGTTAGTATCGTTTTCTTCGGAAGTAATTGCGTGATTGTGGATGTGATTGGTCGATGGTGGGGGGAGCTATGGGTCGCTGGTTTGATTGGTTGCTTCGATTGGTGGAGGTCCGTTTGGTGTTTGATACGAGTTGGTACCAAGCTGATATGTCAAGAATGTTTTTGACGGACTTTCTGTGGTTATAGGGAACTACAGTGGCTGACATGTACTTGGTTTAGATATGTAATTTCTTAATTTCTCTTTTTTTGGTTTGTTTAGTACCCGATCTATCATATAGACAAATAAATCGTCATCCAATTCCCTATTCACACATGGAGCCCATGAAAAGACCTCCCTTCTTTCCTCCGCCCTTCATGACATTGACTGACCCATAAGATGATTGAAACGCCTCGCCGATGCTGTCATCTGGTCTCCCAAAACACTTCGCCAAATAAAAACAAGCATACACCAACCCAAACCTAAATTGGATCTGGACTCTTATATCCAATCTGCCTCTCTAATCGAAGCTCATCTTCTCCTTGGAAGCGTAACCTCCCAACATGCCCTGGCTATTTCCTCTGTTCCTGTTCCTCCTGCCGTAGACCTCCATCGCCCACTCGAACATCTGCCACGCCCATCCTCCAGCGACCATGACACCGCTGATGACGTTGACGAGCCTGACGCAGAGGGCAAAGAAGCCGCCCCATTCCTCGGCGATGGTGAGCATGACGGGTTCGATGTCGAACTTTACGAAGATTCCTGGGACGTAGTTCTCGCCGACCGGGTGCGACTGCGACGTAGCGGCGTATTGGTTGGTCTTGATCGCATGCGAAGAGTGGAAGACGTTCTTGGCCGGGTGCTTCGAGTTGCGGTTCACGGACTCGAGGAGAGGGAGCAGGGAGGCGTCGTCGGTGTAGATCGTCGGGACGATGGAGAGGTAGTATTGGAACTTGTAGAAATTGTCCGGGGTCGTTGCGACGGTGCTGTCGAGAGGATTCTGCAGGTTGGGGTAGTAGGGGCCGAAGGAGAGCTCGTTGATCTGGTGGGAGAAGTTGAACGCTACAAATGGTCAATATAAGCTCAATCCAGCAACACGGACCAAAAGCACGACGAATAGAGACAAAACTTACTGGTGTGGTCAAGATGTTCGCCAAACTCCATGTATCCATGGCCACGCGCGGTGATGTGGAAATCACCCTGCACCTTGTTTCCGTCCAGACTTCCATAGATACGACACGAATCCTGCGTACCTCGCAGCTTCGGGGTCTTGGGGAACTTCTTCTTCTTCTTCGCTGCGCCGAGCTGGTCATGGACGTCCCACAGCTCCTCCCATCCCGGCAATCCATCATCGCCCTCGCCCAGCTTGTGAATACCCTTGCCCTTTCCCCACTGACTCCAGCTCGTCGGGTCCTTTCGTAGCAACTCTCCGGCGAGTGTTCGATCACCAGCGGCGTCCTGCATGTTGACATGGAGGTCTCCGCAGTTCATTGCGACCACAATGTCGAGGTTGATTTGGAGGTCGTGCGAGACGCCTTTCTCGACGGAGAACGTCTGCGTCGTGGAGCCCGCGAACCAGCGCGCAATCTCCGACCAGGAGAGGTAGACGCATGTCAGTATGAGGGTGACCGTCCAGGCGGACGAATTGCGACCTTGAGTGAGGTAGGTCTTCTTGGTTTTGGCTGCAATTGTTTAGCCGGGATTGGGAACCAGAGGAATTGTCTACGGGAGTTTTCTTCCCCAGGACTTAGCACTTACGAAAAGCATCAAAACTCGAGATACCGCCCTTCGCCTGCCCAAAGGAATCCTCCGAGAGGCCGTGATCGCTGAAGCCGTCCATTGAAGTCGTCGCCAGCTAGCGCGTCGCGCAGAAAGGGCTCAGAAAGCCCGGTGCAACACTCTAAAACAAGGTGGAAGGGAGGGAGGGAGGAAGCGAAAGGAAGGGAAGTGGTTGGAGCGAGGTTAAAGGTCCGACGTTGCTCAGAAGATGGCGCTGGCCGCGGGATGTTTCTACGGTCCTAAAGGACACCTCTGGGTTTCAGCCCTACAAACGATGATGCACGGGCCATTTGCGGAAGTGTCGTTCGCAACTCCGCCTTCCACGTGCTGCCAACGCTCATTCATCCCGACTTCCAGTTCAACATCATACGGCGTACCACGAACATTATGTCCCCAAAACTTGATGGTCTCCGGACTAGACCTAAGCTGTAGCTAAAGTTCTTAAGATCATTCCACCGTGATGGCTAATAGAAACCATCACATTGGTCAGGCATCTCATGCACCACATACGCCTACCTGAAGAACAACTAGAATTGAACTCTTTCTTGAGCACGTTGTATTCATTATATCGTGAAGTATACCACTGAGCCTCTTCATCTAACTACCCATCATTAACACCCCCCACCCTCTAAGCATTCTGCTCACTCTCCAACGCATCAAACGCCGTCTCCCCCGTCACCTCTCCCTGCCTCGCAGCGCCAGCACCATCAGCACCAGCCTGCGAATTACTCAACTGGAACTTCTGCTGCGCAAGACGAGCAGGATCATCCTTAGAACCCGGCTCCGCACCGTTGAATAACGCATTGGGAGCGCCGGCGTCAAACCCGCCCTCCTGGACGTTCGTCCCCTTGGGCTGGAACTCGCCAGGAACACGCGCCGAGTCGGCAGCACCTGCGTACCCGCCAGTCACGCTGCCACCGCCGCCGTTGGGGAATCCAGATCCTCCTGTCGACCCTGTGCCGGGGAGGCCGCCTGTCGCGGAGGTCGATGCCCCCGTGGTGGTGTTGTACGTGGGACCTACGCCGGACTCCTTGCCGAGGCCCTTCCCGGCGCTGAGCTGCTGGGCCTCAGACCAGCCGTCGCGGGCCTCACGTGCCTCAGCGTCGACGGCGGGTGGGATCTCGCGCGCGCTGGACGTGTCGGTGGTGTTTGTGGTTGTGGAGTGGGAGGGCTGTTTCGAAGCTGCGGCTTTGGGGTTGCCTTCGCCAAATGCTCCGGCGGATTTGAGCGACTCGGCGGCTAGGGAGTCTGATGTCACGGTTCCGACGGCTTCGGGTATGGCTTGGTTGGAGGCGGCGTCGGTGGTAACCTGGGTAGGTAAGGAAAGGGATGTATTAGCTATGGGAAAAGGTACACGCAAACGGGGTAGGAGGAGCGAAGATAGAGCATGGTGGGGTCCGTTTCTAAGCCTGCGTGACGGGTTTGCGCAGGGGGTGGATACTACCTACCTTGGTTCCAGCGGAAGTAGACATTTTGGATGTAACTAAAGCGGTTTGTATACGTTGTTTTTGGTACGTAGAAAAAGCCGTTGAAAGCAAGATAAATACTGGGAAAGGATTAAATGCTATCAAACGACGAGCAGAACGAGAATTTAAACCCACACCCTCCCTCCTACAACAACAACAAAGCAAGACAACAAACACGCATTTTTCGATGAAGATATCAATATGCCATAATGATGTCAAGAGGGTTCCCGCTTTTTGTCGCAGACAATGATAAGTGTTGCATGTACCGGTATCCGGACTACCAAGTTCGGGTGTTGGGCCCCCACAAAAAAGATGGCAAATGCTAGCACGACCATGGCAAAATGCCCTGCAGATCGAGATTCGCCGCAAATGCCATTGCGTTTAGTGGAGAAACGACACTGGGTTTGTCCCCATACGTGCAACTGATGCCATTTGTTGCAAGTCGCGATTTTGCAACGTGATCGGTGATTTTGGGTGTACGGCTGGTGGGTATCTTGGAATTTAACGTCCTTCAATGCCATTTTATTGCATAATAATTGTATATTAGAGGAAACGTTGGAGTCACTTTATATCACGGTAGGGGAGAAAATATGTAAGAATTCAGTTTGATTTGGGGATTTCATTCCATTTCATAACAGGCGTACGATAGCAAAAGATGTTATCAGCCTTAGTAGTCGATCGCTACTGGATTATCGCTTTCGAATTTCATGCTCAATCACGAGGACTCCCTATTCCCGCCGTCCCCATCGAATGCCCGTGAAAATGTCCCTCAAAAAAACGCCAAAGTTTCCTTTCGTTCAGAAATGCACACACACCGGAGGGGTTTACTTGGTGGTGTCGGCAAGGCCCTCCTTGTTCTTGGAGCCCTGGGCGGCCGCGTCGTTGGGGAGGCCGCTCAGGTTGTCCTTGGCCTCGCGGCCGGCACCAGATGATGCGGCAGTGCCGGCGAGGCCGAGGTTCTCTTGCTGGCCGCCGGCACCGACGTTGACGGTGCGGGCGTCGGCGGAGTTAAAGTCGGAGGCGACGGGGGGCTGCTCTGGGAGCTCAAGGTTGGCCTTGCGCTCGTCGATGATCTGTGCCTTGGATGCCATTGTGGATTGTGTGGGGTTCTGTGAGGATGGTCAGACTGTGTTCAATTATGAGATTGTGATTTTGCATAGTTGCGATAAAGAATAGCTGCGATATATGCTTGGAATGCTGTCGAGTGTTGTAAGGGTTTGAGGAACTGACCTTGTAGAAGAAGATGTGAGGAGGAGTTTTGCAATTGGTTACGTGTAGAATCGTTTGTTGGATTTGTAGTAGATGAGAATGAAGAAGCAAACATGGACGAGGTCCAAAACTGTTATATATGTTGAAGAAGTGGTTAGGTGGGGCTGTTGTGACGTCAGAGTGAAAGAGTGAAGATGGAAACTTTGGGAACAGTGAAGATTTGCCCGGCGGTTGAGCGAACCCGAGCGCTGGCCATATGGTGGTCAATACACGGGTGTCGTCATTGTTATCCTACAGTCTAGTTTCTATCTCTGTTCCTTTGGATTCTATTGCCCGTTTGGTCGGTGGTGTAGAGTCTGAAGCTCCGATGAGGCCAGTCGTGCAGCATCGCGATCGCTGAATCAAGACCCTCACGTGCCACAGAAAGCTGTAATTATAGTTACTATCTGATATAGCCATTTGCAACTAGAGGTGGCCAGAAATACATCAATCCATTCTAGTCCTCGATTTGATGATTAAATATCGGAGGCCGCCCGTACGACCCCTCTTGCATAGGTCTTGGCCAGTGATTACCTGTGACTATTCTCATCGGAAGAATTCGTTTGACAGGGTTTCAGATCTAGAAATAGTCACTTCCTCTATACGGCTCCCCGCAGACGATTTCTTTTGTTCTCTATCAAGAGCCCACTCTGATGTGCATGGACACGTGGGACCTGCAGTGAAGATTGCCTAATCGTCTGTGTTGGAGCCCCTAAGAATGAACACCCTCATTGTCAGAATTGGTAGCAGCTGTGCCTCAGCTGATGATTACAAATTGTCACATTACAACATATCATCAGTACATGGCAATGAAATTCAAACGAGGGGAAAAAAGTCAATCTGGAGATTCACATTGTGGGTTTATATTGTATTAAAGTGGTAAAGACGAAGAATATAAGAGACCGGGTATCCAACGCTATGCTAACCTGTGATTGCTCACACCGCATCTACATTACTCTAATTGAAAGATTTGCTATTACTGTGCAACGAAACATGAAATAAAAATAGATGTTCTTTGGGAAAGCCTTTCCTTCCTACAGATTGAAGGAAGGAAAACCCGGGGCGTTGCAGATGCTTGGCGGTCAGGTAGAACGTTGACCGGCATGATCAGCCGCAATGATGAGAAGGGCGCCCAGGCTGAGTTGTTTCCTCAAAGTCCGCCTACCGATCCTAGGTCAGATCAGATCGCGCGGAGACAGGCCGCAAGGCCGGCCCCTGACATTCAAGATATAGAGCCCCATTCTCGGCTGAACCAATCACGGAAGCCAACGGTTTGGATGTCAGGAAAATAGGTATTGAGAAGCGCCGGGGTTGCGAAGTCGAATCGACCCTCTGCTGTTGCAATGACCGGCGGGAGACGTCGCTGCCTGGGGATGTCGCTTTGCAACTGCGCCATGGTGAGTTGGTACTGAAGACCTGCGGTGTTCTGCCACGAGATGTCGCTGAACTCCTGTCCTGTGCAGATGTTAGTCACTGCAGCATGAGAAAGATTGTCCTGAAGAATTACCTCTGCAAACTCTGACAGCTTCGATGAGGTCGTTGACGCTCATCCTCTCCCCGCACATCGTAAGTTCAGCAGGCCACTCGGCCATGTCCAATGCTCTTGTAACGAATTGTCCTACATCGTGTGCTGAAGTCAAGCACAGATAGACCAGTTCGTTGGCATCGTTGTACACGGGTGCTTCTGCAGTCATCGCTCTTGGATCTAAGATATAGTCTCCCTCGTTGCCGTACCCAGTACTGGCGCCAAAGCCGCGGGAGAACATGCCATTGACGCAGAAGCGTTCGTACAGAATACCACAAACGAAAACGGTAGATTGTATATATCCTCGATAGTGCTGAAGATGAGCAAGTGCAAGAGCATTGCCGCGATCCAACGGATCGTTTTCTTCCCGCAGATGTGGTAGACCCTGGAACTCTGCTGGGGCGAACCGTGGCACACGGCAAGCAACCGCGGCTTCGATGAGACGAAGCTGGGCGGTCCCAGATACAGTAGATATAACTGTATCAACTCCACTTAACGAGTACTGGAGGGATCCTGAGTCATTGTAGTCGACAACTTGGCATTGGTATCCCTGTGCAGAAAGGCCTGGCTGCGGCTGCGAGGCTGTTAGAATACATGCCAAGATCCCCGTGAGGTGTCGAGTATCTGAAGGGCAATGGGTGACTCACATGTCTTGAAAGTATAAGCAGTTGGTGACTCGTATGCTCATGAATCGCTTGGGCAATGGCGAGGGCCAATCCACAAGTCCCCGCAACGGCTACTCGCATAGTTGACATTTTCGTTTGGAATGTTAAACAATCACAGATGAGTCCGGGGCCTGAACCAGCAATATTTACAGAGCAGGACCAGTCTTATATGTTCATAGTCAGTAAGGAGGAATCAAGTCAAATCTCCACGAGTACAAGGATGCTCTGGCAGGTCCTTCACCGTAACGTCCACGATCGAGATGCCCGTGGTTGGGCGACAGAGGTCCTGGATACGGTGTAGAGACAAACAATGGCTTGTAGTGAAGTGAGAAGAATCGGAAAATGCACCTAGGACGGCAAGAGCGAACGTGATGGGTGGCAAGACATCGTCCGAGCCGAAACGTATTATGAATGAAACGTGGTGAATGCACCAATAGATGGTTCCATGACGGTACTGGTTGTTCTCGCGTCACGTTGCTGGTCACACAGAGGCCACCAGCAGTCTAGTGTGTAGGAAGTTGGGGGATGGCAACTACCATCTTTTGATCATATGCATAGCAGGTGGGAATGGGCGCAACTCGGTGAAGACAACCATTTCGATTTTACCCTGGTGCAACGACTGCAGTTGCCTTGTTGCAACGCCTCTAGCTATCACGGAGACCCGTCCTGGTTCCTTACCGACCGGGATGATTCGTGGGTAGCCATGCAGGTTAAGCACCCTATATTGCTTGGCCACAACCGGGAAAAGGGTTGAAGTCCTCTAGGGACTAGAAGCCGTCCGAGAAGAGAAGTACGCGGGAGCATTTAGGAGGGTGATGCCTATTATTGTACTACGCGTCCTGAAGAGTGTTGATAACAGAAGTTTGCGTAAGATCCTCTGACCAGATGATGGAGCAACATGTTCTCGATTCCAAGATGCAGTCCGGTCAATCACCCATTTCTCATTTGATCTGGTAGCAGATGGTACGGAATGGAAAGGTTGTGAGGGTTGCCATATCCCTTTTGTTGGGTGTCCCGATATGAAAAAGCAAGGGCAGGGAGGAGAGAATCGGCACATTTCGTGTCCCAGCTTCAGCCCTAAACCTTCTCGACTTATCAAATCGGGCTGTCCTGATATTCGTGCACTGATGGAAGCCGGCATGATCACCAGAGCAGGTATGAATCCGAGAAGCGCGTGGACAGGTGGCGGTTCCAATTAAACCTAGTCAGATAGAAGGCCAACCATACAGCCGGAACCAGCCTCTGAATTGCAATTTCATTCGATGGAACATCAGCGTGGGTGCTGGTAATGGTGGTTGCCATGTTGGATGGGAAATTTTGGGGGCCGGAAGCTATTGCACTTGGAGGATATGTGGATGAGGCCCGATTGACCGAAATAGCACTTAAAACGATGTGTTGACTTTTGAAATAATTTCAAGACAGGCATGAAAAGTGTACCGTTAAGAAAAAATTGAAAATAGAAAAAAAATAAGAAATAGCAGGTGAGACATGGAGAAACCCGCGACCCTGTGTGTCGGGAGTAGGTCGCGATGTCTCCCCGCAGAAAGCCATGTCTGCAATCACTTAATGGTTGCGAGAGACCAGTATGCAGGCTCGGTAGGCTTCGGACGGACCCTTGCGAGAGCCATGGGAAGAGGAAAAGAAAGAGCTGAGCCCATTGGTGGGAGACTGGAGAAGGCCAAAATGAGCGTGTGGGTGATGGGGGTCCTAGCACGATCCAGACAGCACTTCTGCCTTGAGTCCAGGTGACAGATGATGATCTTTCAACCGGTGACGGTGGGGTATTCAACGGTTGTGAGAACGATGCAGCATGTAATTCGAGAGATAGGTATGCAAACAGTCAGACGGATGTTGGAACTGGAGAGGGAGTTCCACACGTGCGTGGGTTGCGCATAGTCCTGAGGGAGGAGGCGAACTTCAGCTGAGTCTTACGGTGAGTAACAAGAAACGGATGCAAGTGAATGGTAGGCTGTAGTGGCAGGTAGACTACTTAGAATAGTTGAGCATCGCTGCCTAGGGACTGTTTGCCTGCCCATAGGCGAGTTCCGCTATACGTTGGGTGTCAATGGGAAACCTGGGAATGGAAGGTAGGGAACTGAGTTCATAGTGTTGTAACCGCAGATATAACTATTGACAAAGAGAAGGGATGGGAAAGAGGAAGGGGAAGGGGAGAGAAAAGATAAATGATGGTCGTCGGTTGTAGTCGAAATGGAGAAGCCGAGGAGGATGGTTCCCGATTTGGCTAAGCGTGGGAATTGGATTCACGTGCTATCGCGTCAACCATTGCAACTTGACTTGGAGGTGTTTGTGAAGATGGGGATGGAGAAGTGTGAACAAGGCGAAGATCGAAGGCGAAATGGGCAAACAATCGCGTACATGTATCATTTCTCTAATTGACAAGTGACTGGCGCCTTTTACGCGCACATAGTTATGCCCATACCTCTTCGTAGGTAGCAACTCCGGTCGTGGACATCGTAGACGCGTCGCGAGTGGTTAAGCATCTAGAAAGGCCAACATTGACTATGTACACCGTGTCCACAAACACGCGACTTTGCAGTGCTGAGTATGAGTACATTAGATTACGAGCATGGACAATGATCACCTCTGATGGCTGCTCAAATCAAGTTTGGTGATAAATGAGACGGATTGTAACCCTCATGAGGAGTGTCCTGTTGTACGTCCATCCAAGATCAGATACGATGAAGAACGTGCAACTTCCCAGGGAGAGTAATTACGGGTCGTAGTAAGGAATAATTAATGTAATTATGAATGAAACAAGGCCATGACCCGTTCATGCAAGACATTTTGATCCAATCTACCTACCTAACTACATATGTACTTCCTCTTCACACGACGGCCCGCCATCTTCCCTGCGCACAAACCATCGCGTCAACGCGCGCCCGCCGCCATCGACCTTCCACCACCACCATCAACATTCCCTGCCTCTCCACACGATCATACTTACTTGCACTTACCTACCTACTCACCTACTTACATTCTCTTTCCAATCTTCAATCTCCAATCGCACAATTGACTCAACATCGCCTCCTTCTCCAAAGACTCGTGAGGGTCAATCAAACCATCAAACCATGTCGGACCCTTCGGCAGCGCATGTACCTTCATCGCCACCGAACGATAGTAGGCGTGTCTGCACCAATAATGCGACCCCGAGCCTCCCACCACCATACGCATTCCTCGTCCATTCTCCCAACACTGTCGCAAACGATCTACCTCCAGACGTAGACAACAAACCACTCGCTCGTCAAAAGCGTAGAAGAACAAGGTGCGTTAACATTGATTTCACTATTATTATTGATCAACAACCATTTTCGCGTTGTTGATGTTGATGGTTCGACTATCCTGTCTATTTGTACACACAAATACACCCACCCACCATACAAATCCTCGCGTCTCGCGTTACTGGAACGTGCTCTCCTTCGCTGTCTCTACTCTCGGCCCGCACAAACCTTTCAACCCCACCCTCTGCTCCTCCACAATCAACTGACCACATGGCCGTGCAGCAAAGAGGATGAAGAAATCCTCAAAACTGAATATTTAAAAAATCCAAAACCCGACAAAGCCGCTCGCATCCAGATTGTTCGCAAAGTCGCCCTCGGAGAGAAAGAGGTCCAGGTACGCACTACTTACTGCACCCATGTCTTTTGCTCCAGCTGGCACAGTGGCACAGCCCATCACTCGCCTGTTTCTGCACATGACTAACATTGGTTCGAACCACCTCCAGATTTGGTTTCAGAATAAGAGACAGAACGACCGCCGACGCGCGCGCCCACTTGAACCTTCCTCCACTGCATCGCTACTCTCATCATCCTCCAACATGTCCGACCCTGTCACGGATGATGAACGTGTCCTGCGCGACGGCACCGACGCACACACTGAGCCGCACAATGACGACATATCCGCTCTGGACGACCCAGCGAATCTCGAGGATGCCGAGCCCACAGTGACTTCAGAGGACGCAGAGATTACAGCGACTGCCACCGTCGCTGCCACCCAGGAACAAAATTCTGAAGACGTTGTCGTGATTGGGGAGGTGGAATCACAAGCGACTGTCGATTCCGTCGCGATCGCAATAGCTTCTACCGATCCTGCCACCATTGAGACAGCAGTCACAGAGCCCGATAGCTCCCAACAAGAATCCACATCATCGCAGAGCGCCGAACGCGCGCGTACCTCGTGGATATCCAACCGACGTAGTGCTTCTTTTCGGCATGGCGAGGACTACGCACCTGAAGTTATCACTTTCCCCCAACCGACATCTACCGCCGCCGACGAAGCCCCTCCCTCAATAACGACCTCGCCAGCTGAAGCACCACCCAAATCGTCAACACCGAAAAAGTCATTGAAACGCACACATTCCTTTGTCCGACTCTCGATGACGGACGACGGCACCGCCCGCGTCATCACTGACGCCGATAAAACCCCCTCACCTCCCCACGCCAAGTCGAACCCTGCGTCGCTGTCTCGTGCTGCTGCCGGCCTCCGCAGGAGTTATAGTTCGGCAGGATTGAACGAACGCCTAGCTGCAGCCTCGCGAGGCGAGCCCAGCCCAAAGATGCCCAGAACCTCATCCAGCGTTGGCCGGAGTCGAGATTCACGCGCATGGGAGTTCTGGTGCGATCCGGATACGCGAAACAGTCGCAGCCTAACTACTTGGGCCGACCAAGAGGGCAGCGGCAGCGCAGCAGACGCGATTGGACTTCTCCGCGCTAATCGCAGAGTTCTGGGCCAGAACCAGACACGTCAAAACACCCCAATCATGTCGCGACACAACTCGTCCAAGTCAACCAGAGATGGTGGTGTGAAGAAGTCGCGTCGCCAAATGCAGAGGGCATCGACTATTTCTGGGCCGCTCCCTAGCAAGGAAACGAAACATGGAGACAGTAGCGAGTCCGACGAATTGCCGCAGACGGAATCAGACAAGGAGAACTGGGAGCCCGAACTCCCGCAAGCACGTCGACAGCGAACGTCCGGCCCACAATCGAGCTCTCAACGGCCACGCCAAATCTTGGGCGAGAACACGGAGATAATGTCACAGAGCACAAGTCTCGGTGCCATGCTCGCGAAAGAGAAGGGGAGCAGAAGGGAGCGAGGAACGTCAGATCCCGAGGCGGACGAGGAGCTGCAGCTATTCATGAACAGTAGCGACACCCTGAGTGGGAGGACAAGTCTGAGCTCGGCAGAAGAGGCAGGCTGCGTGGAAGGTCTACTGAAGTTGAGTCAAGGCAATTGGAGGTAGCCCGCCGCTTTGCCATGACATGTACTAGTACACGCCTTGGTCTTTTGTCTTTGGTTTCTTGACATTATTTGCTGCATTTGAGCGAGTTGGAGTTGGTGGCTTCTAGTTGGAAAATGATGACGATGGGAATGCGGTGGGTTTGAAAGGCGTCTGCATTATCAGATTTGACAGAAGCACTTTGTTCTTCAGAGGTCATATCATTATACGAATCCATGCCCTTATTTGCATATAAATGTCTTTTGCCTACTCCTATGTGAATGACTGCCTTAGATATCTTCAAAGCTATCCTCCTGAAATGTCCTGAATATGTCGTCCAAATGTACCTCTCGCGTCCATAAACTGACGCCGCGAAAAGGGCATGTCGTATAACTCCCTCCGCAAGATCGGTTCCATGTCCAACCGATCATTCTTGCAGCTAATACCAATATCTCAAGTCGATACCCAAAGACTGGCGATACCCACCGCCAGCACTCCCTTCCATCTCACTCTCCAACCCGCACTCCATCATCATCGTCGTCCCACCTAACCAACCCATCAATGATCATAGAAGAAGAAGCTCTCCCTCACCGACCTCCCCTTCCTCACACCCGCCTTCCCCCTCTCCCTCTCCTTCCTCTCCTTCCTCTTCCTCTCCTCCTCCTCCGCCTCTTCCACCTCCCTCCTCCTCCTAGCCTCCACCTCCATCACCACCCTCCTCCCACAAATCCCCTCCCTATTCAACATAACCTCCATCCCCCTCAACCCCAACCCCCCCTCCTCCTCCCCCACCTCCGCCCTCACGTACGCCTCCCCCGGAATCTCAACCGCAGGCAACAACCCACACGACGCCGGCGGCGCAGGCCGCCTGTAGAAAAACGGCTCGAGGTTTAGGACCCGCGCCCGCGCGTGCTGTAGCGCTTCGACGGCGGGGGAGACGCGCTCTTCCCAGCGGAGGAGGGTCAGTGTGTGGAAGGCGGTGCGGAAGGCGCGGAAGGCGTGCTCGTGCGGGGTGTTGAGGGGGCAGAGGGCTTTTTTCCAGAGGTGTGGTGTTGGGGTTTGGGGGATTGTGTGGAGGAAGGGAGCCTGGGGGGTGGTGGAGGTTGTGGGAGAGGGAGGGGACGGTGGCGGGTAGGTTATCCCTGGGATTCCCGGCGTGTTTATGAGGTTGTTGGCGGAGGGCCAGGCGTCGGTCGTTGGGGGCCGGTACCGTGCGACGGTGGTGTAGGTGTGGGGTTTCGTGTTGGATTCGAAGAGGCGGAGGGTGTAGTGGGCGTGGAGGTTGCGGAAGAGGTTGGGTCGTGTGAGCGTGATGTCGTAGGGGAAGCTGGTGGGGTCGACGTAGATGTGGTAGTTATCTTTCAAGGAGTTTGGGTTAGTTGGGGGGACGGGTGACGGTGGTGATGGGGGAATGGTGTTGGCATTGTCTCGGTCGAGGGCGGTCGTTGCAGGCGGAGAGGTGGGAGAGTGCGGAGGTTTAGGTGGTGTGGACTCGAGATCCTGGCGTGGGATCGAAGGGCTGGGAGAAGACTTGATGGTGGAGGACGGAGTGCGAGCTGTGATAGTGGACTTGGATGGGGTGTTTGGGGGAGGAGTGGAAGAGGTAGACTCCAGTGTTGGATTCTGCTGATCCTTCTCCAGCCCATCATCATCTTTCTCGCCTTCCTTATTCACCACAGGCTCAGGATTTTGAACCTGTTCATCCTTGTGCTGTTCTCTTTGCTCCCTTTTCGCCTGCAACTCCGCCAGACTACTGACGAAGAAACCACTGCGTTGGGTGCAAGGCACGAATCGTGAGGACGTACCTGAACCGGTATCGTCGTAGGCTTTCTGGACGCCTTGTTTGAATTGTCTCGCTATATCTTCGTCAGTACAAGTACAATGTGTGCTTAACCTCTCATCAAACAGTGTCTCATATCAAGCCGTGGTACGACTTCCTAATATGACATAAAAGAGGGGCGAGGACGAAAGGAAAAACGTACTATCATTCATCTTCCCCAACCTCTTCATCTGTTTCTGCTTCTTTCGTTGCTTCGAGATAGCAGTCCAGAGGTACTTCTTCTCGCCGAGCTTCCTCCCGCGCTGCAGCGAGTCTTCAAGCCAGTCGTAGCTGACGATGCGGACGCCGAACCGTTGTGCCATCGCCACTATCGCCATACATGTCAGCCATACTGGTTAAAGTAAATAAATCAGCAGGTTCGAGTCTGTCATACCGTTCTCGGTCGCTTTCTTCCACTCGTCTTTGGAGCAGATGACGTGCGTCGTGTCTTTGGTGACTCGAGGGACCCAGCGGCCGTCGTTGGCTTCGACCCATTTTTTGAGCTGCTCCGGCCTGTGGCCGACGTTGCCGGCTACGGTTATGACCAGGTTCTTGAGGCAGCCCATGATGGACTAGATGTATGACGATAGCAATAGCAGTGGAAAGAATCTTCAAGGCAGATTTCAGGAACAAAAGAGGAGTTCGGTTGGAGAAGTTCGGGAGATGGAGGGCGGAGTTCTTATATCAGGCGGAAAGTGAAGTTGGATAGCGTTTGATAGATTTTCGGGGAATTGCGTGATCTTTTCGACTTCACTTTTGGGAGATATTTGGCAACAAGGTAAAGGGGGAGCTTCATTGGGTAATGAGGTGATTGCAACTGGGCGTGACGGGACGAAAAGACGGTGAGGGTTCAGTTCGGGAAGGATACGGATTGGTGAGGGTATTGATATCTGCAAACGTTCAATTATATTTGATTATATGATTCTCGAGGGATGCTATTCAAGGGGTCGTTTTCATCTTTGGAATATTAGCAGTGATGACAATGGCTTTGGAGTAAACGAATCGATTTGATTTGAAACTTAGTATCTGACAGCAAGGAAAGCTACATAGCTTCGAGATTTTGTAGTCCACATCTACTGGCCCTTGACGGCCTTAATGAATGCCCGGATCTTATCTAGATTCTGTTGTCCACCTTCTTCTACGCCACTGCTGACATCGACCGCTTTAACTCGTCCCTTATAGTCTGCCAAATCGGCAAGAACCTGCTGGACATTGTCGGGATTTAGTCCTCCTGCAAGGATGATATTGACTCCGTCGTCCTGAGTCAGGAAGTCTTTCACTTCCGTCAGATCGAGCCTCTGACCAGAACCTCCAATGCCGGCATCCAACAATGGGAGAGAATGGTACCCCCGAACGCCCACACCAATGTCCTTGGGCCCAAAGCTCTTGAAAACGGGCACGGGAATGATTTTAGCCCATTCGATTGGTTCCGAGCCGTGGAGCTGTACAATGTCCAGATTCAAAAGTTGTTGCTGTTCTAGCACGTATTCTAGGGGCTGGTTCCGGAACACACCAACGAGGAGGGCACGGTTTACATGCGATGCATGATGGGCAGATGCATGGTCGAAGAAGTCAGATGCTGATAGAGATCCCCCAGACAGCTTGTTACTCTGTGCTTTCTTAGTCTTGTGAATCACATCTGATATCGCAAGGGCCGTTTCGGTGGAAACCGTCCTGGAACGGCCCTCAGCTAATATGATTCCGATGAGGTCCGCTCCAGCCTCGATAGCTGTAGTAGCAGCTTCTGCACTTCGCGTGCCACAAATCTTGACCAGAGGGGTGGCTTCTTTGGGTGCCGAGGAGGCTACTGAAGCCTTGCTACCGAGAAGATCTGAGATAAATTGTGCTGTGTTGGACGCTCGCATCAAAGCCTCACCCACCAATACGGCGCCGACGCCACTCTTGGTATACGGCTCGACATCTTTGGGTCCAGCAATTCCGCTCAGTGCGCAGACAATGGTCTCCTTTGGTACCAGGTCCATGAGCCGGCTGGTAGTCTCCAGGTCTACTTCAAAGTTGACCAGATTGCGATTGTTGACGCCAATGACCTTTGAGCCTAGGTTGACAGCGATTCGCGTCTCCTCCACATTTTGGACCTCTACCAAAGGCTCCATACCCAGCGACTGGGAGTACAGGTAGAGCCTCTTCAGCAAGGCCTCGTCCAGCATCTTCACAATCAGCAATACTGTGTCAGCACCTGCAAGCCTGGCCTCAAGAATCTGGTATTCGTCGAAGATGAACTCTTTGCGTAAGACAGCCGGCCGATTGGGCATCCCCTCAAGGCTCTGTCGCACTGCTCGCAGATCTTCGATGTTTCCTTTGAACCATTCTGGCTCCGTTAGAACGGAGATGACACTGGCGCCAGCCTTCGCATATGTCCTTGCCTGGGCAGGCGCACACGTAGAAAGCGAGATTATGCCCTTGGAAGGCGATGCACGTTTGATCTCTGCCATCAGCGAGAGCGTATAAGGCGACTTCCGCAACCTCTCCGGGAATGGGATCTGCGGAGGTGCAAGATTGAGCTTGTAGGATGCCTCCAAATCACTAGGCCTCTGTGACGGGATCTTCTTTTGCTCGGCGACAGCGCGCTTGCGGTGGTCGTAGATCTTCTCTAGAATTGAAGTCTGCTTGTCCTTCTTTTCGGTCCCGTTCGCAGCTGCAACGTCTCCATATGCTTCAGTGTGCTTTTTCTTTGACAAGCGGTCATTCTCTGCCCAGGTTCCACCCTGCATCTGTAAGAAGTTCTTCAACATCAACCGCCCTTCAGCAGTCAGGATGCTCTCCGGGTGGAACTGCACCCCCTCCACGGTATATTCCTTGTGTCTAACACCCATGATGACGCCTTTTCCACCGTCCGGTCCAGACGCAATCCAGGATGTGACTTCTAGACAGTCCGGGAGGGTGGGGTGAGTTCCGGCTAAAGAGTGGTAGCGAGTGACAGGGACGTCTTGGGGAATGCCTGCATAAACGCCTTTAGCATCGTGTCGAAGAGGCGACGTTTTTCCGTGGAGAATCTCGCCGGTTACGTCGACGCGGCCGCCAAAGGAGTAGTAGATGCATTGCCTTGAGTGTGTTAGCGCATGAACAATGAATTAGATAGTGGTTTGCCATACTCGCCCATACAGACACCAAGCACGGGGATCTTCCCACTAAAGTGTTTGATAGCATCATTGCTGATACCGGCGTCCTTCTCAGGATGTCCAGGTCCTGGGCTAATGACAAGTTGAGTGGGGTTCTTTGCGATCAACTCCTCGAGGGTAATCTCATCATTACGGAAGACAGTAACGGTGGCTCCTTCGAGGACAAGATATTGGTACACATTCCAGGTGAAGGAGTCGTAATTGTCTATAAGTACAAGGTTCGAGGCGGTTGCAATTGGTGCGGAGGGGGACGGATGGTGGGGAGAATGATCGATGAGTCCGAGCGTGGCAGTCATCGTGAGCGTGGTATGTACGCTGAGGCACTCGTAAGAGGCGACAGATGGGAGAATGGGTGAGCTCCTCAACCGAGGCGGTAGACTTTTCTCTGGTTCGAGGTGCGATTGTTGGGAGCAATTGATGTGTGAGGTGCGCAATGGATAGGTAGGGAAAAGTGGTAAATTATTATATGCGACGAGAGAGTATGAGTCTACTACTAGTTATGTAGGTTGTGCGGAGGTTCATCGGAGGTCGTCACCGTCCCCGCCGTCGACTGTTATTCATACATAATTGATTAATTATTCCTTCCTCACTGGCTAACTAGGTACTTAGTACGAAGAAGGAAAAGAATTAATTAAATTACCATAACAAAGCAGTAAATCCATTCATCCATCTCCCGCCTAATCCCGTATTGGGTAAAGCGCAGCGCGACATGGGTATCAATGTGGCACGGATCCACTACTGACCATGCCCTTTCGCGTCGAAAGCTTGAAGCTATTTGTCTGTCGGTGAAAGCCCATCTCCAAACATTCGACATTCGACGCCGGTCGCTCTCCTCATTGTCGCTCTTTCCGCTGGCCTACATGGCACTTGGCTGAACGTGTAATTGCCAGCGCAGTGCAGCGCCCGTCATGGCTCCTCTGCAGCCGCAATCGCAGATGGATTTCGATCTAGCGAAATGCTTCGCGGGCGAGCAACAGCTCGTGTATGTCACATGTTCTCTCATATTGTGGACAAGAATGACTTCCTAACCTCAACAGATCCTGGAGCTCCGCATATACTGCCCTCTGCGACCCCGAAACCGCATCGAAAAGCACCGTCCTACGTGACTTCCTTCGTAGCGAAGCCAGCATCGAAACGCTTACCCACCCATGGCAACCGTGGACAGGTCCGTCAGCTCATGAAAAGAACAAGTTTGAGGCAAAGACTGCTCCAATCAGTATCACACCAACATCTGGCGGTCACTACGATTTAGAAGAGATCAAGGCCGATACCCTGTGGTTGTCGCAACAGGCCAAGATTTCTGAATATGAAGCGCTGCGGCTGGTTACACTGGAATGGCAGAGTAGACCTACCAACCAGTTGTTGTCTGGACTGTCTCAAGAGGAGGCTGTCAGTGTTCGAGATGCTGCCGGACTTGCGAACCTCGGCGCCTCGACCTTCATCCCTAACTCCTCCATAATCACCGCCCCCTCAGCTCCTTCCGATGTCCAGTTCGATTCCAAACCACAACGACAACTCCGATTAATCGAGATCTATCACTCTTCGCGCATAGCAATATTGAGGATCAGCCAACTGCTCATCTCATGGGGCGCCGCCAACGATTTGAGACCTGCCTACGGGGAAACATACAGGGTTGGTGACGATTCGCTGGAACAACTAGGCCAGACCATCGTATCAAAACAGATCCAAAAAGACTCGGGCTTCCTAAAGTCATGTATACTGGGAATTGAAGGAGTGTTCGAAAATTTCGACAAGGGCCAGTCAATCTGGACAGTGTCTGAAGAAACGCAAGATGTTGCGGACGAGAAATGGAGGACGGCACAAATTACTGAACTGGTTCACCTGCTTCATCTTGCAACGATTCATGCGGATCTTTTCACTCCCAAGTTCGTCCACAGCGATGTCGTTGAGCGTTGGTTCTCCTTGATGCAGGCAAATGGATTTTTCCAAAATATCCCAGTAGTAAGTGATGAAACTCTATCACTATGAGTCGATGCTGACAGTCTGTATCAGATATCTCCGAAGCAGCAGGATCTTGTGTCGTTGATACAAATGCTGACATCGATTTTCTCCTTGGCGGTGCTGAAACTCGGCTCTATCATCGATGATTTAGAATCGGAACAATACCTTGCTTGGGACAGCAGCCTGTATCTCCTCCAGGGGAATCTTTTGGAGAATATAACAAGTATCCTTGGTCAGGCGAAAGAGCTTGGACCGAGCCCTGCGACGGTCCCTACGTATGCTTGGGCTCTGCTCCTCAATCACATATTCCAGGAGGCTCAGATTCTCGAACAAGCCCGTCAACACGACATCGACAATGGCCCAGGCCACAAGGACTCCGTACCGAAGCTTTCATTAATAGAAGAAGCAGCGTCTGCCGTGGCCAACCTGGAAACTAGCGATCTATTCAACAGACGCCGGCCTTTTGAGGATCTGTTGATATCCTGTGCTGAACTGAACACCATAGAGATTGCCAACCAACTTATTTGCCTAGGCATATCAGTATTTGGCACCAAAGTCGACCAAATCTCCTTGGACAGGTTCAGGTTGCTTTTTCTGCAATTGATTCGTGCTGGCCTAGCATCGAGCACCCTTACATATACACCCGATGTGGTCAACGCTACACATACCATTTTAACAGGCGAAAGATCATTTCGCAGATGGACGAGACCGCACGCTGCTCTGCATGCAGACCCTATCGTTTCTTACTGCGTGAACGACCCTTTCCTCCGCTCATGCCTGCTAGACGTTGCCCGAGGCCGTTATCCCTACGAGATAACTCCACTGCTCACATTCTATGCTGCCATCATTCGAGGCGATGGCATGACGAAAGACGGAGTTCCAAGTGTACTCAACGAGCTGACAAACTTCAGCACACTCATGCAACGACTGCCGGCGGCGGATTTCAAAGGGTACAAATCAATTCGCGAGGATGAGAACGCAAATTTTGTTGCTCTCTCTGAACCACTCCCTCAGTTCTTCAATGAAATAGCTCCACTCTCTCGCGGCACAAGGCGCCTCATCACATCATCTGCATATGCAGGTAATCAAGCATACATGGTGATACCCCCAGGCACTGAAGGGCAGATCGTCGACGATAGCGAACCCCCCTTCATCGCGGCATGGCACTTTCCGCACTCGGGCCTAGAGTATCTCGTGCGACTGCTCTCTACCTACGTAATCGGCAGTGGCACGGTTGAATACTCGAGCCAATGTCCGGCCTCATCCGGGACGGTCAGCGACATCATTGGTCTCTTTGCTGACCTTCTCCATGCTTTGCTGAGGGCCCCTGCACAAGATGGGGAGGCTCTCTGCTCAGCGGATCTATTATCTGCGCTGGATATCAGGATTGATGGGGCTCAAGATACAGTGAATGTCATTCTTGCAGTCTTCGACCAAGAACTGCTACGCCAATGTCAAGAACCAGGCAACGAGGAATCACTCGAGATTCTCATAAATTGCATTCACTTTCTTGAAGCACTTGTCGCTATAGCTCCGAACAGAGTGTGGCCCTGGCTCACCAGAGGTCGTCTCTTGTCGACGGAAGGAAACGGTGGAAGCTTAGCAACCATCCTGATAGGTACAGAAATGGTTCTCGCTCGATACGACTTTTTGATTGGTTGTATTCGCCTCTTTGATGCTTTGGTAGAGGATGCAGTGGGTCAAGCTGTGAACCGTAAAACACCAAGCAAGGCTCTTACTCGATTCAATTCGTCTATTACTACCGACAGCGGCACATCTGATAAGTTCATGAGCCAACTCCTCCTTGCATTTGGGAAAACTCTTGCAAGCGTATACGAAGGATCACCCTCTTGGAAATACCAGAGAATAGAGGACCGCATCGAGATCAACACTGGGATAAGTGATGTGTTCACTAGAATTCTCAAATACGCATACGGCACGGATGACAGTGTGGCCCTGTCCACCAAGTTGACAGGACTTCTGTCTCCAGTTGCAGAATACATCACGGAACTCTACTTGTCACAATCGGCGAACGATCTCCCCACCAATCCCATCTTGACTTCTTTCTTCCAAGACCTAGATGGAGACAAAACTGCCTTGTCGTTAAGCTTGGCCGAGCTCTCGAAAGAGCAAACATGCAGTGCACTACGACTTTCAGATACTCTTGTCAGAATTGCATTGTATCTGCAACGACCATGGACGTATTTGGAACATCAGCTTTTTAAGGCAGCGCCTCTCCTGGCAAGGTTGTATGCAACCAGCGATAGCTATAAGCCTCTGGTACTTCCTTTGCTAGAAACTTTGGTCAGAGCTGCTGTTCGCGTTGCGGACTTGGAGCCTACTGCCGCGACAAATGGATCAAAACAGCAAGCAGAGCCTCCTTCCCTGTTGGGACACTTGGGGCCTCAAGCAGCGAAGAGCTTCTTGAGCATTCTATCCCAACTGGACGAACCGTTCAAGGTTGTGGAACTGCAAACCCATGTTTGGAATCTTCTTTCAGCTGTTGTCACATGCAAACAACAGTGGTTTGCTTTGTATCTTCTTACTGGAAACACGCCTCGGGAAACTCTCAAGAGAGAAACCAAGAACGACACGAAGTCAACAGGAAGCAAAGCGTTACTATCTCGTGCAATCGAATCATTGGCAAGGCTAGAATTTAACGCACCCCAAAAGGACTGGGCGCTGTATGCTTCGAAACTTGAGTTCGTAGCATCAGCCCAGAATAATTGGTCTTGGGCAATGGGTGACTTGAAACGACACGCAGGATTCGTCCAACAGCTGGTTGCCTTCTTGAAATGGATGTTGTCCCAACCTCAGGATCCCAAGGCCTGGGAAAAGGATGCAACCCGTTCCCATCAGAATCGGTTCGCGGCCTTGACTTGCAACGTCCTAGCAATGTATCTTCACAGTGCACGCCAAAAAGGTGACCATGATGCTGTCAGAGAGGTGGTTCCTAGCCTGGCATTTTTAGAAAGCTATGCTCTAAAGACTCCTCGCTACAACCCCTCGCTCCACAGCTACCTCCGACAAAACCTCGAGAAAAGATTTCCTGGCGTAACGCTGATGAAGCTGAAACGAACGACTTTATACAGCCAGTCATTTGGGCCGTCTTACTTCTACAACACCGACTTGGCAAACCAACTTCTTGGCTTTGACAAACACTGGTCAGGGCCAGGGTCAGGGCCAAATTCAGGATTGGCTTCCGATCTTGAAAAGGCTAATATTAATCTGAGTCTGGTCGAATCTCAGATTCAACTTCTTCGGAGTTGGAAGATTCTAGCTACGGAACTGAGCAATTCTGTCACCATAAGCGACCGCCTCCCGAAAATACTAATAAATGTTGTCAAGGACAGCATGAAGGCGAATGCAGAACCACAGTTTCAAGAGGCTTGGCTCCGACAACTGGATGTATTGCGTGGAGACCTGTCCTTCGTTCTGCTTCAAAGGATGGTCAACTCAAGGGTCAACGCCCCCGAAACACGCCAGCTTTTACCGGCAATATGGAAGACGATACTGGCCACCATCTCGGATTTTGATAATGTTTTCTCGAGCGAACAAGTACCACAATATCGCCAGCTTCTGAAGATACTATACCTTTCCCTCCAGTTCCAACTCGAAAATGGGACCGCGCCCAAAGAGGAGATTGAATTCAGATCAAGTTTCCGTGGATCCGTTCCAGCTAGCCAAAAAGTTCTGACTGAGCCCATTTCGAGCCAATTGCTCGAAATTCTGTCAGAAACAGTGGCAAAAGGATTCCGTAGCCTTGCAACTCAACTTCATTCCGAACCCGGAAGTGTTCATCCCTCTGATTTTGCGCTGCTCACCGCAATCCTGCAGACCATTCTTGCTATCCCTGAGATGAGGACATGGCATGCTCAAGCCGCCTTGCTTTTCACTAATAGCAGCACATTGCGATATGCTACGAGCTTGTTCTCGTGGTCAGACAGGCTCACTGTTCCAAACAACGGCGTCGACGACCCTATCTATGGAGAGTTGAGTCTTCTCTTCATCCTCTCTCTGTCCAGTATGCAACCACTAGCAGAGACCATGGCCGTGGACGGAATTTTATCGCAACTCAACAGCGCAAACTTGATGAATTACTTCCGTCGCCCTGGAGGCATGTCACCCTTCGATTCTCCCCCGCGTCTTTTCTCAATCTGGACCAAAGGCATCTTGCCCCTGTGTTTGAACATCCTAAGCGCCGTTGGGCCGCCCATTGCTGGCGAAATCGCTGCCTTCCTCAATCAATTCCCCGAACAACTTGCGCGAGCATCGAACGCCTTGAACTCTCGAACAACTACCAAGATCACGTTGTCCATCGTCTCCGAGATACACTCACTAGCACTGATCTCTAGCATTCTTGATGGCGATCGAATCGGAGGGTCGCGACTGGGGATTCAAGCCAACGACATTGCCAACCTCGATTGGGACAAAGACGGTCTAAAGGATGACATCGATAGCTGGTTAGCAAGGAAAGCCGCCTTGCGAGAGAGGATTGTCGTTCATGACGAGATCGATGCGGCATTGTATAACAAGAAATTTTCGGGTGCCGGGACAGACAACGTATTGGAGGACAAGGTATTGGACGAACTTGAGGCTGCCGGAGTCTGCCTAGGATTGGGAAAGAATAATGGTTCTTGATGTGGCTGTATATGTGGATGGGTATGCTGGAAGCGAGATTTGGCGTTGACGTTGCATTGCATACATGGATCAAACGCCATGGAGTTCAGGCAACGGACTTGAGATTCTTTAGGTCAAAACTTTACTAAGATACCGGACAGTTTTGGTGTCAGGGATAATTAAAACATTTTTCTCTTCATACTGGTGTCATCACTCTTGCGTGTTGTCACTTACAGCAATCTCAAGTTGCTCTCGTCTTATGCCCATGTGACGCAATAAACCAGGACTGATCTTATGTGACCAGACGACAAACGCAGTTTGTCCAGACGGCCTTTGAAAGATGAAGTGGTTGGCCACAGCTAGTTTCGGCCCGCTAGAACACATTTGCTCTTCATCTGTGCCTCCAAGGTGATGATTCTCTAGTTCATCCAGGATCTTGTTTCGAGCAAGATACATCCACAGCTCATTTAGTGCTACCTATCCATACTCGTTGTCATCTCGTTGAGATTCTACGTCCTCAAGGCAGCCGTAGTGAAGGAACTAACCACGATTGAAAAAACTGAAATACATCTGCTGAGCTCTTTCACCTTCAGGCCTGGATACCATGACTTCAAGAAGTGAATGATGGTAAATAAGCAAAGTTATCTCCCTAGAATGAAAGTGCTTGAGGTGATTTTGTGTATGGCTGAGCCAGTCTGTTCATTCTGGACGGATCACGATTTACTCTCACGTCGCTGCAACAGGTCCGCCTAAGACTGATTTGCTATGTTCGTAGCAAAGAAACGCTTGCGCCAGTTGCTAGTGAAGGTGAAGGGAATTGGTTTTGCCACGTCCCTCCAGGTGATTTCGAAGTGAAGCTGGCCCATAACAAGATTCACTCCCTCCGGCCTAAAACCAAAACAAACACAACGTCCCCTTCGCAACCTTTACCTCAACCCCACTCTCTCCCCCCTCTCTCCCCCCTCTCCCCTTTCTACTTAATCCCCTCATCGCTATGTGGAATAGGCACCGGCTCGAAGTGCATACTAGATCACCGTCTTTCAACCCTCATGCTCCTTCGTTCAGTCCGTCCTCGTTACGTCGCAGTGCAGCAGAAAAAGTGAAAAGTCAGAAAGCAACCCGTTTCCAGGCCTCAGTATCGCAGGTTGTATCGTTTGGAGAAAACGAGTGGCCTTCTCTTCCACCTTCTGGCCCCGACAAAGAACGGAAAGGTACGTTGCTGAGGTGATGTACGATTGACTGTATTATACTGACAACAGTAGCAACTCCGCAACACGCCCAAGCAGACCCTAAAGTTCGAACAACAACTCACCTGGAGATGATGCCGACTCATCCCCACATCTTCTCAGGCGCCGTCCAAGGCTCGGAAGGTGAGCAAGTAGACAGAACCCAAGGACTATTCGGCCAAATGCGTGTAGACCACGGTGGCGTTCATCCTCATCACCAAGCACCGTACTTTAGCAGCCAAATGGCACAATCAAAGGCAATTCCGAACTTTGAGACACCGAAAACGCCTCGAGGTATGTATAGATATCCGCCCAGAGCACGGGTGGCACTGACCAGAGAAGCCATGCATTCTCCTCGTAGCGTTGCCCACGGCCAATATCATGACTTCGGACACTACCCTGGACCCCCTCAGTCTACTCAACCTGGTCTGTATCCAAGAGCACGCTTTGGATCTTTGCTCACACCTCAAGTAGCCCCATCAATGCCGTTGCAGACCTCGGTGCCATCATACCGTCCTATCTTCGAGACCCCGGATCGATTCAATAGCAGTGGCTATGCTGGACCTGGTTGGACACCAGGTTCGACTACACCACTTTCACAGCGTATCCACAGCTCTGAAAGCAGCAGACATGGGGCATTTACATTTCGAAACCCATCACCGCAGCGTCATTTCGAGGTCCCCAGTGTCCCAAACCAATTTCACTCAGGCGATACATCATTCTCACCAATGCTGCCCAAGGTACGAGTGGATGAGTCCCAAAAGAACCTGACCAAGCATGGCTCATTCAATTCCCCCCAGCTACAGCACACAATGGCAAATGGCGCCACACACAATCAATATCACATTGTGCCCAATGCCCCGGCAGCATACTCCGCCTCTCCATTCCGCTCCACTCCAGGAACGACTAACCGACAGAACAACAACGGTCGCCGAAGGGGGGAGCGTCCCAAGAAATTCCCACGCAAGCAGCCGCCGCGCTCAAGGCGTACGGACCAGGGTCCGATGCCATCTGACGCAGACATCTACCCGGACGATAGCTTCGAACAAGTCGAGGGGGGCTTTAAAGGGTCTCTTTCCATTGAATCTCCACCTACGGTGCATCGTGTGCATGGCTTCAATCCTGCAACGCTGGGTTATGAGCAGGCTGTGGTACCTTTCACTCCCCAGAACAACCCTATGGCTAATGCGCCCGTCGCTCCTGTTCCCAGCCTCATGGACGCAAACATCCCAGGATATCTGCGCACTCCTTACCCAGTTCCGCCTACAAAGGGAGATCTCGAGGCAGAGCCGATCAACGACATTCAGCCTTCCCCGTGCGACGAAACGCGCGCGAACGACAGCCTGGTGGTTACTGGAGGAAAGTCTCACATCCAGATGCTCGCACCCGCTATTGCTATTCATACTGGGGACCCGAACTCTAGTGCTGCCCGTCAGAAGGGCTCCTCGACGCTTCCTTCCCAGCGAGCGCTCATGGCAGACCAAGCTGATGGAAGCAGGTACGGCTTGAACCACGGTGGTTTGGGTCTGACTACCTTGGGAGATTCTTGGAAGCCTCCGGTTTTGGACGGAAGGTTCGCAGCGGCAAAGAGTCTTTGGGAGGATCGCACAGAGTATGTTAGTCCAGCACCGGTCGACAGGCAGTGGCAGTGGCAGCAGCAAGCGTGCGCATGAACACATTGCGGACGACCTCATTGGCGTTATCCGGCCGCTCGTTGGAATGCTTGAATCATACAATTGAGTTGGCACGGAAAAGAAATCATTTCATGGGAATGGCTCTTTGATAGCCTCGTAGGTAGAACTCAAGTAGTTTAAGCACCATCTGTGCTCCCGATCAGTGTGTTTTCATGCACTCAGACAAGCGATGACTACGGTCTACCTACCTAATAAAACATCAAACATATAGGTTTCGTTGTTTGTGTCTCGACTAGGCGTTTGTCATGTTAGATTGTTTTGAACTGATTCGATGGGTATACAAGTAAGCATTTACAAGGGAGTATCATAGCCATCAGTATGCGAGATACGTGGTGTATATCAGCGTTGTGATGGGCACAGTGAGGTAGTGTCTTCGTGATAAATGTTCATTCAAGTTGGCGTTGACAGACATCGAGCAATGCAGTGGGTGTTTGGTATGAAGATTTTACGGACATGCTTGTTCACCACTGACCTCGAATCATTCAATAGAGCTTCCAAAAAGTAATAGTGTTAGGGAATAAAAAGTAAGAAAAAGGGTATACATTCACAAAAACGCCCATTCTAGTACAAGATGTTCATACAGCCGTGATGTCGTACGAAGGGATTGGCCAATCCCCAATCGTTGCCTGAATCCCTGATGTCTACAACTCCTGCTTGTTCCCAGGCTCTACACTTGTAGGCCGCTTGACATTCTCGAACTCCTCGTCGAGATCGTCGGGCTGTTCCACCATCTCGGCGTCCTCGTCTAGGGTGGTGTCTTTGAGGGGACCTTCGCTCTCCTCGTACCATTCATTGTTAAGCCAGTCGTGGAGGAGCTCCTTCGCCAACTCGCTCATGTTGTAATAGCCGGGGTTGTTCTTAGGTTCGAACATGGACATGTGCGCAAAAGTCTCCGAAGTGCTTTTGTCGTTCACTGCAGGGACAAAGTATTGTTTCGCTTCACCCTTTGGAAGGTTGCAGAACGTGCGGTCGGTGCCTGCTACTTTTCCAGCCCATGAGTCCTTGTTGTTCTGTGCGTTAACAGCGTGCCCGAGCGTCGTGTGGATGTTGGTGAAGCCAATCGATTGGGTTTGCGAAAGCTTGATCACATTGTAGAGGCGCTTCTTAAGGTCTTCAGGCCGTGCCAGACTGCCCACAAACTCGAGATGCGACGTTGCCCAGCTCCAGCCCTCTGTTATCTGTTCCCTCTTCATATACGCAGCAGCACCTCCAGCAGCGACGGCTCCAGCCGCTCCAGCAAATAATGCCACTCGTCCATAACGCTGCCACAGCGGTGTGGCGGCTGCGTCTGCGTTTGAGTCGCTAACAGCGACCTTTGAACTCTTGTCCGGAGCTGGGAGCATCCTGCTTGCATCTACGGGGCCTGCCTCGGAATTCTTCGCACCCCAACCGAACGCACCAGCAAGGTTCGAATACGCTGCGTATGCCGAGTTTGCGGTTTTCCAGTGGCCTTCGGCGCCATGCGCAACAACTCCGGGGGAGATTCCAAGGTACGGTGTGTCGAAAGCAAGCACGCCTTGAATGTACGGGAACATCAAGAGACTAGGGTCGGGTAGAGAAGAGGTCGAGTGCGACTGGGAGTTGTTGAGAGAGTGGATGGGCTGTTCGTTGATGATAGACAGAAGGGTTTCGGCTGCGACGATACCACCCATGGAGTGGCCGACGAGAACAGTGCGTACGGAGGGGTCCACGGTGGGTGAGGGCGTCCCATTTTCGACCTCGAGATCTATGACTTTGTTCTGAAGCCTGGAATTGATATGTGGTTAGTACTCTAGGTGGCAGAGGCCCGTAGTCGGGCGTGAAAACTCGCGGTGCATGATGTCGCAATGGGACAAGGACTCACCATTCTTTGAACCTCGCCACACATTCCTGTAGATCACCTCTTGTCTCGTACTTGGGATATGTGATGGTCAACACGGAGACCTTTGGTAGCGCATGTTGGAGGATCGCCTTGAGATGGGAAGGGAAATTGGCAAACGTGTCATCGCCGCCCTATATAACAGTAGTGTCAATGTTAGCAGGTGGAATGCAGGTCTTTGAAGGCCTCGGAAGCTTGCGATGCGATGCGGTGCGTGTGCGATGCGATTCATGGGTGGGGAAGTGGTGTCGCGCTGAAGAAAAGAGTGTTGTGTGATTCATTTCGTACCTTGAATCCATGGATAAAGCACAGGAGCAGCGTCTTCTTCATTCTTCTAGACTTGAACTGTGGTCCGGCATGGCGGGGGCGCAAGTTGAGAGCTGAGGCGGGTGAGAAGTCGGTCGTGGCGGGAGCGGGAGGCCGATTACGTCGTCGTTTGTCTGGGGTTCGCTTGCAGCCCTGGCCATAGACATCGATCTCTGATTGGCTGGCCTGACCTGACCATTACCATTCCTTTATCCATCCCCTCACATGAGGCTTGCAGACAAAGTCAGAATATACGGGAAGATAACTACTCTCATCGAAGAAGTTCTACTACAACAGAGAAACTTTCCAAAGAAACAATAAAGGAAGACAATTCAACTCCACCTTTAGACTCTTTTTCCTAAATCCTAAATCCGCTTCATTTTATACTCGTCGTCCGATCACGGACTAGAAAGCTCCTCTCTCCTCCGGCCGGCCTTATAGGTAACATTCATTGAAAACAGTTCCGTCCAATTAGAAACCAGACCGGAGCTCACTCTATCATCATATTCGAATCACCCCGCAAGTGTGCAGAATCGAGTATGCTCGTACCCTTGAACCTCTCTCCAAACCAAGGTGTTTGCATGATCAGTCAGCGATATCATAGTGGGATGTTCCCTTATCCAACCAGTGCCAGCTTCCGAGCCTTCCCTACTGACCAGTGGTGTGGTATGGACTTTTTCCTTATCACCGCATTAGCTCAACATTCGAGACCATCTGCGAGTGAGATCGGCTCAAAGGTTGCTTGGAGATCATGAAGATGATAGAGTCATTGAGAAATCTAGTTGATCCCCTCCACCAATGGCCACGCGACTCGTCATAGCATTGGTTGCATCAATGCTCTTCATTGGATGTAAGCTGATAGCTTGTACTCAGGACGCTTTGTCGTTATCGCAGGTATAAAGCTGAGGGTTTAGAAGCATGATCGAAAACAGTCTGAATACAACTTGCTTTCCAACAATTCCTTCCGACCAATTTACCATTACCTACTCCGTACTCTGACCACGAACTATGTCCTCCCCAAGCATTCCAAAGAGCTGCCGCGCCGTCGTGATCGAGAAGGCGAATGCGCCATGGGCCATAAAGGAGGTTCCTATGAGAGAGCCCAAGGAGGGAGAAGTCCTAATTAAAGTTTCTGCATGTGGTGTCTGTCACTCCGACTCTTTCGTGCAAAATGGCAGCTTGTAAGTAATATCCAAAAGGCAGAGTTGTGGTTGTACTTGGACTAAACGACTACCCAAAGCGGCACGTACCCCCGCATCCCCGGACATGAAGTCATTGGGACTGTAGTGGCTATCGGTCCCAACGAAAGGAAATGGAAAGTCGGCGACAAGGTTGGCGGACCATGGCATGGTGGGCATGACGGGCTATGCACTCCTTGCAATAAGGGCCTTTACCAGATGTGCGAAAATGAAGAGATTAATGGTGTAACTCGAGACGGTGGCTGTAAGCATTTTTTTTGTTCGAGGTCGTTTCAAGGCCAATGTTGACAAACAGAACAGATTCGGAATACTGCATTCTCCGCACAGAAGCTACCGTTCGAATTCCAAAAGACGCCGACCCCGCTGAATATGCACCTCTTCTGTGCGCCGGTGTGACTGTTTTCAATGGCATCCGAAAGATGAATATTACCCATGGAGACATTGTAGCTATACAGGGTCTCGGTGGCCTGGGGCATCTTGCCGTGCAATATGCGCGCAAGATGGGCTATCGGACGGTCGCACTGTCAACTAGCAGTTCGAAGAAGGACTTTGCGTTCCAATTAGGTGCGACCGACTATGTGGATACGAGCAAGGAAGACGCTGCGGAAGCGCTTCAGAAGATGGGCGGCGCTTCCTTGATCGTAGTCACGGCGCCAAATCCTAAGATCATGGGTCCTTTGATCAATGGATGCGGGCCTCTGGGTAAGGTGTTGATACTAGCACGTAAGTTCAAGAAATCACTATTTTCCACAAGCACAATGCGTGAGACTGATTATCGCACAGCTGTTGGAGATATACCAGTCAATACGGCAGCGTTGATCCCTAAGGGCATTAGCGTCCATGGATGGCCCAGTGGACATGCGCTGGACTCTGAAGAAGCAATTAAATTCGCCGAACACCAAGGGGTGAAATGCATGATCGAGAAGTTTCCGTTTGACAAGGTGGAAGACGCTGTGAAGCATATGGAGAGTGGCAAGGTCAGATTCCGCAGCGTCATTGTGATGGATTAAATGTCGAGGTTGTAGATGGCCTGGCAATGGGCGGAATGGGGCGTAAAGAAGGTATGAATTATGCCGAGTACAAGGATGGACATGGAAACAAAAGTTTACAGGCCTTGTGTCTATAATAAACAATCGCCGTCGACAGGAGATGTTGCCATCAAGGTGGACGCTCGCTGCACCTGGTAAACCTGCCTGAACGAGGGTTGCCTGGCTTGGGGGCCTGGATGATGGATAACTACCGTCAACGTTGACAACGAAAAGTAAATGAGAATATACTCCGTACTGTGTAATAGCACGGAAAGCAACGATTATTGCTGTGATTAAGATAATGGTGCATGGATTGGTTACTAACTGTTAGATGTGACTACAATTGTCATTGCCTACATTTGTACAAACGGCGACTCCGTATCTAACAAAGTACACAGTATCTTGTAGCTATCTGCTTACTCGTATCCTATAGGTGGTAGGATACTACCTGAGATATAACTTTGCCTCAGCCTGTGTGATTCCAGCTTCGTATAATTAGCTATAGGTGATAGTAGAGGCATCCATAACCAATCATTACAGACAAACGTCCGCATGTATCGGCACGCGCCTCTCTCAATCATGTCTCAGGTACTGTCGAGCCCCCTCCTGGGCGGCTCCTCTGTGCTGAAAGATGGATGGATTAGGGATGGAGGGATGAGGGGAGTGCCTCGAGTGGCTTCAGGTCTCTGTCTCAGGGGATGCCTGTCGCATGTGTAACCAGCATTGCAGCCAATCCGCATACTCGAACGAGCTTCCCCGTGTTTCAAGTCAGCCCTCTCGTGTCTCTCTTGTCCCCAAACCCCAACACATCATCACTCCAAGTATCCAACTATGCTCCTTATGCTCACATCCTCCCTAGAAACTCCCTGGACCACTTGGATTACCTAGAGAAGAACAGGTCTTGCCTATCCTGCCCATCACCGCCCATCACCAGAACATGGCCCACCAACCGCCATGCGTCGCTCTCTTAAACACAACGACCTCCCTGGAGATCCACCTCTTCTCTTGCCCTCTCTATCCTTTCGGAAGAAACGGCTGCCTCTTTGCCGCTCCCGCAACGGCATGAACTACTGAATATCTTCACGAATCTTACGACATCCTCTTCTTCCTTTGGGCACCATCCCTTCCTTCGCATAATCGCTTTGTTAGGGTCTCTCGCGCTGGCCGTGTTTTCTTTTCTTTTCCATTCAAATCCCCCTCCTCTACACCTTCATCTTTTTTATAATCTGGCGTTTGCTCTCCAGTACTTCTCTCCTTGCAGGCCCGGCGCCGTTTGTCCTTTGCATCTCCACTCGGGCTGTCCCCTCCTTGTCTCAGTCACTCATTGCCTTGCAGAACTCGTGCTTGACTGTCTTTCGTTTGTACGCTCGCGAAGGTTGAAGTTCAAAGACCAATTGGTCAAGTTTGCAACCTTCTTATTGCCGGGACCATCATCGGTGCGAGCGATTCCGTTGGCTTTGTGTCGTGCCTGAATCCCGTATTCAAAAGCATAAGCAAGTAGCCGTGAATATTTGGAAGATCCCCCCGGACAGCAAAAGGTTTAAAAAAAAGTATTTGCGAGCCTTATTTCTCGATCCGAAGAGCGGAAACAAACAGCATCATCGACAGCGCAGCAACGGTGTTCGCGTATTGACATTCTATTTGTATTTCGCTGGTGGTTCGACAAAGTCCAGACTCCGAGACTCACAACGACCAAGTCGCATAAATCTCCGAGTCACACCGTCCACGATTTTCCCAGCTTCCCAAACCGCAGCCGTCTCACCACCACGAGTGCATTATCTTCCTACCAAGACAGTGCAAGGCCTGCTGCGTGAACAACGGTTGGTGACGCTCACAAATCACCCATCATCTCCGCAACTGCCCCACTCGCCCAAGGACCTTCCAGCCTCAATTAATCTCCATCTCCCACCAACATGGCCCGCTCTTCAACAACATCCATCTGGCGAACACTCATCATGTCGGCTCTCGTCCCTGTGGGTGTAGCCGTCACCAACAGCCCGGTGTCGCTTTCCAACTTCATCCCCCGCATAGAGAACCTTCCTTCGCAATGCCAGAGCGTATACACAAGGACCATCCAAGGTTGTACGCAAACCGACTTCACCAGCAGCAGCGGCTGCAGCTCTTCCTGTCTCAACGGCTTGGTGACCATCACCCGAGAAGTGAATCGCTCTTGCGCAAACGTGGACGTGCCAGAAACCAGCATCATCGGTGTCTTCCTCCTCGGCCTCGGAATCCCAAGTCTCTGCCCCAACGCAGTTGTCACCACCATCGCAGCTACATCCGCGGCGCCAACCCAGCAACCACCGCCGCCGCAGACGTCAAGTTCAGAAGATGATGGTGACGATGTCACTACAACGACGACATCATCTGCCGCAGCCGTGACCTCAACCTCAAGCGGCATCGCAGTAGACCCCAGCATCCCCACCGACACCACCCTCGCAACCTCCATCGCAACAACCGCAGTCCAATCCGCCAACCCACCCTCAGAAACAGGAAACCAGGATGCACAGTCGTCCCCCGCAACCAGCGCAGCAGCTCCCCAGCAAACAGCCGACACGCAAAAGTCCAACGCCGAGTCCGGAGGCGGCTCGCCGTTCGACGTGGTCGCAGAAGGCGGCGCCGCACCACCCTCCGAGCGCATCGGCAGCAAAGTCGCCCTCAGCTGCATACTCGGCACCGCGCTGTTATTCACCATCTTCCTCTAATCCTCCCGTGCGTGCGTGCGTTGTTGCTTGAGGCATATACACACACTCCACGACTCTTTTTTGCGACTACGGATGCGAGGTAATCCGAGACGTGTACGATTAGTTATTCCCCTTCTGTCGTTGATTTTCTTTCTTTCTTCTTCTTCTGATTCCTATTCTTCTCTTTTGCTTTTTCTTTTTTGTACCATATATACCCCACCGTGCTGGAAGTACAAAGTCATCGAGAATCCAGGATGATTTACCACACAACACGCAAAATGCCGTCTGGACGAGAGAGATGCATGAATGGATGGGTGGATGGATGACTCAGGACACGAGAAAGGAGGACTCCAACAACCCATCTCTCTAGACGAGAGAGGAACGAAGGATACACACACAGAGAGAGGAAGAGAGAGACGGAGTGTGGAAAGCCCCACACAAAGCTTCAGCATGAAGAAATCAGCTGAGGGTCATGCTATGTAATGATACAAACAACAACAACAAAAATGTGTAAACTCAGCTTCACAAGCTCGCTTGGCCTTTGTAACTGGGCAGAGCAGCACACAAGCTTGAAGAAATAGGAAAAAAAAAGAAATACAAATACATAAAATTCAAACAATTCAGACTTCATAGGAAATTGGCAGTTTTCCGAAATGTGAAGACTTGCTCACTTTACTTACTATGTACCGCTTGACTCCGCCTTGACGTCGACAATGCCTATCAAGACAACGCATAGATGGGGCAACGGCGAATAATTGCCCTGCCATCCCAGCACGGAAGCAGTCATCTGTTTTGTTTTATACATACCATGCACACCACGAGGTCTGCAACGAGGTATACCCAGTTAATCTTTCCAGTCTGTCAGCCGCCTCCCCGCCGCCCCGTGAAGGAAGGTAGAACCCCTGATGCCTGGTGGTGATCATCACGTATGTTTGAAGAAAAAGTACGGCCGTGCCCGACGGAAGAACGTCTAGGTGAACAGTTTATATTCTGTAAGGATGGAAGGGTGGGTGGGGTTTGGGTATCTAGGTTAATCGGTGTACTGAACAGTATATATATGAGTGTTTGTTTTAAACTCCAAGCGTGACTTTTTCTTCGTTTCTTTTCTTCTTTTTATCACCAACTGTCGAAGTTTCCGAATCCGCCTGTCCGCGCTTTCTTCTTGACGGGCGGTTCGTCGGCTTCGTCCCATTCGCCGACGATCTCGTCTTCGTTTTGTTGCTGCTGCTGCTTCGCTGCTTGGAGATACTTCCCAACGCCCTGGCCGGCGGATGAATCGTTGTCGACGGTACCGTCTTTGCGTATCCTCTTCCCCGTCCATGTGGTCCTCTCGTCTGCCCTGCCGCCCTGTCTGCGGATCTCCTCTTCTTCTTCCTCTTTGTTCGCCTTGTCTTTGCGCTCCTTCTCCCACTCTTCGAAGGGGTCGACAAACACGACGACGTCCAGGATCTCGAGGTCCTCGACCGGCTTGTCCTTCTCGCCCGTCTCCGCCATCTCCATCGACTTGAGCGTCGTGTCCAATCCGCCGACCACCCGCGCGAAGATGGTATGCTTTCGATCCAGATGCGGCACCTGACGATACGTGATGAAGAACTGCGAAGTATTTGTGTTCTTCCCCTTATTCGCCATGCTCAGCACGCCCCTCTTATCGTGCTTCTCCGGCCCGTCGAACTCGTCGTTGAACGGCTTGCCCCAGATGCTCTGGCCGCCGCGGCCCGTGCCCGTGGGGTCGCCGCCCTGGATCATGAACCCCTTGATGTTGCGGTGGAAGATGGTGTTCCTGTAGTACCCCTTCTGCGCGAGCTTCACGAAGTTCCAGACCGCGCGCGGCGCGAATTCCGGCAGCAGCTCGATGTTCAGGTCGCCCAGGGACGTGGAGATCCGGGCGTACCCCTTGTTCTTGACGCGCTTGGGCTTCAGCATGTAGTCTTCGTCGGAGAGGATGGCCCGCTCGCCTGATGTGTGCGGCGTCACGCCCGTGGATGTGAAGGATGCGGCTGCTTTGCCGGAGGTGTAGACGGCGGCGTTGTAGGCCATTTTGGCGGGAGGTGGCGGCGCTGCTTTCGAGGCAGCGCCGTTCTTCTGAGCAGACGCGCCCGGTTTTGAAACTTGTCCGCCTGCTGCTTTGAGTTGTCGGTCCGCTCGAGCCTTTGCGACGGCCTCTTTGGCCTTCAGAATCTTAGCAGCGTTGCCCAGCGCTTCTACGTTGACGCTGCCTTCATCTCCGGGCACGATGGTCTCGCCGTCCTTGATATGCTTGAACTGCCCGAAGTTCCTCGCCTCGATGTTCTGCGGGTCTTGCAGCGTGATGATGTCTTTCCTGCTGAAGTCCTCGTCCGACACCAGGTCCTTCCAGTTCTTCGACTTGATGTTCAGCCGCTCCACCGTGTCCCACGAGAACACATTGCCCGTGTTCCCCAGCGCGACGATGTGCGTGTTGTCCGTGAACACCTTGTACGTGACCGGGTCGACGTACTCGCCATCCTCGTTCTTCGCGAAGTGCAGCGCGATCAAGTCCGCGCGCTTCAACGGCGAGCCGTCGACCGGGTTGGTGTCCTTGTGCTTCGAGAGCCAGGTGAGGATGTGCGTGAGGTCGAAGATGGTGCCCGTGGATGTGCAGACGGGGTCGGTGAACGGCTGCAGCGACACGGCGCAGTAGTTGAAGGGGAGTCGTCGAAAGGAGCCGCCCGAGTTTTCCGCCCGGCCTGCGTTTGCGCCGCGCGAGGTGCCGAAGGCGTCGCTCGAGGACCACTCCGAGTGCGTGATGTAGAGTTTGTCGGTTCCTTTCCCCATGGCTGCGAGTGCGTGTCTGGAGGAGGGGAAATGTTGTGTTGGTGTACTGTCGATGCGGTGCGGTTTCAAAAAAAGTTGAGGGTTGGGACTGGTGCCAAGCTTATGACGCGCTGCTGGGATGTTCCGATTGAGTCGCGACCATAAGAAAGAAGTCGCTATGTTGCAAACTCGTACTAAGTATGAAGTTTTATTCACAATTACTCGCTAGATATCTATATTCCGGAATCGAAGTGGATGTCCTGTTGTCTAGTTTTGATGAGAAAATGTATCGAACCATGTCCTTTCAAAGGAGCTCCGGATTCATGGTTCACAGTCTCTATTCTGAGTGTTGAATCACAATCCGATCGAACCATGGGTCGGTACCTAAATATCGATCCCCATCTTCCAATAGACCTTAGATAACCTATTATTGGGCATTCAACTATAATCAACAAAGCCTAACGTACAGCGTGATGCAATTGACCGGAAAAGAGCATTTAATCCAAATGCCGAATCGAAGCAAACTACCCAGATGTTGAAAGACAGATAGTATATCACAAAAGTGTTGAACAGAAGGGATGAAAGGTACCTCGATCAAAAGTCACTTGCAGGCGCTCAACAACAGCTTCTTAGTCTAATCAAAGCATCACATATCTTCTATTCTTTAAAGCCTACTGCTTGGTTTTACAGTAAGCTCAAGTCAAGGAAAAAAGTTAAAAGACAAAGTATTATCTAACGTATAACTTCAGGAGAAAAGGCTACAAACAATTATAAAAGGACAGATGAGAATAATAACACGCATCCCTTTCTATTTGATAGAATTCTAGTTTAGCTAGCAACCGCAAGAGAAATAAAAAATAATAATAGAGTGAACTCTTTACTTTCATCTTCATGTTTACTACTTCTGTTCTCTTCATACTTTCCAAGGTTATTAGCATACAAAACAATCTACAACCCAGCTTTTCAAGGTTACTTCCTCCTTGCAAGAAGAGTTACGAGCTTGAGATAGGGAAGATTCAATTAAATAAGTGGACAAGGGGATGGGCTAAAGGACGTCTGGATATGCATGTATGCACTTCACTGGAATTCGTGGTTTGGATTTCGTGGGCAGAACAAGGGGGCAGGACTAACCGAGTAGTAGAGTGGTGGAGGCCAGGAACGGGCAAGTCGTAGCGACGACCATTTACTCGACAACCAAGCCAACGTTCAAGACGACATGATTAAAGGCTGCTGCCAGTCATTAAATTGCACAGACAAGCAAGGAATGGCGTTCATTATTGCCAGTGTAACGTTTTCTTTTATTTCTCGTTCATTTGGAACCTTGGTGGTAGTGAAATTACACTGGCATTCCGAAAAATCTTTCCACCCCCCTTTTGCTGTCCCATGTTTCCCCCTCGGATGCTGAGCATCATGTGAACATCATACATGCTGCAAAAGTCCTTTGTCCTCTACCAAATCACACAGTGAATTTGGCAAGGCCACCAATCACTAAATGGTTCTCATAGACATTCCTTCCTCCCAGTGAGGAGATGGCTGGAAACATTTGTGGGAGCCCCACAGGGCCGTCCAGCAAGTAAAATTACAAACTCCAAGTATGCTGATGATTGATGCACACAGTATGCTGCTTGATGTTCCGGAGCAGCGTGCTCATAAAAAAAACCCACCCAATGCAATGCACGCTTGAACGCACCAAATAAAGACAGGAAAGTTGAAAACAGAAAACAGAATGCCGGACATCAATGTCCGCCGGTCGTGCAATATATGTACAGAAAAGGTATGAATGATCAGCGAGGAGGGGCCATCTGCTGCGGGATGGGCAATTGGTTGTAATGATGTGGCTCATTCCAAGCACCGGCTTCCATGTATGGCAAAGGACCGACTCGTCGCTCAGTCATGGGCCGGCCCAGAGGTTGGTATTGCATCTGGTCGTAGCCAATGTTACGAGCAGGATTGTGCATAGACGTCGTCGGTGGTGGGACGAGGAGGGTGTGTACTCCGCGGACCGGGCGATAGGGCGACTGCCGTTGGCTAAGGAAATACGAAGGAGAGAGCTGTCGTTGGCCAGTAGAGAATGTCGCACTGATAGGAGAGGATCCCGCAGATGGTGGGTAAGGGCTGACCTGGCGAGATCGCTCGTGCGTAGGAGTGGTATTTGGGAAGGGAGGAGCTGCTGCAGACGTCGGCGTGGCCACGGCGGGTTGGGGCCAGAGGGCGGCAGGTGCATACACCATGTTCATGGATCGACTTCCAGGAACTGGGAGCGGGAGCTCTTGCCAGCTGTTTACTGCAGGAGGAGGGTTGTGCTGCGGTGGTGGAATAGCTAGGCTGGGCAGAGGTGGCAAGCGGTTCATTGAGGGTTGAGGCTCGAACGTCTTGTTCAACGGCGTCTGGAGGGTGGGAATCAAAGGAGCCTGGCTGTAGGGTCCAGGGGTAAGGCCATGGGCGAGTCGCTTCGCAGGTGGCTCGACACTGTGGTCGGCACTGCGCTTTCGTTGAATCAGTGGACCCAATTCCGGCAGAGGCCCGATCGGGGAGACCGCACTGGAAGTCGCTTGAGGTTGGAGGAGCGGCGTGTTCGAGAATTGCGAGCGGCAGGGTGAGAACGAAGTGGTTGTTGGGGGTGAGAGCTGATGGGGCGGCGGGGAAGGTACGAAGGCATTCGGGACCTGGAGAGTGGGCGTAGGGGGGCCGACGGGGCTGACGGCACCAGAGGCTGGCACCTTGGAGGCACGATCGTAGAAGGTTCCGAACTTTCCAAGCAACTTGTGCCAATCTTCCCACTCTTTCTTCGAGGTGAACAAGCTGTATCGCATATTACTGAGGAATTCCACCTCCATGATGTGGACCTCCTGAACGGAAATTCCGGAAACCTCGGCCCATGTCTTGTTTGTGTACGTGTTGTCATCCAGGAACTTATTGCCCAACATCAGAGCCACCGTGAGGAGACGGTATTCACTACCAGGCTTGCCCTTAACAGTTGGATTCGTCTGCTTCAACCTATAGATGAAGAGCAGTGCCAAGAGAATGACGTTCGAAGCAACTTGCGTGGTGGTGAGGATGGTGGCTACCCATTTCTTGAAACCCGTCGTAGGGATGGCATCTGGAACGAGGGCTTGGACAGAGAGTCGAGGGGAGCTGTTTTCTACAACGGATTTGAGGGTGGAGGAGTTTTCGAACCAGAAAAGACATGTAATCTACCTTCTGTTAGCATTTAAAAATTTAAACATTCTAGGGGAGCATTTAGAACTCACCTCTGCCGCTAATTGTGGAAGACCTTCCTGCGGTGTGTTGATTGAGTCGGGCACCCTTAGATTTGGCGCAATGGACCACCTCTTTCGCTGCTGGGTACCCATATCTTGAGTCTCCTTGACCGTCCGATTCTGCATCGACCGAGAGGAAGGGCTCCCCTGCGTCGAGGCGACCCTGGAGTTACCGATGGCGGGCAATTGAAAGCCATAATGCTGACCAGCACCCCCACTGGGTGGAAGTGATACCAACCTTACAGCCGAACCAGGTACATCAGTGGGCGGTGTGAGTGGCGGTAGAGGGGCAGATCGTAGAGCATCGAGCTCGTTGCCTGATGTTATTCTTGGGATCGGTAATTGCATCTGGCGTTGGGGATCGAATTTCGAGATGGGATGTGAGGGAGTATAGAGGTCGTAGGGACGCTCCCTGGGGAAGGCATGAGGCATCGGGTTTGGGAGTTGTAATTCGAGCATATGGGCGGCTGGTCGATTACTCCGGGGAGAGTGAGTACTGGAGGAAAGAGCTATGGAGCGTAGCTGCCGAAGTGGGATTGAAGTGATTTATAGAAGGTGGAAATAGCCTCAATGCCTGCGTACGAGCATGAGCAAGAGCAATAGACCGACGAGTCTTATGATGGAAGCAGATTAAGGTTTGTTTGCGTTTTCTATGCTTTGCACATTGCCAGCATGGGCCTTGAGTGGTGGTCCCGGGGAAAGGGTTGCTGCTTGGGCGACGTCAAGCAAGGGAAGGCGTAGGTAATTGTTGATGGTATGCTGTTTGTGAAATCGTCTGTATCCACGACCCAGTGAACAATGCAACCCTAGTTCCGGAGAGCAGGTCCAATGGAAGAGTAGAAAGGTGAAGAGGAGAGGAGAGGCTTCTGTTGGTGAGGAGGACTTTTGATGTTCGATCGAGGGAGGAGGTACGCTTCTACTGAAGTAGTAGAAGAGGAAGGAGCGAAGGATGACGATTATGAGAGGCGTATATCTAGCAAGACCGGGACAAGGCGTGAGAGAGGTTACGGAGATGCTAGGCTAAACCTGGTATATGTAGTCGCGGTGATAATGGTAATGATAGTGGAGTATGAAGGAGAAGAGGGAGAGTGGTAGTAGTCGTAGGAGTATGTGATTGACTTTGGTGGATGGTTGGTCGGTCGGTTGGTCGATTGATTGATTGAGGGTGAAAGGGAGAGAGTGAAAGGATGGTGACAGCGGGTCGAAGATATTTTGAGGTAGGTAGGCGTGGATGGATGAAAGGGTGAAGGGTTTGGGGCGGGTTGGGAATAGATACAATAAAACACAATTCACAACGGAGTCGTGAGTGAATGACTGACTATACCCAGAAGTATGTCTATCCATCGATCCATCCATGATCCATCGAACCAACCAACCAACCAACCAAGTAGCCAGCCAGTCAGTCAGGTCAACCAGCCAACCGGCCGACCAACCAACCATCCATGACGAGTGAAGGAGGCGGCGGCGGCGGCGGAGGAGGAGAAGGAGGAGGCAGAGGGAAACAGAGGATGAGCTTTCGGAAAGGTTCCAGGCGTGACAGGGATGGATGGATGGTGAATACAAAATAGTGTGGATAGGCGATGGTTTGGGCCCTTGGGGGGTGGATGGGTATGGGTGGGAAGGGTGGTAATGGCGGACTAGGGGGGTGTGAGGGGTGTGTGCGTATGTGTGAGAGTGTGAGTGTTAGTATTGTATGAGTGTAAGTGTGAGTGTGAGTGTGAGTGTGAGTGGGTAGGGTACAATAGGGTATCAGCCTAAGGGGGCACTACCTAGGACTGGGACCAGGTTAGGTAGGTTAGGTATTAGTTAGTTAGGGTAAGGAATGAGGGGACGGGGATGATGGGAACGGCAACGACGACGACGACAACGAAAAGCCCCAAAAGAAGGCTGATCCAGAAGTAGAAGCAGCAACGAGCTTCTGACATGAAGAACCCAATAAGCGAGGGAATAGCTACCTAGTGACCTAGTGATGAACAGACCAGACAGCTTCAACTAAAGGTTGCCTGCGTTAGGTACACCACCGCACACCTACAGTGGGAAGTCAAAGCCATGCTCATGCCCATACCCATGCCCGCCCCATGCTATGTTACCTACCTAATGCTATGCCATGCCATGCCATGCCAAATCACAACCACAAAAAAGGCATGCGGCATGTCCCAATCAACCTTGAACTTGATCAGCATCGGCATCAGCAGTACCAGTACTCCGTATAGTTACTGTCCACGGAGTACCTAATACAATAACAGCACAAGTAGTGGCACTGGCAGCATGATCATACGCAAGCACAAGGGCCAGATTCAGAACCAGAACTACCTAAAGCTACTCGTAGAAACCAGCACCAGCACCAGCACCGGTCATCAGCAATCAGCATCATTCAATGTCCACTAACTCTACCTCCGTATCTACGGCGTACTCAGTAGGTACCTAACTATTGTGTGCACTGTGTATACATGGTTCGGAGTATACGTATGTACAGGGGCTGTCCGGGTTGATTATTGGACCGACAGCGAACCGCGCCTGCGCCCGCGTCTGCGCCTGCACTGGCTCTGGCTCTGGCTCTGGCACTGACTTGGTTGGAACTGCGACTTGGATTGTTACTGCCACTGCAACACTGCGACGACGGACGGCGTACGGCGACTGCGATAGCTGGCCGGGATGGGAGGAGGGGGATGCGGTGCACAGGGCAAGACGCAAGTGCGAAAGCAGTAGATACCTAGCCAGTATTACCGGTGATAGCTTAGTGGCAGTGGCAGTGGAGGGACTGGGACTGGGAGTAGCATCAGCCAGCAATAATAATAACACTCGTAACAAGATCCAAGTGCAAACAGGGCAAGGCAAGCAAAGAGTCGTCGTGCAGGAAGGGGGAACAGCGGCGACCGGGAGATGACAGGGATGGTTCTGTTCTGTTCGCGGCATAGACCAAGACTCGTGTGGCCGTGTGGCCTTTGTGTTGTGTCGCATACAAATCATCCACCTAGGTAAGTCTATGTGGCATGCGTAAGAGGTGAGTGGGTTGTCTGTGCGTGCGTGCGTGCGTGCGTGAAGTGACTTGAATGACTGATTGTTTGATTAACTGGATGGCCAAATGGTGAGTGAGTAGTGTGAAAGATTTCTCAGAATAGTCACTGATTAGTAGTCTAATTTAGTTAAACAATAATAATTATTGATAGTGATGGTGATGAAAGAGAGAGAGGGGAATGGAGTCAAAGAACAATGAGTTGGAAGAGAGCAAGTCAGTGAGTCGTCGGTGATTGCGTAGGTAGCTTCAATTACACGGTTTTAGCAGGTTCCAGACTCTGAGCTAAACTCGCATTGGGATAGGTGTCTACTTGATAAGGACTAGACCTACGGCATTCAATCTCATTGTACAGAATTAGGGCTTTGAATTACTCTAGGGAGGGGGCTGCGTAGCCAACACTGCCATCCTCTGCCTACTAGAATGGTTATAGTTATACTCGTAGTTGTGGTTGGCAGTTGGATATTCCGGGCAGTACGATCATTGTCGTAAATGACTGTTCCCTCCGTAAGTAAATGACTAACGTTATTCAATGACACACAGCACCTGGAAGGTTCCGTACGATACAATACGATAGTTACGGAGACCACCGAAAGGGGGCCAGGAAGAATGATTGAAACGAGAGACTGGTCGTTCCCGTTCCGGAATGCCCAAGGATTGAATCCACACTGTAGGTATGTACTCCGTACAGCACAGCACGGCACGGTACAGCCCAGTCTAGCACATTATTGTACGGGTACGGGAAGACAAAGCCTAGTTCTGTGGACTCACCCATTACAAGTAGCTATCAAAGACAATCGTAACGTAAGTAACATCGGATTGGTCCAATCCATCATCCATGCGTGCTTGCGGTCAGGCAGTCAATACCTGAGTCCGTCCGTTGGCAACTAAGGTAATAATGAGTGATTGCCCGTGGGATTGTCGTTATTGGCGTGGGAATCGGCGTCGGTATTGATGCTGGTGCTGGTGCTGGTGCTGGTCTGGTGTATCATCAATCCATCAAACTTCGTGCGAGCAAACAGCAGTCCAAGCAAGCCCACCCATTCCGAATCCAGTCCGTCTCTGTTCCACTCAGCGAATGGGGACTTTGCGTTGTCATGGGGAGACAAAGCAAAGCGGGGCGGGGACAAGGGACGGTGAAGGGGGATGGAACCCCCTCAACACACACACTCACACTCACACTGACACACTGACACACTACCAGGCACTCATTCTGTCTCTCTCACGCACACAAAGACCAGCCCCAGCCCAAAGGGCTAAAGGAAAAAAAGAGGACACCCACCAGTGACCAACCAGCAATAGCAGTAAATGACCAGCAATGACCATGACCATGACCGCGCACGGTCAACCTCCCACTCCATCCTGCACGGCAAAGCGAGCGTACAGGACAAGCGTCGTCGCAGAACGAAAACCGCGGCCAGCGGCATGCATCATTCCTCATCTTTCGTATCCTTCATTCCCATTTTTTCATGATCATTATTATTTGATTGTTTCTTCCCCCTTCATCCGCCGCCGCCGTCGCCCGCCGCCGGGTGGGGGATGGGCTTAGGCTTGCGCTTTGTCATTTGCGGTGCAGTGCCGTGCGTTACGTGCAGTGCAGTGCTGTGCTGCGCTTCGCTGCGCTGCCTTGCCCGCCCGCCCTGCCTGCCTACGTTGCCTGGTCCAAGTGCTGCCGCTTCTTCGTGGATAGGGTTGGCGATGTGGAATGACCTAAGGTGGTAATAGATTGATCGGTACGGGCTGGGTATAATTTAGTGCATCGGTGGTGTTGACGGTTTGATGGCAAACTCCCAACGACGTAATGGTGCGCTTGCCCGTGGATCTTTGAGAGTTGCATTTACCAGTTGCAGCTTGGTATCTCCGTAATAGTGCCATGTAGAATATATGTGCATAAAGAACTTTCAGATTGACCGGTGATTGCGCGGAAACCAATCAAGACAATTGAATATCTGGATACCATGTGTACGGAGTAGGAGAGTGAGATATGGAGATTCAATTCATTTCCTTGGCCCTGTTCCTATCCTGTCCCGCCCTGTTCTGCCCTTGCAAGACTCCAGGCTACTTGTAAGACTTCCTGCAGCTCTGCTTCTCGTCCCTCTTCTCTATCTGCGGCGACTGTTACAAGATCATCTAAGCCAATTTGGCCCCTAGCGCCGTCCTGTCCATCTCATTATTGCCCAGTTCCAAAGCGTACCTACACAGTAGAGAGAGTCCATACGCAGGTTGTGTACCTTATGCGTACATGGTACTCCTATACAGTAAGTTGCAGTATGCCTGCGCGCTGGATGTCACAATATGGACGTTACCCAATCGTGATATATTTTGGTAACAGTGCTTGATCCACTGCTTGCTTGTCTGCCATACCTTGTCCCCGTGTACGGAGTAACAATACCAGGAATAATGACAATAGCCATCATGTTCACGATACCTCCACTCTGACCTCAGGAGGATTACACACCATTACCATATTAGGCAGAGGGTCGGGGTTGAACTCAGCACTGCCAATTGGGCCACGGGTTACAGATCACGACTTGTCGTCTACGGGTTATTCCTAGCACTCCTCTACTCCCTATATGACACCTAATACCGCAAACGATGACAAGTTCACGGTCATCAATAATTAACCCTTCCCCAGCCAGACCAATCCAATCCAATCCAATTCAAGTATACACCCAGCATCCAACACCCAACACTGTAAATCAGCCCCGGTGTCGGTCTTCTGACTCTAAGTTCTCACCAACTGGCTATGCGATACACACACACACAAACGCACGCACGCACAAGCACATTCATCCCTCCCCTCATCGACATCCATCCATCCATCCATCCACACATACGGAGTATGCGTCCCACACAAGATCCCATCCCTATTACACCCATTGATTTCCACCTCACTTTCCACATGCCCACCTCCACACCCATAATCACTACATCCCACTCGCTGGCCCGTCCCAAAGTATACACCACTCCGTCAGCGGTTAGCACCCCCTCGTCCTACCATCATCATCTGCGATTTTCCTGATTATAATTCACGCCTCAATAATGTCGGCGACCGCCAATCTGACCCGCAATAATATTAATGGCAAACGCAAGCTTCAAGTCAAGGCCCCAGCTCCATGATAATGAGAAGGATGACGATGACGCTCCTACTCAAGAGTAGTATAGTATGCGATGATTGCCCGAAGCCTCGAACCGCAAGCCGCTCTCGTAGGTAGGCAGATGGAGCCTGTGGCCACGTAGTGTCGTGTCCTCTCGTGTCATCGTCCTTGTTGCGGTCTCTTTCTCCATCTCCCTTATCCAGCCAGCCCTGCCCTGGCTTGCCTTGCCGTCGCCTCGTTGCGGCGCCGCGTCGTCTAGAATTGCAAAGTACGAGAGAGACCCTCGCAGATCGGGTCGCCCGCCTGTGGGAATTTGACGAATCCCTTAACGAGGCTTTTCGCAGTCTCTCACGCTTTGCCCCCTGTGGTCTCGCTTCGTTGCGCAGCATCACCGTCACCTTTGATTGGCCGGGCTTGATCCAATCAGCCATCGCCCCACAGTGTCTCCTTCCTCTCTTCCTACCCTTCCCTTCCCTTCCCTTGCTCTCATTATCATCATGATTGTTTCTTGGTATTCGAATCCACACTCCGTAGATACGGTGTGGATATTGCTCTTGCAATCATCGATACTACTGTGTTACTGTATCCGTACCTTCCGTACTCCGTTCAGTGACAGTGACAACAAACACTATCAACTCTTGGTGGCCGACCCACCATTCACTAGTCTAGAGTAATTGCACCACATGAAGAATCAACTTCCCCTAGGGACCCATCATCCATCCTCTTGTTTCCATCATCCGGCAACCAATTTACTCGGCGCGAAAATAGATGCTATACCACCACCGGCCTTGCTGCACGGCCAAGGCGGAGCACTTACGTTGATGGGTACTTCTCCATACGACCAAACCTGGACGTCTTTTACGACGGTACGAATGCTGCGCACCTAGGTAATCCCACAGCATCGGCCTTCGCCTGTGCAGTGTACACCGAGAGCTGGCTGTCTGGGGTTGCAACTGGATTTTACTTACACAGTAGACCCGCCCATTCATTATTTTTACCGGACGCAGTATCAAATCACTGTATCCTGGCAGAGTCTCAGCAGCTGTTAGGCGCTGGTTTTAGGCATAGGGATATGTGCACAAGACACAAACCGTCAGAGCTGATGCCAGCGAACCACAGCAACGATGATGCATTCACTCCTGTGCACCTTTGAACCACAGCGCGACAGTCATTCGCCTTGTTGTTGCATCGATAATACTTTTTCGTCGCCTGTAAACCCTCCGGAATGACACCTCCCTTTCTCATTCCGCTTATTCCGCGTTTGGCTATTATGGTTATGGTCGCCGCCATGGTCAAGGTCAAGGTCATGATTATTTTTATTATTGCGCATTGTGTCCACGTACCGTACCGTACCGTGCCGTCGTGCTCTTCAATTCTAAAGACCAGCGACCGCAAATCTGCGGTGCGGCCACCAGTCGTTTGAGAAAAATCGATAGGGACGATGCGCCGCCATGGCTCCAGCAGCAGGCCCTGGGCAATTGTCTTACCATTATCATCCTGACAAGCCCGGCGCTCATCTAAAATCCGGGCCCAAAACGAACCCTGTCCGACGCAAAAATGCTGCGGGCGGGCTGAAGAGGGGTGGGCAAGGCAAGGCAACGCTGATCGTAGGTACGGAGTGGACAGTCCTCTTTTGCTTCTTTGCAACTTGTTCGTTGTGCGAGCGAGGTCCCCAATAAAACTTGTCTCCGCCGCTCGCATCCCTCGGTCACACACCGTTCCACCCTATCATCGGCCTGCCTGCCCCGGCCCTTGGAGCCACACCTAGGGGAGGCCAGATTGTCGTGTGGTTCCAAGTTGAGGCAACCTGCACCGCAGGACCGCCTATTCAGCGCCCCTTGGCCTGGCGAAACACACATCAACAGGGCCATCTCTCCCAATATCTCTACCTGCACTCATCCATCAACCACTTCCTGCACCACCACCCGCTGACCGTTGTTTCCGGTGTCCTGCCTGCGTGGGCGTGTGCCGCTGCTCCTTTCCCCATTACTGTAGCGGTAAGCCCTTTGAACCATGGCGGCGCCCCTGGAGGATGTGCATCGCTGTGACCATTCTGTTTGTCCCTTGTCGACCGGCCTTACGTGCGCAGTCCTCTTCCATCGTTGAATGACCTACCTACTGGACCGGTAATTGCAAACGACGTACGACCTTGCGTGTGCTGGCGTCGGTCGGCCCTTGGCGAATCGCGAAAATCAGAAATGCCTGGAGAAGAGAAAGTTTAACGCCTACAGCAACATCTCGTTAGCTTCGGCTGAGGAGACCGGCTTGCACTAAGCGTGCGCCCTTTCGTCTTTGCATTACAAAGCGCGAACGCAAGGGAATCGTAGCACCCCAGGCAGGTCGAAAAATTCACTTTCGCCTCGGCGTCTCGATTCCGTCTGCAGTTACATATTATTGCTCCACTTGTACCGTGTAAAAAAGTATCTTGCGGCCCGATTGTCATGGGAGTTGCCTCCGTCATATTGTGGAGTTTCTAGGTATATTCATCACGCGTATGGGAGTATGATCAGATATCAAAATCTTGATCACCACGCACGGACCATTTCCAATCCTAGTCCACATGTGACTTTTTCTGGAAGTTCACAGGCGCTATTCTGAGGTAGAGGATGTGATGCGTACAACAAAACTACACGGACTTTGGCATCCCGTGATAACTAATTGCTTTCATTAGTTGTTACTGCAGTCCCATGATGGCACCTTGTTTTGGGATCAAGGAAGCGCCGATTCCGTATTGCTCACACATCGCATCTTATCGTCTCCGTGGCCACCGCGCCGGCATGCATCCGGTATCACAGAGGTGGGCTTGCGACTTGATCGATAACCCCTAAGACGCTAAAAGGCCTGCATCGATATAATAATTCTGGTGCACGATATTTCATTCCGCCTACTACTCAAACTAGATGCCCTTGTGCCTTTGGAAGGCCGAGGTTGCATGCCAATCTGGGACCCAAATCTGGCCTCCCTTTTCGTTCGTTAAAATAGTCGACGTTAGATATCTCTCACATATTTGTTCTGTCAATAGTTAATGGATCGCACGTTCATTGACGGAGTTTTAGCGCGCTATATCCGAGGACTTCCGCCGGAAGACATAGAAAGCTAGGCACGCAAGCGGTTGATGTTGGTGGATTCTAAAAGAGCCTTGGAAACATTCTTTCGAGGATTGTCTCCGGCAACTACCTCACTTGAGGAGAAGATGCCATTCTAGCCGTAACGCTGCAGTCAAGATGATAACAGCTAGAGCGGGCGCCTTTGATGAACGTCAACATTACTATTGCAGCAGACTTGGCGGCATGAGAAAGACAATGTAAGACCTAGACTCAGTGGTCGACTAGATAGAAACGTCCATTATTGGTGTTGGCAGGCTACAGTGGCAACGACTTCTCACACTGTCCTCGACTGCGTCCCAAACGGCAACATAAGCCGGGCAACATATCTTTCCTCGGACTATCATCCCACTCCACATTTCGGGTGACATCTACCAGGGGCCATATTAACTATTTGCTTTATGAATAATGAGTAGTGGGATGCATGATTGAGGAATGTACGGTAGACTATGCCGGCGCAGAAACAGTACATACTAACATCAGCACAACACAGCACACGTCCCGTCGCTCGTATTCTTCTTTCTCGTGCTTCCATCCCGACTCCCGACAGATTGGACATATCTAAATATGCTGTGGAGATGATCATGCTACAGTAGCGTGAATGAGTAAATGGTGGGTGGGGAGGGTGAGAAAAGAAAACAGATTACTACGTGCCGTGATGATGATGACGCTTGATGATGATGGTATCCACGGAGTAGATACTCCATAGATAGTGGGTGTTAATGATGATCAGGTCTACATACAACATTTAGACGGGGACGTATTCCAAGTGTGAAAATGTACGGGGATGTGTGACTGCATCAGGCACTCGAGAATCCTAGTCGCCAGCGAGTCGTGCTCGAGTAGGATTGCGTTGTTGGGCGCGCTGCCCACTCATCCAGTCACCCACTCAATGCCACAGTCCACTGTGCACTGTGATAAACTCCCAAATAACCCACCCTAGTCCCAATATGGAAGCATTATTAGTTCCTTCCCACGGTGAGCCACAGCTGAGACGTAACGCGCCTTGAACTCGCTTCGTCGAACGCGTAAACTTTACCTGCTTTTCCCTTTCTTAGCAAGAAAAAGCCATCGAAAAGAGTCACTAGATCATGCTTGCAATTATCTCACTATCGACAAGCCGTCTGCCCATGGCTGAACTGTCCTTCAACACTTTGCATCGCATCTCACACACACCCTACCCGGCCACCGCAGGCAGGCGGACTTTCTGACTTTTCGTCGAAGGGCCAGGGCTCGGGCTAGATGCTATCCGTCCGGGAGATGCTGATCCCATACATCGCTCGATAGGCAATTGGTTTCTGGCATGAATAGCCGCAAGTGGAGGCAATGATTCACATCAACATTTTTTCAAGGCTATCATACTTCCGGGGAACTCATCTGCAAGTCGTCAACGCCGGTCTTTGGATCCCCTTGTCACATCTGGCCAAAGTCTATGCTGATAGCGTTTGGCCCACGTATACGAAGATTCAAAGAACAAGTCATATGTTGAACAAAGTGGATCATTTATCTACTTACTCGCTGCATCTTCGGGTAAGATGGAGTCTTTGCGATCTCTTCCTTGATCAATAATGAAGTAGGGATTCATGTCTCCCGTAGTAGGTACGAGTAGGTGCACCACATACAGAACCACCTGAACGCCGCATAATTGGGCCGAAGGAGCTGCGAGCCCCCCAGGTCAGGTTGCTCGGCATACAACTCGCCAATGAGAACCTGTCGATGCATCTTTTGGGCAACGTCTGAGATGCTTCAGGGCCGCAGTGCGCGTGGGAGAGATAGAATAACCATAGCAAACTCGACCGTCTCAACCAGTCCAGGGCCCCGGCCCTCGTCTTGAGAGATACTGCTCCGTTCCGTGGCGAGCAAGATGCAAAAGTCGGGCCTTCGTCTCTTTCAACAGCGCGCGCGGCAAACATCAGATGCTGGGATTGCACTTTAGCCTCGTTGGGGGTTGGTTTTTTTTTGTTCCCTAGATCCCATCCATCGTCCCATAATTGGGTTTCCCCCGCTTTCGCTGCAAAAAGTAGGTAAGACGGAATCTCGACGAATCAGCAATTGGCTCTTTATTTCCTCTAACAGATCCCGACTCCAAGGCAGGCCAAACGCCGGTTTCATGGATCTAGGTATCATTTCGTGTGTCTTGTTGCCCCGGTACCCTGACGGGATGAGAGGTTCTCGTATCGCCATTGTGTCATTACCTTTTGGATGCAGCCACACTGGGCACACAACTGCGCTTGTGCATCTGACTGTGGTGGTATGTATGAAATTGGATTTGGGGCATGTTCGATTAGCCGACCAACACCGCAACGATTTTTAGAGACCTCTCCGTTGTCTTTTATGGCTCGCACGAGTCTTGATAGGTGGGCCACCAGCGCTGCAGCCGAAACATCGTCAGCTTGTCGTCCGCATCCAACCAGCTGCCGGCTCCGCTGATGCACAGCTGACCTAATGCAGGAAGTGGTTTGTAGCCTGTATCCCGGTGATGATGGCCTTGTCACGGAGAATGACCTGGCCTGTTCCACCGGGAAGGCTTCCCAAAGACAGTGGCGTCACGCGTTCTGGCGTTATGTGCGTACCATGCTGTAATGTACTCATACATCGAACTGCACTGCACCTGTTGCGTGAGTATTTGTGTACATGACCGGCGTTTGATATACATCCATCGACCAGGCATATCGGTCTGCGAGTGTCGGTGAAGGGCTGCCTCAAACCTCTCGCGACATGGATGCTGCGTTCGATGATGATTGTGCAGGAGACACATCGATCCACCACTGACTAGGTAGGTGTAATTGGATCTTCTCTTCGATCCCAGTAGATATTGAACATTTGCCATACCGAACTATCGAGGGCAGGCCATGCTATCGAGACGGAACCCATACGCGGAACCCGCTGGCGAGACACAAAACCTCTCGAGATCTACGCCTTACCCAAGCCCTTTCCCACAATTATAGCACCATGTAATATAGATGACTTGGGGGTATTAAGTGAGTGGTGGTTTCGGGCACAAGTTTCGAACCAGCGGGACTGTCTTTGCCTGACGAGTGACGACGACAATCCTCGCCGCAAATAATCAATCAAGCTGAATCTTCATGCAAGGTGTTACGACGACGACGCAAGCAGCAGGACAGGCAGGCAGGGCAGACAAATACATCAGACCTGTTCCGTGAGGAGTTAGCTGATCACAGCAGCAGTAGCAGCTGTAGCAGCATCGTCAGTCACCCAACAATAATAACAAATGCTGAGACCAACCCGGTAAACTACACACACCACTCAGCACAACACAGCTCCGCCACTCGCGCTTCATTATCATAATCCAACCCATAGATAGAATCCCCCATTTCGACTCGTCGTCGTCCCCCGTCCCCTCTTCTCATTGGCCCGTGTTCATCAATCGCCATCCAGCTCGTCGTCACCCAGCCCCTTACCCACAGCTTAGGTAGTTACAACATACAACATGATTACAATACAACACCTGCCTGCAATAATGCTCTGCCTCCTCCCTCCCATCCCATCCCATCCCGGGGAACCTTCCTTTCCCCAGCATTACGGAGGAGGCGGGTGGAGTTATCACACGTTTCTCGTTCAGATCCACCCATCCAACGCTGTAGTCATCATTTGCCAATCCGCTCGGGATTCTTCTCGCCCGGTGAGTGGTGTCGATGGAAGATATTCTTCATGCCATGCGCTTTCTAAGATGGTGAGGCGTAATGCTTTCCTTTCCGCTCCGGCGATAGGCAGGTAGGCAGGTAGGCAGGCGTGCTGTGGTGTCACGGTGAGACAAGGTCGTGTTGAAAGAAGTCAACATCACCATACCCATTGATCACCAACATCCCAAAAAGAAAAAGATTTCATGCCCTACCAGATAGGCGTCCCTTGCTCTACGCATCAGGGATGACTGAATGAATGAACCATGACGTCTTGATATCGACCTCGTCGCGTTTTGATTCTTCTTTCCTCGAAAGTCGAGTGCCGAAGGTATAATACTAGAATTTATGACCAATCCGCGAAAGAGGAGAAAAGGGCAAAGGGTATACGTAGTTAACCAAGCTCTCCCTAAGACGGATTTATGTATAATCATTGCATAGGTTATGTATCAAACCAGTCAAGTCAAGTCGAGTGTAGTGATTCTTTTACCTCTAAGACGTTTTTGATATCATGTCTGTTGTCGTGTAGGAAGTAATACTTGTGATTGATTGATCTATGTGCAATGCCTAACATAGACATATTAAGGTATCTTAAGAGGAGTAGAGACTTGACGCTTATGTTGCGCTGGATTTGTCCTAGGAGGAAGTAGTTGATGATGCTCTTGGTGTCCTAGGTTATGTGTTTGCTTATGGTGGTGAACATGACAGTGAGCCATCATTAATAGTAAACACGATAATAGTGAAGATGAAGACGGTTCACTAATTGCAAAGATAGTTCACCAAATGTTAAGTTGGTGATGGTGAAGCTAGATGGTGAAGCTGACAGTTCACTGAAGGTGAAGATCATGGTTCTCTGAAAGTACAGATAATGGTTCACTTTCAGTGAAAGTAAGGATAATGAAAGTAAGGATAATGTTTCACGGAAGGTGAAGATGTAGTTCACTAAAGATGAAGGTGAAGATGAAGATGAAGATGAAGATGAAGATGAAGATAAATGTAAACTAATACCTCTCTGCTATTAACATATCTAAACTTTCTATCTGCTCTACTAGTTATTTCTCTGCGCAGATAAGTGCCTATAGGCCTAGTGTTGCTCCCTTCTGCAGCAATAGTGATGTAATGAGTCACCTTTCCTACGTAGTGAAAATCACAAACATACAAAGGGGTAGGGAGAGGGTAAAATAGGATATGCTGTGTGTATGTGTGCAGTGGGGGGCTATAGGCTGTAGGAGAGGTAGTGGTCATAACGAATGCCATCTTCGTTGTTTACGTAGGAAGGGTGTCAAAGATAGCCAGATTGATAATATTGATGTGGATACAGTCTGTCTGATAGTCATAGCGGCCGTTTTAGATTGTGAGAGGATATCAGTTATTCCACAGGGAAAAGGAATTGCTCGCACACATAGTGGTTTGGAAATGTTCGTTCATGTTACAGAATCTACATACATACGTGCTACTATATTGTACATGGCATGTACCAGGCCGCTCATATCCTACACGCCGTGCGAAGAGAACATACACAACACGCCAGACACTTTTAGAAAAGCCTGTTCTCCGCGCTTGCCTTAGCAGCTTGTCTCTTAGCGGCCTGCTTCTTCCTGTCCTTGGCCTCGCCCGGTGGCTTGAAGAACAAACTGGGACTCTCGCCCTCCTTGACGGTGTACGCCAGGTAGCCCCTGTGTGCGGGATCTCTGTAGTATTCGATGTCTTTTCTCGATGTCGCATCCGGGAGTCTGTACTTGTACTTCTCGCCTACCTTGGAGAATACGGCTCGGAGGGCCTCGTTCTTAACTTCCTCGGGCGCATCGGGTGTGTCGAGCACGCTTCTGAGGATCTTGGAGTCCTTGGCTGGAACAGCGCGGGTGACGAGGTCGGCGTCCGCTTGTAGAGAGACAACGGGGTGAGAGTCGCCGCGGAGGACCCTCTTGATAGACATGGGTGAATAGAATCGTGAGGTGACTGTTCCGCCGAGGGCCTCGATCTGCTCGATTGCAGAAGCAGATGCCCGCGAGACGATGATGTTGATTTTAGATGTGAGCTGGTTGGCGTTCTGGGTATGTATGTCAGTCGATTGTTGCAAGTGGGGCGGAAACAGTAAATGTGACCAAACGTACCCTGCCTAATAGCTTCACGCCGTGCTTCTTGACGCCGTGTAGACACCGTGACTTTGCCAATTCCTTCATTGTGATAGGTTTGCTTGCATCGAGGCGGCCTTGGTCTATCCAGGATTGTATACGATCGAGGTTGATAGGTGACATTTCAACTTTGAATCTGTGGAGAGTTGCTGCTTAGCCAATTGTTCACGAAATGTGATGTTATACCCATAGAGTGTCCGCACAAAAATCTCGGAATTCCAGGCCAATTCATTGATACCATTAATATCAGAAGTGGAATGCACTCACGCATTAAATTTATCACGCCCTCTCACGGGTGTAGTTTTCCAAAGCGGCGTCTGTCCTCCCTCAAAACCAGCAGGAACTTTTCCGTGCGCATGTTGACCCTTCTGACCTCTTCCCGCAGTCTTTCCCTTTCCGGAGGCTGGACCGCGACCTCTTCGAATCTTCTTCTTGTATGCACCTGGGGTATCTGAGAGCGAGGATAGAATGGATGCGTAGCGCTGCTGGGTCGGAAGGAGGAATGGCGCTACCAATGGCGTGGTAGAGTGGACATTTGTTCTATGGAGTAGCGACGAGGCCAACCGGAGGACCTGGAGCCGGGGCGGCATGATTGTGTGTATAGAGCTATAACGTTGAAGTCGTGATACTGAGATGCAAGAAAATGTGGTTAGGTAAGCATATGAAGCTATCCCCCATTTGGAACCGACCTTCTTTATACCCACGATGTAGATTGCCAAACATACCCAGGTAACGACATCGTCTTGCTGTTCGATTTTATTCTTTTTACCTCTGCGGAGTGATGCATCGCTATCAATTCAAACATGTAGTCGATTCTTTAAAAGGCTGAGTTATCATGCTGGTCAAGATATTGAGCGTGCCACCCAAACAATCGTGCAACGAGCTCGCTTGAGCCTAGGAATGGAACATCTGTAAGGCTTGTTGGCTTCTTCAGAGTCTACACTATGCCATAGTAAATATAACTGCTTTCTTGTGTAGTAGGCTATTGAATCATCTGTTACACCCATTCACATTACCCCGGGTACAGGATGAGCTCTATGGATTCAGTCCAAATTATTTTAACCACGAAACCAAAGATGTGAAGAACATACGAGTACGGAGTACTGTACCAAAGACTAGGAACTACACAGAGCCGCGCGCAGACTAGTACATATGTATTGACATTGTCAAGTCGTTCGATAATCTAAGAACTGTGAATGCATTCTTGCTCGCGCATTGGGCAGCTACCGAAAGGGTTCAGATGAATGCGACCAATCTAGACAATATCTGGAACTGATGAAAACACGAGAGACAATGTTCCTGATGCCCCTGATGATGAAGCAATAGTTCACCAACCTTGACGCTTCAAGTTTCAAGGCTGATTAGCGCAGGCGGAAATAGGACAGGCAAGTTGAGAGAACATTCATAATCAGAGTTCCTGTCAGATTACCCAGTTATGTGACAGCATCATGGCAGGCCTTGGCCTCATCCGGATTAGCGAGACCCATATGCGGATGCGCCGGCTTACACATCCAGGTTCCAAGATCAATATATACCGCTCGTCGAGCACTCTTCTGCTTCAAACAATATTCAAATGTCTTTTGAAGAGGAAGAAGGCGAAGATTTGAGGCGTCGTGGCGGCTCCCGCTATTCTGGGGAGGATACTAGCCTAACGACACCTCGAGAGCTTAATGGCTGGTATTCGTACGCCATTGCAGCTGAGGTCTTCGCTGTTGTTGGAGTTGGTAAGCTAGACGGCTATGGATTTACTATGACAGAATACTGATCATCTTGAAAGGATCGTTTCTTCCAGTGACTCTAGAACAGCTTGCTCGCGGTCAAGGTTTCTTCTTCTCGGATAGGACCAAACCATGTGTTGCTCCATACCAATCCGGTTCAGCCGAAAACCCAAGCACGATTCGGATTCGCGCCGATGGACAAGAAGATCAATGTGTGGTCCGTTTCCTAGGTTCTGAAGTTACGACAGCATCGTTTGCAATGTATACTTTTTCAGCGGCAGTGTTAATGCAAGCCATTACTCTTGTCTGTTTTTCATCGTTTGCAGATCATGGTTCGTTATCAGCTTCAGCTGGAGATAGTACCAGACTGACCACCTTTTAGGACCATATCGCAAGAAGATGTTGATGGCATTTGCATATATTGGCTCTATTGCTAGCGCTCTCTTTATATTCATATCACCAGGCGTCTATTTCTTAGCTCCAATCCTCGTCATTATCGGAGTAACCTGCCTTGGGTGCTCATTCACTCTTCTTAACGCCTTTCTTCCACTCTTGGTGTCGAATCATCACGAAACATCCAGACCCATGGACGAATCTTCCACAGATGTCGAACTCGAAGGCCTCACTTCCGGCTCTACTACATTCCACCGTTCAGATCCTACGAAACTATCTCGCGATCTTGCTCTTTCCGCCAAACTATCTTCGAAAGGTGTTGGTCTAGGCTACGTAGCTGCAGTATGCGTCCAAATCGTCGGCATCTTGATCCTCTTCCTATTCTCGAAAACCACGATCGCAAAAGCGAATCCCAGTCTACCTATGCGAGTCATCCTTTTGATGGTCGGTATTTGGTGGGCAGTTTTCACCATCCCAACCTACAAATGGCTTCGAGCCCGACCGGGCCCCCCTCTACCCACGCAGTCCAGCTTCCAGCGTTCTTCCAAGTTCCGCACCTTTCTGTTCTATACCAAGTTCTCGTTTTCGTCGTTTTGGAATACGATCAAGCGCGCTCTTCAGCTTCGTCAAGCCGTCATCTTCCTCATAGCTTGGTTCCTATTATCTGACGCAATAGCCACCATCTCCGGAACGGCAGTGTTGTTCGCCCGCACAGAGCTGAAAATGGGAACCATTGCCATAGCCCTTCTTTCCATCACATCGATCTCGTTCGGTATTGTAGGCGCTTTTGCCTGGCCGCGTGTCGCTTCTCGGTACAGCCTCACTTCCAAGCAGGTCTTGCTGGGTTGTGTGATACTGATGGAGATTGTCCCGCTCTACGGTCTCTTGGGATATGTACCCTTCATCCGTAAACTTGGGTTTCTGGGGCTGCAGAAAGCCTGGGAAATATATCCCCTTGGCATCGTACATGGTCTCATCATGGGTGGCATATCCTCTTATGCGAGATCAGTGTATGCTCCGCTGATCCCGGAAGGCAGCGAGGCCGCTTTCTTTGCATTGTATGCTGTTACGGACAAGGGTAGCAGTGCGGTAGGTCCAGCGCTGGTCGGCTGGATCGTCGATCGTGCGGGCACCATTAGACCGGCGTTCATATTTCTGGCAATCCTCGTGTTGCTGCCGGGACCTTTGCTGTACTGGCTGGACATTGAGCGAGGCCGAGAAGATGCTGCGAGGATGGCAGGCAAGGGAAAAGATCAGTACGAGCCAGTGCGGTTCGACAGTTTCGAGATTGATGATGATTTAGAGAATTAGAGCTAAGGGCACTAAGGAAGATTATTGTTTGTATGAACTGAATGATATTTACAATGCCCCCCAATCAACATCAAAACCCTCAACACGTCCCCCAATGCTCATCCCAAACACAGACCCACAACCAATGCCAACCACGCTCCTATCTCAATATCGAGCGCCACCCAGTCATCCCCGTCATTATCATCTCCCTTTCACCTCAGTCCATAACTACTACTAAGGCCAGGGCACCGCTCAAATTCACAGTAGCCTCTGCCAGAAGACAGCAGCAGACAGTAAGTTGAACGCCCGTTCTATCACGTTCATACGAGGCTGCAACTCGCATATGTCCGGGAACGTAAGGGGGGAGTGGGAGGACGATGACTTTTGAATGGGATGGGTGGTTGGTTGTGGTCACTTTTTTATGTGCCTATGGAAAATGGGTTGTATGAATCGAATCTTGTGTTAATGCTCTGTTCACTGTGGAGTGTCATATATATGCGAGAACGATAATAGTAGTAACATGAGTATGTTTGACTCTGGTTTTATCTTCCCTTTCTTTAAATTCTAGTGATGGCGGTAGCTATGTGACGAATATACCTCGTACCACCGTCCAACATCCACATTCACACATACAAAAACAACCAAAACCACACCGAAACCTTCATAGACATTACCAACCCCAACCCACAAGTACACAACGTCAGACACCGATTAGTATTCAACCCTTCTTGGCAGCTGAATAACGCCCGTAAGATCCTACAGGATCGACCGACTACGTAAGTAGACCCCTCCGCCCCGCTAAGGTCTTGGAGAACCGCATATGTGAAATAAAACGTCGTTCCACAACTTCTAGTATTTGATGGGGTTTCCCGTTTTTGATGGGGCGATGATGGAGATTATGTGAAAGGAGGGAGTGATGGAATTACAAAGCAGCTTCATTTGCGAGGCTAGGGGCCTTTTGGTGAGGGCGGGTTGCCTTGCTGGTGGAATGGACGAGGTCGTGATATAAAATGGGAGCTTGGGGATGTTGGGGAATGGAATCAGCACAGCAAACAACCGTTCTATCCCCTGATTTCAGATCTAGAGAAAGTCGCAAATATCAAAGTTTGACTTTAAAAAAAACCGTTGTCCATTTCGGAGAGTCCTTAGTTTTATACATCACTAAAAGTCATTGAGATTTAGACCCGTCTTCGACTAGAAGATAATGTCACATCTCCAGTACTTCGACTACAAAGGTTTCGGCGAGCGAGTGAGGAAAGACACACACTACAGCCAAGCCGTACGAATCGGCGACCGAATCGAGATCTCAGGCCAAGGTTTGCCATCCTTCCCCTCTATCCACCCACCTTTGCTAACACCCACCCTCCAGGTGGGTGGGACAGAATCACAGAAGAAATCCCTACGGACATCGACAAGCAAGTCGACCAGGCCTTTGCTAACGTCGAGCATGCATTGCAGCAGGCTGGCGGTAAAGGGTGGGAGCAGGTGTTCAAGGTCCGCGGGTACTTTGCAGGCGAGAATTGGGAACAGGCAATGGGGGCTGCGGTGAGGAATCTGAGGGCGTATTGTCCTAATCATCAGCCTTTGTTGACGGGGATTGTGGTCGCAGGGCTGTATAATAATATGGCTCTTGAAATCGAGGTTGAGGCTCATCTGGGATAGGAGATGTATGACGATGGGTTTTGAGATAGGAGGGAAGTATGGTTGGTTACCGTAAAGTCTGTATTAATGATGTGGTTAATATCTAGACCTAACTCATAGCAATGGTATATCCCGTAAGGTATAAACATTCCAACTGTTTCTCTCATCTGTTCAGATGTACTACCATTGGAGGCATATGGTCTTTTGCTTCTTCAACTAACTGATGATACACTTTCCTCATACATCGCATACCCGTGAACATTGTGTTATGTACGTATATGCATCGACACGAGGTTTGTACCAATGAGGATTGGAATGTGTTTTGTCGAGTAAAGGTTCAGAAGACCTCACAAGACCGTCGCTATATATCTACTTATCTCCTGGAGCTTTGATAGTCTGTAGAGAGAACATTCGAAAGGACCAATCTAATATCTGGCGCATGTGGAGCAAACCTGGCCAGGATCGACATTGCACTTTCTAGACAGTGCTGTATTGGTCGCAGAGCTTTGAGCTAACGCAGGTACACATCCGGGAAGAAGCTTGAGCTTCTGGGTTTCCAGTGGAGGGTCAGCACTGCATGTTGCATTATACATGTGAGCCATATCTCTATGAACGTGTCCCTGAGCTGGTACTATGTTCATCTGCCCTAATTGGACTAATCTGGCAGGCATAGACAGGAATGTACAGCTGTTAAGCGTCCGATGTCTGGATAGCTTTTCATTCCTATCGATAGATCATAATTTGATTTTTCTTTAGAGAAATGCGCCGGGTTGATTTAATTAGCAATCTCAAGAGGGACAGTGCAATGTCGGTCATTGGAAAACCTGCTAGAAGAGTAAAGTAAATTAGTCCTCGACGATCAATTCTCCGCCAAGTGTTTAGAAACATTGTCAGCACATGGTTGAAGTGGGATACGAGCAAAAGGTCGCCCAGTCGGATGATGACGCAACGTCTATTGGTAGAGCAGAGGGACCTAAGAAGATTTAAGATGCGTCGATTGTCAAGCTCCTCGTGGTGTTCCGGAGTAGCTCCATGCTACAGCACTGACAGCACAGAACAAACCGTGCCACATTGTTGTAGCTAACCTACCGTTGACTACTCGTTAGGTGGTGGTCCCTCGGCAGGCCGTATCATGATATCTGCCATGGTTGGAGGTCGCATTGTGGCCATTCACAGCGCAGAGTTGTGTCAACGTGCGCAAGTAGAGCCCTTGGCTGGTTGGCAGGCTAGCCCCTTTCACGCTTAGAAGCCGAACTCCAGTTCCCGATGGAGTGCGCGATATCAATCATCCTGACTTCCTTTGCATCATGGCCAGCCTCCAAAGCCTCCAACGTCGTCTATCCCAGCCCTGATTACTCCACGTGCACCAAGCAATGGAGCTACAATCGAATCGTCGCGGCAAGGCCTCTGCCCACACGGTGCCTAGCCGGCATTGGCAATGAGCTTCTCATCCTTGTTCGAACATACAGACCTTTCCTGCAGCGCACTACTACTGTGAGCTTCCCAGAGATAAAAGACCTCCCAATGCCCTGGTATCTGGGATCTTCACGCTGCAGAGTCAATTCCTCTTCTCACCCCCATCCTCATCCTCTTTAAGCCGTTGGGTACGACCAGACAATCGCTCAAGATGCACTCTCTCTTCACCTCAGGTCTGCTTATCGCAGCGGCCTCTGCTGCTGTCGTCCCCAAGTCCACCGGCTACCCTACCCCCGGCAAAGGACACCACGGGAGGAACATCAATGTCCAGGTTGGCTCTCGACCAGAGTGGTTGGTCCACAACATGGATGAGGGTGAATTGAAAGAGAAGCTCCTCTCCTGCTCGGAGGGTCCCTTCACGACTTCCGACTTCACATTCTCTCACCGTGGTGCTCCTCTCCAATTCCCCGAGCACACCATTGAGGGATACCGTGCTGCCAGGCGTGAAGGTGCTGGTGTTGTCGAGTGTGATGTTGCTTTCACCAGTGACAAGCAGCTTGTCTGCCGTCACTCGCATTGCGATCTTCACACTACCACCGACATCCTTCTGCACCCAGAACTCGCAGCCAAGTGCACCACTCCCTTCGAGCCCGCCTCCAATGGCACGGCTGCCAAGGCGAAATGCTGCACTTCCGACATCACTGTCAAGGAGTTCAAGACTCTTTGCGCAAAGATGGACGGTTTCAACCCCAATGGCACCACCATTGCGGAGTACATGGACGGAACTCCCCCATTCCGTACCGATTTGTACAGCGACAGCGTCTGCGGCACGCTCGCCACTCACGACGAGTTCCTCGAGCTCATTGATGGCTGGGGTCTTAAGTTCACATCCGAGCTGAAGACTCCCGAGGTCAAAATGCCCTTCAATAACTACACCCAGGCGCAATTCGCCCAGGACCTGGTCAACGAGTACAAGGCGAGGAATATCGACCCTAAGCGCGTCTTCCTCCAGTCTTTCCTCCCTGACGACATCTTCTACTGGATTGACAACGAGCCCGCCTTCGGCGAACAGGCTCTCTACCTCGACGAGCGTGTCGATACCCCCGAGGGCTACGTCAACGCCACTGGCTCCATGGACGAGCTCGTCAAGCGCGGTGTCAAGATCCTCGCGCCCCCGATCTTCGCTCTCGTTTCTCTTACCGAGGACAACTCCACCGTCATCCCCTCCGACTATGCCCTTGCTGCTAAGAAGGCCGGCCTCGAGATCACCTCCTGGAGTTTCGAGCGCTCTGGTTTCCTTAACAAGGGCGGCGACTACTACTACCAATCCGTCGCGCCTGCCATCAACAACGACGGTGACATGTACACCGTTCTTGATGTCCTTGTCCAGCAGGTCGGCATCAAGGCCATGTTCTCTGACTGGCCTGCGTCCGTCACCTACTACGCCAGCTGCTTCGGTTTGTAAATAAGAGAAGAGAAAAGAAGAGAAGCCATGTGTTGTATCGTATAGAAACTCGACATAGGCGATGTATATAGAGCTCATGCATGGGCGTGGACGTAATGTCTATTGATGTCAATACGCGGTTCATGCCGTGTCCCGTTGATGACAGTATGAAATGAACAAAATGAATTAATTGAATACAACGATATGAAGATTCTCAGAACTTGCAATGAACGTGTTATTTGAACGTCTGGTATGCGCTGTGGTGATCGAACTTCTTGTATCAACTATATCCTTGGCCGGCCGTGTGCTGTCTTGTAATGTAAATATGAGTATCGATCGATTCCTGAATAAACCTTTGCCAAAATTCCCAGCAGTATCGTAAATTAATTGTTATTCAGTTCAGGACTGCATAATTTTGTTTCTCGAGGAAAGAGGCCATGAACATCATGACAATAATGGAAAGAAGTTCCACGTCCCTGTGATTGGCCAGGCAAACGGACCAATGGCTTGTGCGCTAATCTGAATAACGGTGTGTTGGTCAGGGACGACGACCAGCAGGACTGGCGATATACTGGGATACTATCCACGATAACTTATCGCAACGATATTCGCTAGATTAATTCTGATTTGTTATCGGTGGGTTGATGAGTATGGTCATGTTTGTTGACGAATCGTGTTTCCCTTCATCGGGTTTGGTGAAGTGTGTGAATTGGGGTTCTGATCATGTACATTTGAGGTGCATTGTCTGGCTTTTCTGACCATTGAGTTGAAATTTGATAGAGAGCTTGAAGCCCAAGCAAGTGATGCTCGAGAAGATAGCGATACGATCGTCTTCATGGCGAACGTCCTCTCGTGGTGACCACATTGTCTCAGTCTTGGCGAGGATGGCGACGACGATATATACGGACCCATCTTTTGCTGAGGGGTACGATGCCGACTGTTCGGGCATTGAAGGAATTAATCGGTTGATGGGTCATGCGTCCAGCAGGGTGAAATTACCATTACGTACTTTATCTGGAGTTGGTTTATCTTTTGGAGGGTGAGGCCGGAATTAAAGAGCGTTTTGAAGAACTAAATGGCCGGAACGCGTTCCGGCCACTGAATATAAGCAGAACTCGAGTGGACTGCAATGATCTTCTCTTCCCTACACAACGACAGTTGAATGATCGAGCTCTCATTGGCCACAGTCAATTATTTCGATAACTCTTTTTGAACTACCACCTTTCTTTCATCTTATTGGCTTTTTTGGTCACGATGTCTGCTTCCGGCTTCGACTTCCCCGTCATGACGGACACTCGTCCTGATGACCATTCCCTCCCAGCCTTCATGGTGTCGACCACAAGAGGCTTCCTGCCTCGCCAGGAGCCTGTCGTCAAGCTACCACCAGAGTTCGATGCCCTCGAGTCTCTCCTAAACAGAATGCCTGTCAAGACTCTGTCGGGAGAGCCAGGCTTGTTGGCCAATTTTACGTTTGGCGATACCGTCTTGAAGGAGTTGCCAGACCTCAGTGCTGAGGTAGAAAAGTATCGTAATGATCTTGTTGTGATGAACGCTCTCTATCGTGACTACTCCTTCGTTGCTTCGGCATACCTCCTCGAGCCATGCCATGAAAGATTCTTGAAGGATGAACCGTACGGGCTGGGCCGTCAGACTTTGCCTCGGTGTATCTCCTTGCCCATTGTCAAGGTTGCAGAGATGTAAGTACTTCACCTAACAAGGTATCAGCTTTTGCTAAATACATTTCAAACATCAGTGCTGGGTTCAAACCCTTTATGGAGTATGCAGGTTCATATGCCCTGTTCAACTATCGCTTCGAGGATCCTGAGAAGGGCCTTGACTATGACAACCTTCGCCTGGTGCGTGCATTTGAACACGGATTGGATCCATCTTCTTCAGAGGCTGGATTCGTTCTAGTGCACATTGCCATGGTTAAGGAGTCTGGTGCCTTGATCAAGGGTGTTGTCGAGATGCTAGAAGGAAGTACGGCGCGTGACCGGGAGCAATTCAATGATGGATTGCGCACGCTGGTGGACGGCCTAAGGAAGGTCAATGCCGTCATGAACAGTGAGTCCCCTTGCAGGCACAAAATAGATCCTGGTTGACATTAGTAGCAATGTGGAATCGTAGCAAGCCGCAGAGCTACACTACATTTCGTACGTTCATCTTTGGCATCACCTCACAGTCAATGTTCCCAAATGGTGTAATCTACGAGGGCGTGAGTGAGGAGCCAATGTCGTTCCGTGGGGAGTCTGGAGCGAACGACAGCATGGTATGAGTCCGACATGAATGCGACGGCATCAACCACTGACATGGCATAGATCCCATTATGCGACAATCTCCTTCAGATTAAGATGCCCGAGACTCCGCTTACGGATATTCTCAAGGACTTCCGTCAATACCGACCAGGAAACCATCGTGAATTCCTCGAGGCGGTTCGGGATCATGCTATCGAGACAGGTGTAAAGGATTATGCCCTGCAAGACTCGGTCTCAGCCGCATTGTATCTCCAGGCATTGGATCAAGTTCGTGATTTCCGATGGCGACATTGGTGTTTCACGCGGGAATACATCCTGAAGCGAACGGCACATCCTACAGCTACTGGTGGAAGTCCTATCGTGACAGTAAGTACTCAGAAATGAGCTTGTTCTATCATTTATGCTGACAGCAATAGTGGCTTCCAAATCAGCTTCAGGCTGTTATGGCTCAAATGGTTGACACATCGGCGTATTGCCAGTCAATCAACGGAGTGAGTGATATCATGGACAACGTAAACCTTCAACAAGAGACTTTGAGGAAGGAAATCGCCAAATACTGCAGTGAGCGTGGCGTTGCGGCTTCATGATGAATGAGAGCATGATGAATGGGAGACCGAATTGGGGACCCGAATAGTCATCGTCCGATAGATCACGCCCGGCAGTAATGATTGTAAACACCTGCATCTTCGTTGACAGCGCCCTTCATTTGACCGCCCTTTCTTGTGAACTATGATTGTTCTAATCCAAATACGGAATATTACCAGTGGTGCCTGCGTTGCTGCGGTGGAACGGGTTAACCCATCGTGTCATGCTAGTATCCGGGTGACCGGGAATATGTCTGTTTGTTCATGAAAACGATGACTGAATCTCAATGATGGTCAATGATGTGTCAAGACACTGTGATTATGTCTTACCCCCATGCAGGTAACGTGGTTATGGGTTGAGGCAGTGGTTGTCAGTGATTAAGGTGACTCAATCAAGAGGCGGAGTGATGGCACTGTCCAAGCGTCATCGAGATGACTCGTTATCGATAGCTCCCGAGTCCCGCCTCCATACTTGAGTACCCCAACTCCACTCCCTCGAGCTCTCTCTTTCAGAGCTCCCATCCCAACTTTCATTCTACACTATACAACATTCAATGCACATTCTCCAACAAAAGCTCATGGAACATCTATTGATTGATCAACAAATACACAGCTGTAAACGAATACGGCAGCAGATACGGAACTGCACCTGAGAGCTCTACACACAACTATGGCGTCACGACATGTGAAAACAAACCCAATGGAGCGGCGGAAAGGCGAGTCGGTATGCAATTCCTACCATTATTACTAGCTTTGATAGCAGTCACCAGATTGGAACACCTCATTTGGGTGCTCGAAGCTAGACATTCTACCCACACGCAGAGCTTCAATTGTAGCAGGAGCCCTTTGCAGATGGTCGAATCATATCCCAATGCAAGAATGCTAACATGAGTATGAAAGGCTCTAAGCGACTTCGCCGACTACGTGCAGAAACAGCAGGCCTTGCGCCGCCCTCCCGGCCAAAACCCCGCTGCCCTCGAAGAGCACGACGAGCTCGACATCATTGATCAACTCGGCCTATCCGACGATACCACCTCACGGATACCCCTGAGAAAGCTGTTGGTAGATCCTGCTGAAGAGAACACTCCAGCCCTCGTGGAGCTTCTGTGCGGTAGATTGGGCGAGGGCCATGGCGAGGCACTATTCGATGTGGGACTTGAAGATAATGGGGAGTCAATGGGCTTTTCGAGGGAAGAGTGGGATTCTGCGATCGAGCGCATAGGAACCGTCTGTGAGGAAATCAAAGCCGACTTTCAAGTACTCCTCACGAGGAACGTAGGTGGGGACGTAGAGGTTGACTCTGCCAATCCAAAAGAGAAGGGAGCGTCCGGAAAGATCATAATACGGCGGCGCCCGCAAAGCATTGACGAAGTCATTGAGACCCGAATCGCAGTGGTGGGTAATGTGGATGCAGGGAAGAGTACTATGCTAGGAGTCCTTGTGAAGGGCGGCTTAGATGACGGTCGAGGTAAAGCTCGTGTGAATCTATTCCGCCATAAGCATGAGATTGAGACTGGGAGAACCAGCTCTGTCGGAATGGAGATCATGGGATTCGATAGCAAAGGAGAGGTTGTGGTGTCCAATGTTGCAGGACGCAAGCTGACTTGGGAAGAGATTGGAAAACGCTCTGCGAAAGTCATCGGATTCACTGATCTTGCTGGCCACGAGCGCTACCTTCGTACCACGGTGTTTGGCCTACTCAGCAGTGAGCCTAACTACTGTTTGCTCATGGTAGCCGCGAACAACGGTCTGATCGGCATGAGTAAAGAGCATCTCGGAGTTGCACTAGCTCTAAATGTTCCCGTCATGGTCGTTATTACCAAGATTGATATCTGCCCACCTCAGATTCTCGAAGAGACCATCACGCAGCTGACGAAAATCTTGAAGTCTCCTGGGGCACGCAAGATACCTATCTTCGTCAAGAACCACGAGGAATGTGTTAACACCGCGACTCAATTTGTATCACGACGCATCTGCCCCATCTTCCAGGTCTCGAACGTCACTGGCACCAATCTTGATCTGGTGAGGACATTCTTGAACATCCTCCCTCACCATGGAAATTACAACGCGGATGCACCTCTGGAATTCTGCATCAACGATACTTTCTCTGTTCCATTTGTTGGAACCGTTGTTTCTGGAATTGTCAAGTCGGGCGAGATCCACGCTGGCGACACCATACTTGTCGGACCAGACAGTCTTGGTCAATTCACAACCACCAAAGTTCGATCCATTGAACGGAAACGAATACAAGTCCCCGGCTGCAGTGCTGGACAAAGCGCCAGCCTGGCACTTCGTAACGTGAGGAGGAAGGACGTCCGCAAGGGTATGGTTGTCCTGCACAAGCCCGACAAGCCTGATCCGACGACCGGTAACCTCCCCGCACCTAAAGTGTACCGCGAATTCGTGGCAGAGGTCCTCATTCTTTCCCACGCGACTACTATCAAAACCAAGTACCAGGCGATGTTGCACGTTGGCCCAGTCTCGCAGACGTGCGCCATCATTGACATCGATAGGCAATACATCCGTACAGGCGACCGAGCTCTGGTGGCATTCCGCTTCGTTCAGCGTCCCGAGTACTTGACGATTGGGGACAGGATCATCTTCCGTGAGGGGAGGACGAAGGGACTGGGGATTGTCAAGCAAGTCGGTTATGATTCGAAAAAGCCATTGAACCCAGAGGCTACACAGAATGGAAAGAAGTCGAATGAGGCTTGAAGGATGGATTTAAGAACTCTTTATTACTCTTCAATGTTTGATAAACGACAAAGTACGATTGAATCCAATGCCAACCTTATGCGCTCTGTTATGGCCTGGTGTAGCCAGGCACATATTTCAATTCGTCACATAGTGATTTCCATTGGATGAGCATGTGTTGAAAATGCCCTAGGTTTGTGGTAGGAGGCCAGGTCAAGATAATTCACAGAATATTCAAGCAATTGCTGTGAGAACCAAGAGAAGACTGATGGCCATTGAATTGCGCCATACAAATGGCACTATTGCTCAATCTGTAGCAATGTCTCGGATACATCTCTTATTCTGGACGTTGCGGCACACTGTTGGCCAGGGAGGGGATAGCTACATGATGGTCATTGATACTGTATGTACGGATAAGGCTCTGTGATTGGGATGATGTCGGCACGTTGTTGGTTGGGCCCCCATTTCAGTACCTGACTATGCCCGTCAAACAGCAGGTTTCTCTAGGGCATGCATGGCCTAGAAGAGCTTGAACAATCCATTCATTATGCTAGTCGTATATTAACTGCTTGAATGGAATAAGCTACAGCCCCGAAAGCACAGACCTTGTCGATCTATCACCGCGTCTCCCCGCATGCCTCCATTCACTATCTGACTGGCGTGCTGGCGCGCCGCCTGGCGTGACAGGACACAACAAAAGCAAGAACGCATCCTGCCGTATCTGTCCCTTCCCTCACCCTCAATCCAAGACAATCCCCCAGCCGTTGTCAATTAAACGGCACCAGTTGACTTCCGGGAGCGAGAGCGCTCAATGCCTCTTATCTACGGCCCCGTAGCAACAGCCTCACCCATGAAAGGTCGCCTACTCAAACTGGTCCCGGGCGTGAGATGGATGCCACATGACATTCCCGCAGCCGAGGCATCTGAATATCAGCAAAAGCCGCACCGCTCACTCTTCTCGCGGAAGCACCACGATGCATCGAGGAAACGGGGAGACAAGGAGGTGGTCCACAGGCGCAAGTCTACCATTTCGATCCCCTCCACGCCTGATCCGGAATTAGATGCGCGCACGCATTTGCAAGGGCAAAGTACCTTTTTCGCGAGCTTGCCATTGGAGATCCGGAAAATGGTCTATGAATATGTCATGGGAGAAGAGACGATACATATGACATTGGGCATGAAGAAAAAGCTGGGACATTTCATTTGCGAAGACGAGCAAGCGGAACAAGATGAAGAAAGCCTGCAATGCACGTGCAAGGTGCTGGTGGGTGGACGAAGTTGTCGGAAGCTCCACGGACCCCTAGGAATGTTGAGAGCTTGCCGGAGAATGTCAGTATTACGTCGTGCTTATAGTGTCGTCAGATTTGAAGCATGTCGGCTTATGGTTTTGTGAATACGTGAAGCTAACATCGTGCAGGTACACTGAAGCGATTCCACACCTCTACGCACCACATACTTTCTCGCTTCTACATGTCACGCATTTACTCTATCTACCAAAGCGTGTCCCATTTCCGCGCCTTGATACGATACGTAAACTACGAGTTCGCTGGTCGATTCGGGCTCTGCCTTACCTTCGTCGCCCAACGGATCCTAAGCGTTATGCGTACCCTGAAGACACCACCAATTGGCAGCATGGCTGGCGTATCATGTCTGAGATGAAAGGCCTGAGAGATCTTTATGTTGTGGTTAGTGATCCTAGCCCTCAAGCACTGTGGGAGGATAAATGGCTCGCTCTGGAAGATAAGCTGTATGAAGACATTGCAAAAGTGAAGCAGGTCAGATGGGGTGAGGTGTTTCTACCATACGCAAGCTGCAACATAGATGTTCAGTTTGAGGGCTGCGCGATTGGATTCAGAAAGCCTGCAGGTGAAGAAGAAGAGGATGATGGTTGAATTATGCGAAGACATCTTAACAGACTATAGTAGGTATCTAGTACACTAGTTATAGTCTTCTATGTCTGCCTTCGAGATAGAAAAAGTACAATTTTGAGATCATCATTTAACTTGCATCGAAATATTTCGCAATCCGAATCCGAACACAATGCTTCCATACCTTTTATTTCATATAACATGAGGTGGTTTGATAACTATAGATCGTTGCGCATAGACGCAGCCCATGTCTCAGCCCTACAACCGTACGCCAAGTCGCCGCTCGCACCTCTCCCGCGGCCTCGACCCCAACTTTTTTCCCAGACAGCCAAAACCATTTCCAGCATACAATCTTCCACTCACCCCATCTCTACGAACCACACCACTCCGATCGAATCACCCTCCCCACGCGACCATGCCTCCGCCGCGACCCAAGAAGATGACCGCGCAGCCGGTGCGCACGCGCCACTTCGCAGGCAAGCCCGGCGCCGCCGAAGTCGAGGAGCCGTCCAGCGCAGAGGATTCCGAGTCGGAGGAGGAGCAGCAGCAACAGAAGCCGTTGCCATTTGTCAAGCCGAAGCCTAAACCATTGGCTTCTTCGTTTCCTAAGGGCGCGCTCAAATCGAGTCTGGCGTCGCGACAACGATCGGAGGAGGAGAGGAAACGGTTGGAAGAGGAGTTCGAGACGGAGAGTGAGGAGGAATCGGGGGAATCGGGTAGTGAGAGCGAGAGTGGGAGCGGGAGTGACGAGGAGGAGGATTCGGAGGAGGAGTCGAGTAGTGAGGAAGAGTCACGGCCGAAACTTATACGCCCAGTCTTCATAAAAAAGAGTGATCGGGGGAAGGCTGCTGCGCCTGCAAAGACGGCGGACCAGCTGGCGGAAGCGGAGGAGCAGCGCAAGCAAGAGCAGACAAGAGCTCTCGTGCAGGAACAGATCGATCAGCGCGCAGCTGAGAAAGCAAAGGGCAAGAAAGATTGGGATGATGATATAGAGGAGGATGACATCAACGGCGTTGACGATACGGATGGTGTCGATCCCGAAGCCGAATACGCCGCCTGGAAACTGCGAGAGCTGATGCGAATCAAGCGAGAACGCGCTGCTATAGAAGAGGCAGAAGCTGAACGTGCCGAGATCGAACGCCGACGAAACCTCACGGAGGCCGAGAGGGAAGCAGAGGATCGCGAGTTCATTGAAAAGCAAAAGGACGAGCGTGGAGATCGAGGTCAGATGCAGTACATGCAAAAGTACTTCCACAAGGGCGCTTTCTTCTCCGAGGAGCTGAAAGACATGGGCATCGACAAGCGGAACGTCATGGGAGCTACATTCGAAGACAGCACGAACAGAGAAGTTCTGCCAGAGTACATGCAGATTCGAGACATGACGAAGCTCGGAAAGAAGGGCAGGACGCGGTACAGAGACATGAAGAGCGAGGACACGGGACGATGGGGCGATTTTGGGGATGACAGGCGGCCACGCGATAAGAGTGAGTTCGGACTAGACGAAAGGTTTCGTTCGGACTCATATCGCAACGGTGGACGAGATGGACAAGATAGAGGCGCAACCGGTGCGAATGCGAAGCCGCTGGGCGACCGTAAGAGATTTGGCGATGATAATGGGAGAGATAGTAAGCGGCCACGAGTGGACGACCGCTGAACTGGCATTTTTGATGCATCTATGGATGCCATGGAGTTTTCGAGCATTTCCTGGAGTCATTGGGCTATACTAAGCCAGCATTTTCCTGCACCAGCCAACGTCGTTGCTGAGATTGATACCAAAAAACTGTAATCATCTTCCTTACTTTGCTCGCAACCTCAATCTACCTGATTTGAAGTCTGTCTATACCACATCCTGGGATTGGCTACTTCCCTTGAAACAACCGACAGGATGAAAAGACTGTCATCAATGGCCGCAAGCTAATGTAAACAGGACGAACATGCAAGAGTGACTTGGTCTTTGCGATCAAGAATTCATACATGACAGTGTTGCTATCGTAGCATGCTAAGCCCAAATATGTTGATTACACGTTATTAAGATAACATTGACCAGATCCGTTCCCAGGTAACTCGGATCTTTGGCCTCTCTAAGGTCTATCGGATGACCGAAAACTAGAACAAAGTATGCAATACTGGGGAGAGCATCCCCAAATACCGTGAGGGGAAGCCGGGCAGAGCATTCATGGAGGCTATTCGAGCGAAGTTCGGACTTTACACTCCCGTCATTGGATACCGGGTAGGGGCTGTGGGGACGGGGGACCTGTAGCGGGCGATAATGGTGGGGCAGCAGACTTGGGGGACAGGGAGAGTCGCGCGGGGTGTCATGTGTAGATAGACGACGGGTCGGAAGCAAAGAGATAGGGTGACGATTACATATCTTAATAGTTGCATTCCTCCGTTTAATAACTATATCATATAGCATTACCATCACTACTGCCCGAGTTCTGCGTGTCCTGACCTGCCTGTCCACACGCTTATTTACCTACGCAATGACAGCGACCATACCCACTACGCAGAAGGTAGCTTGGATCGACTCGCCCGGGGACAATGGCAAGCTGGTCATTCGAGATGGCTTCGAGGTTCCACAACCCAAGGGGAAAGAAGTCCTCGTAAAGATAGAATGTTCGGGAATATGCCATTCGGACTGCAGAAACGTCGAAGGACTCGGCGCATACACGGATATCCCAGGCCACGAGGGAGTTGGTATCGTTGTTGGTTTGGGTCCAGATGCGCCAGAATCGATCTTAAACAAGCGCGTTGGAATTAAGTAAGAAAACAGTGAGAGGCGAGGAGATGTATACACGTGCGTTCCGAGACTGACGTTGCTAAGGTGGCTCTGGAGTGCATGTAACGAGTGCTCGGCCTGCAAAGCTGGTTTGGTGAACCATTGCCCGAAGCAGCTCAACACGGGAAGGAGTACCAGGGGTACATTGCAGCAGTATGCTATTGCACATGCTGACTTTGTGTCTCACATCCCGGACGGGTTGGCAAGTGAGATTGCGGCCCCTCTGCTCTGCGCTGGCTTGAGTCTCGCTGGTGCGATTTCGAAGTGCGAACCCGAGGTCAAGCCTGGACAATGGATAGCCATTGTTGGAGCGGGTGGCGGATTGGGTCATATTGGTGTCCAGATCGCGGCAAAGACTAAGGGGTACAAAGTCATTGCCATTGACAGCGGGCCCGATAAAGAGAAGCTTTGCAAGGAGATGGGCGCAGCGGCTTTCGTAGACTACGCCAAAGGAGACACTGTTGCTGCCGTCAGGGAACTGACCGATGGCGAGGGCGCACATGCTGTCATCTGTGTAGCCGGAACGGAGATTGCCTACAAGAGTGCACCAGATCTTGTGAGGAACCACGGTGTCTTCGTGTGTGTTGGACTGCCACCAGACACATTCATGTTTCCAATGTCTCCAATTCATATTGCGAACAGAGGTAAGTCCCCGACTTTCTCAATTGACTGGATTTCCGCTGATAGTGGTAGGTTTGATCATCAAGGGATCTTCAACTGGTACCAATGAGCAGATGGACGAATTGCTACAGCATGCTCTCGAAGGAAAGATAACACCCAGAGTTGAAGTTTACGAGTTCTCTGACTCCCCGGAGATCATAAAGGAGCTTCAGAGGTATGAAGTGACAGGCCGAAAGGTCGTGAAGGCACCCTAGATCATTATGAAGAATACCAAGAGTGGTCCGTTCTTAACAACGACGATCATCTTTGTGCGCTCTAAAGAAGACCAATTGTTTTATAACGACTGTGAAACGTTGTAGTGTCTCTTCAATTGTATGGAGGTCCACTTCGTAAAATTGGATCATGCAATTGAAAGAGCTATGATTCATCTGTAGTATGACTAACGAAAAAGAAGTAAACCAGGTAACGTAAAATCCTACCATAATACTTCTAGTATTCACACAAGTTGTACATGTCAGGGATTGTCACATCCCCAATCGACTCTCAGGGTCCTCACATCACAGGTGCCCCACAAACGCCAGGATGGAGATTCTGGGGAAGCTTACCCCGCACATCTTGCAACTTGGGGACCATCAGAAGTAAGTCTTGTTGAAACACCTGGAGCCAACCGGCCGGATGTGTGTGGGGCAATGGGGAGACTCATGATAAATGGCAGTCCGGTATCAAAACCCTTTGTGAGATAGAGTTTGGGCAGTTGCTGTTGAGTTTGGCATCTCCAAAGCGTAAGACAACCAATTCAACGCTATACGAAAACAACAGTGCCAAAGATTCGTGTACATCGGAAAATTGTATTTTTGTTCAATAGGCAGAATTGAGACAGACTTTAGTATAAATCGACAACAATCCCCAGCAGCTTCTAACCCTCAATGGCGCCTTCAACTCTTCCCGAAACACCGACCCTGGGCAAAGTCCACTCCGGAATACCAGAATCCCTCTTACACAAAGCCACCTCTGCCAAAGCAGCGGTCTACGATGGCAAGACGGTGTCTGACAAGATTCCCCTGAAGCGTGGGCTCCCAATTCCCCAAGGCATCTCCGAGAAAGCATTCCTATCCGCGATTGACGAGCTACGAACTGCCATTGGAGCCGAAAATGTCGAATTGAACGATAAAGAAGTGAACAATGGCTGGTACATGGAACACCCAAACACACATGACATGATGCCGCTATTCGACGTTGAAGAATTCATCGCGTCTGCGGTAGTCTACCCTGGGTCGGTCCAAGAAGTGCAGATCATCGTGCGGTGGGCGAACAAGCATCTCATACCGATTTTCCCGATATCGATCGGTCGCAATCTGGGGTATGGAGGCTCGGCGCCACGGGTACGAGGATCGGTGACGATTGACCTCGGACGGCGAATGAATAAGATATTGGATATCAATGCGGAGGATTATACTTGCCTTGTGGAGCCTGGAGTGACATTCTATGCGCTGTATGAAGAATTACAAAAGAGAGGCTTGGGTGACAAGATGTGGATTGATACGCCGGATCTAGGGGGAGGGAGTGTGTTGGGGAATACATTGGATAGAGGCGTGGGGTACACGCCATATGGTGACCATTGGGCCGTACATTCTGGATTGGAAGTTGTGTTGCCAAAAGGAGAGGTAATATTCATTAATTGAGAGCAGTGTCGTGAGGTTTGCTGATGTGTATTCTAGGTTGTACGAACGGGTATGGGAGGTTTGGAGGGGAGTAACACCTGGCAATGCTTCCCTTACGGCTTCGGCCCGTACAGCGAGTGAGAATTTTGACCTCGAAATTTTCTGCAACTATTAACTTGGTCATGTAGTGGTATCTTCTCACAGTCAAACTATGGAATTGTGACAAAGATGGGCATGGCTTTAATGCCCAACCCCGGAGGTTTTGAGTCTTTTGTAAGCCATGTCTACTTGACTGTGAATGCATGCACTTACACATTGCAATGCAGATGTATACATTCCAAAACGAATCGGACCTCGCACCATTGATGGAGATCATCCGTCCCCTACGCATTGCAAATATACTCGAGAACGTTGCGCAACTACGTCACGGTTTGCAGACACTCTCCATACAAGGTTTCCCACGCGCGAAGTACTTCAAAGGCAAAGGTCAAATGCCAGAAAGCATATACCGCGAGGAACTCAAGAAGACCAAGACTGGAGATCACGCATGGGTCTACTACGGAATGTCGTACGGTCCAGCCAACATTCGCAAATTCAAACTCGATATTGTCGATGCCGAGTTCCATAAAATTCCTGGCTGTAGGAAGATCGACTCTAAGACATTGCCTGCAGGCGAGTACTTCTGGAGTCGTGACAGGATTGCATCAGGAACGCCGGATCTTGAGGAGTTGAGATGGGTAAATTGGATGCCAAATGGAGGTCATATTGCGTTTTCGCCTGTCAGTCCGATTCGGGGAATCGATGCTGAAAGGTTGTTCGCACTTGCGAAGCAGCGACATGCTGAAGCGGGCATTGACCTGATGCCTGCATTCTGTGTTGGTCTGAGGGAAATGCATATTATTGTTGAGATTGTCTTCGATGCCCAGGACGCCGATATGAAACAAAAGGCAGAGAAATGTCTACGGTGAGAATACGACAGGCTGCGTAAGCCCTCTTCGGATGCAATTAACTAACAAATCTAAAAGTGACATGATCGACGACGCGGCCCGGCTGGGATATGGAGAGTATCGTACCCATCTCGCGCTCATGGATCAGGTTGCGGGGACATATAACTGGAACGATGGTGCATTGATGAAGTAGGCCCTTCCTCGGATAGGTCATGATACTGGTAGAAGTTGCTGATCACCCCATACCAGGTTCAATAACACGCTAAAAGATGCCCTTGATCCGCGAGGCATCCTGGCTCCCGGAAGATGTGGCATATGGCCTGCGCGATACAGGCAGAGGGGCTGGGAATTGAAGGGTGGTGAAAAGCGTGTGGAGGGTGATGGCGTTGGCCCTCAACCAGGGGGTAACAAAATCTAATTCTAGTTGAATCAAGAAACATTGTACATACGAGGTAGTCACTCCACTAAGTCCACCCTCCCGTCAGATCATTGCAGCCCAATTGCGCAAGCAATGTTAGCAGGCGAGGCGACAATCGCCTTCCAGCACTTTGGGTCTGGGGTAACATGTCTATGGAAGATTAAAGGGTCGCCAGAGACCTGCGACATGGCCCGCTCACTCAAACGATCTGCCCTAATCTAGAACAAGCCTAGTGGATCAAACGGGAGAAAAGTCGACAACCCTCGTTTGTTGTTGTGAATCTCATGCATCCGCATATGATGAACTAATTAACAGACATTGACCAATCCTTCGTTTCGTTATCCATTTCTGTTCGTTTCGGCGCCTTGCAATGGAGGGACACAGGCGTGTTGTGGCTCGCGTGGCGGGTACGGTCAAGGACTATTTCACGAGAAAGGAGCCTTTTCGAATATCACATGGCTCGACCAACAGCACGAGACCAGATGTAAAGAAACGCGTGGTCGACATCAGCGAGCTTCGAAATGTCCTCAAGGTGGACACCAAGTCACAGACTGCATTGGTCGAGCCAAATGTGCCTATGGATCGCCTCGTAGAGGCCACTCTGCCGCACGGTTTGGTGCCTCCTGTCGTGATGGAATTCCCAGGGATCACGGTTGGTGGCGGGTATGCAGGTACGGCTGGCGAAAGTAGCTCCTTCAAATTTGGATTCTTCGACCGGACGATCAATTCCGTCGAGATGGTACTGGCAGATGGCCAAGTGGTGACAGCGTCAGATCAGCAAAATGCAGATCTGTTTCGGGGAGCTGCCGGCGCAGTCGGAACGCTGGGTGTGACCACACTCGTGGAATTGCAATTGATCAAGGCGCAAAAGTATGTCAAGACAACATACCATCCCACCACTAGTGTTGGCGCGGCCGTCAGAGAAGCCAGAGCACAGACAGAAGAGGAAGCAAATCATTACGTAGATGGCATTCTCTTTTCAAAGGATCACGGTGCTATCATTACCGGCGAAATGGTGGACGAGCTTCCATCTGGTGTGAAACCGCAAACATTCAGCAATCCCTGGGACCCTTGGTTCTATCTGCATGTGGAAGCCAGGACACGAAACGCTTCCACACCAATCGTCGACTATATTCCCTTGGCCGAGTATATGTTCAGATACGATCGCGGTGGCTTTTGGGTCGGCCGTTCTGCATTTACTTGGATGAAATTCCCCTTCAATAAGTTTACTCGCTGGTTCCTTGACGACTTTTGCCATACACGAATGTTGTATCGTGCCCTTCACGCCAGTGGAGAAGCTACTCGATACGTGGTTCAAGATATGGCATTGCCGTATCCAAACGCTGAGAAGTTCATTGATTACACTGACAAGACCTTTGGTATCTGGCCATTATGGCTGTGCCCTCTGAAACAGAGCCCCCAACCAACCATGCACCCTCATACCAAGGGTAAGCTTGCAGACGACCAGATGCTCAACATTGGTCTCTGGGGTTTTGGTCCTGCAAATAGAGACGAGTTTCTTGATAAAAACCGCCAATTAGAAAAGAAGTTGGGTGAATTTGGCGGGATGAAGTGGCTCTACGCGCACACGTACTACACCAAGGGAGAGTTCTGGTCGCAATTCGATCGGGAATGGCACGAAAAATTACGAACAAAGTATCGAGCGGAAACCTTCCCAGACGTATACGAAAAGGTACACGTCGATATTGCGAAGCACAAGGAGCTTGTGAAGAATAATTGGTTGTTACGAATTCGGGACATATGGCCACTCGGTGGCTTCTGGGGTATCTGGAAGTCCATACAAAGCAAAGACTACAAGATACACAGGGCTTCGACATGGAGGACCAGATGATACAAGACAATCGATAAGACGCCCCATCAGACATAACGATGGCTGTAAATTAGTGTAAATACTCACCTGTTATCAATCTACTATTCCAGATGTTGGTAGAGTCTGTGCGAGATTAAGGGTGGGGGAAGGTGGAGTTTGAGATGCAGTGAGACGACAGCAAACGAACCAGGTACATCCTCGACTGTCTTGCACCCTCCGTATATGATCAGTGTGAAGGGACGGTGGAAGCAATTGATCGAATCACTCCACCACATCCAATGAATGTAGCGACAAAAACAAGGCCGCCGCGACGTCGCTTCTCGAAGAAACGGTTATCAAGACCGTTCTTGCGCTTCTCTCCATTACTTCACAAATCCGATGACGAACCATTAAACGAACCATCAAGCGACACCCGGCAGCAGAGAGAATCGCCGCCTTTTCCAATCATGTCATCCCTATCGCCTGTAAATAAATCACTCCAGAAGGAGTTACCTTTGCCACCTCGGGTATCTTCCATCCACCTGGAAAAAGGCAATAAAGATGGATGGGTCGCGATTGAGCTAAACAACTACTCATCGGACATCACCCAAACCGACGTTGCGGAAGTCTTCACCAATTTTCAGGTGGAAGAATTCCGGATTCCCGACTTCAAGAAGTTCCACATGCCTCTGCGAATGCGATTGCAAGTGAAGGGCGAGAAAGAAGCAGAGCGCGCGATCAGAGAGTTGAGTGGAAAGGTGGTCCATGGTCGAAGTATTGGAATCGATCGTCTACAGGACCCCCGTAGCGACACGAACTCAGATGCGCGGAATTGGGGCCACACGGAACACAGTCATGCCATCAGCAACAAGCAACATGATGCTGAATGAATGCTTACTTGAGCAAAGCGCAACGGTTGCGCATACATTCATTCACCCCGCAATTGGGTGCAAAGTCTACGGACATGTGGTTCGAGTTTCATGGTGCTCGGCTTCAGCAATCCGGAGCAAAGTTAGCCCCCCGAGCTAGGTCGGACGGTGCATCCGGCATGAAGGATTGGGTGAGAGTATTCACAGATTGCTGGTTTCACAGATTACTGGTGGGCGTCGGCAAGATTCCGAAATGGTCGCTACTCTAATTATAAACATTGAATTACCAGAGAGAGCTATGTTCACGCAGATCGTGAGGAATATACATACATTAAGTACAGAGTATGCTTTTATTGTTCATTAGAGGCTCACCTCACAATATATGAGAATTTGAGAGATAGACAGCAAAGGGTCTACCCTCAGTTGAATGCAACTGCACATACTGCACATAGGTGTCTTCATGCCACTTAAAACTATCCGTGTTCCTTTTTGTCTAGGTATACTTTCATACGGTACCCAGGTTTGAGGCATCGTGCCATGTGGAATTTCAAGTAGCGTCAGCAGAAAAAAATGTGACAGGAGCAGAGCTATGGCACCTTGGCTTCTGTGAAATCGAATGATGTCACAAATTCTAGACTTCATTGACGTTTGAAGTAGCTGACGTGCAGTGACCGAATGAAATTTTGGGTGAGGCTCCGAACTTTGCGAGCCTCTTTACTAACATGGAATCTCCGTCACTGCAATGCGTTTAAAGCTCTGGGTGGAATGCATTGAAGAGCCAAAGAGGGCTTAGCTTACAATTACACCTCGGAAGCTAATCGTGTGCATAGGTAAGCAGGACATTCCATCAGCGAAAGAGTCTCTCTTGGGGCTTGGATGTAAATTCCCGAGGAATGTGTATGTATAGATCATACGGACATTTAATAATACAGCTTCAAAAATATCGAGTCTATCATTCAGCAGCAAGCTTTTCCCAATGCTGGTGTTCCAGCGCTGATCAAAATATGCTTCCGTTCTGGCCGGGTGTTTCAAAGGACAATAGATTTCAACTGTGAATGGTCAAATGTCGCCAAATACTGCACAGACTCCTTAAAGCCTCTGGCAAGGGAAGCTTGTACAATGCCATGTCATGAAACAAATGCGGACCTCGTAGACAAATCAAAGGCAGCAAGTACGGTATCACAGTGTCCACAAGCCATATCGAAACCATGTGCGGCAGCCAGCTGCCCTGAATTGTTCATGGAGATTGGTGATGGAAGCCCCAGGCCACACACCCCGGTGGCCATTGACCGTAGCACTTGTGTAATGCTCACAATGGCCTCACGTCGAGAATGGGGTCTATTTCTGTTTTAGGAAGAAGATAGTCTCCGTGTACCGTACTTTGGGGAAACCATGATACAACATTGTAGACACCTCTGCGAATGTCGAAATTATACTTAAACGACCGCAAGACCGGTCTTCAATCAGCATCACAGCATCAACAGCTTCTTCATTCTTTCTTCTACACATTCATTCCAGATCACACTCACTTTTTTCACATTTCCTATTCACTCTCATTAAACAATCAACATGCGTGCTACCGCTTCCATCGCTTTGCTCTTGGCTGCCGCCGTCAGCGCCCGCGAGCTTCCCGCCAACTTGAAGGCTTTCTACGATGCCAACATCAACGGCAAATGCCCGAACCCCAAATCCATCGAATACGACTCCGCAGAGGGCCAGACGGACACTCAGTACTGCGAGGACCCTGCCTCCAAGGCCCTCTACCTCAAGGACAACAAGAATGGCTACGCCGACCTCGACATCGACTGCGATGGTGCCAACAACAGTGGAGGAAAGTGCGGTAACGATCCCACTGGTATGTACATACATCTAAAACTTACAATCACTCCACCGCACGCTCGACTAACCAAAACAATAGGACAAGGCCAGACTGCCTTCAGGGACACGGTCAAGGAATTCGGTATTCCGGACTTGGACGCCAACATCCACTCCTACATTGTTCTCGGCAACGACAACTCGGTCGAAGAGGGCGACGGTGGCGAGAAGTTCGACCCCCAGAGTCTCGGCATCAAGCCTTTGTCCGTCGTCGCCATCGTCTGCGGAGGCCAGCTCTTCTACGGCGTCTGGGGTGATGTGAACGGTGGAAAGCTCGTCGGCGAGACCTCCATGGCTGTCGGCGACCTTTGCTTCCCCAACGAAGATCTCTCCGGCAACAAGGGCCACGGCGACCACGATGTTCTCTACCTCGCCTTCCCTGGTGACGAGGCCCTGCCTGACAGCGACACCAAGTGGAAGGCGTCGAGCACTGCCGAGTTCGAGGAGTCGCTCGCCACGGTCGGTGACGGCCTCGTTGCAAAGCTTGGTTCCAGTGGCTCCAAGAGCAGGGTTATGCGCGGTAGGATCTAAGGGCAACGTCTCTGTTCCGATTAGATTTTATGGTTTCACGCTCTCAAAGCATCGAAAACTTGTGTTGTACTATCCCTGTGTCATTAGCATCATGTAGCGTTCTGCCTGTTTTTGGCTTTTATCTGGAGTGGATGTTGTTCTGTCTGCACTTCTAGACCCATATCGTGATTAAAGCTACAAGAATTTTACAAAGAGTGAGCGGCACCTCAATGGCTGATGATCTTTCATCATCTTAGCGTCTAATATTGACAATCATTCATGTGTTAAGTGATAAGGTCACCAATTGTGAACACGAGAGGTGAGAGATGAAAGAGCACGGAGGAAACATAATCGTTGATGGGCGCCGATTAGTTATGAGTCAATTTTTGTTCCGCATTTTTAATATATCTAAGGAATTTGGTCATTTAGAAGAGTTACATCTAATGCCCTATTGGCGCAATTTCTGTCCGTCACTGAAGCTGTTCCGAGAAGGCAAGGATGATGTTCGTACCCTAACCAGACCTACGAACGGAAAAAGCACTCAAAGTGACGTTCGATTCCACCCCCTTTGCGCATCCATTCAATCCGGCGCACATCATCGCATCCAATGCTCCTAGGATCTGGGCCACCGTCACACGGTTTAGGATTCGGGTTTGCTGGCCGTGACCTGCCTGTTCCCGTGCTCCAAGTGATTTTGCACTTACGGTTGTACTCTTTGGTGTAGGTGAACTTGATATCAACGTTCTTGTGATCAAGCTCATTGCGTACTTCCACGGTCACTTCGTGTGGCAGTGCGCCACTTCCCTGCCGTTTGCTTGACGTGATCGGACTGCCTTGACCAGAGCCGGCATCATCACCGTTGCTGTCTAACAAGGTCCACCACAAGCCAGAGTTCTTGCCTTCGATATATTGATAAAGCCTGATTCGCCAGCCATTGGTGACTGGAGGACGAGGTGGAGGAGGCAAAGATGTCGGTGTTTGTTTCGGCGTAGACGTTGCTTGAGGAGTCGATGTTGACTTTGGTGCAGATGAAGCTGGTGTACTCGTAGGCTTCAAGCTCGTGGAGTGCGGAGAGTCCCTCGGTGGATTGCCTGCATCGTCACCTTGATCGTCATCCAGTGACAGAGTTCCCCTTGTACATGCAGGCCCATTGCTGGTAGTTGTTGCCGTGGCTGTGATATCACAGCCGGTGATGGTTCCTGCCGCCTTTGTGGTACATGAGGAAGATGAAGGATTGAATTGCGTGCATGACACAAAAATGTTGGTCAATGTGGATTGGTCATCCCTCTCACAACCCCTCCATGTCGTTGAAGTGACGGCGGCGATGTTACATCCAGTACGTGTAGACCAAGGCCTAGTAGTACAGCTAGAAGAGGTGGAATTGGACCGAGTACAAGATGCGAGGCTATTAGTGACTGTGACAAGGTCCTTGCCTTGACACTTCTTCTTTGGCTCCTCAGGGTCCGGATTGGTAGGGTAATTTGGGTCTTTGGGTTCGCATCCACCATTTAGGCATCCGGGCCCACCACACTGCAAGAGTGAACAAGGAGAGCAGAGGGGGCATTTGCCTCCCAGAACACCATGGCAGCGAAGTGGTGAGCACAACCCTCCACAGCCTCCAAGCGAACAGCCACCGTTGCATGCAAATACACCACACTCCGGAAACTCTGGTCCTGAAAACTTCGGCCACCCAGGAAATTCGATATCAACGTTAAAACGGATACATCCAAATAAGGAGCATCGCTTCGATCGGCTTTTGCCACAATTGCTCTTGCACTTCTTACTATTTTTGCCCTGACGCACGGTTGCGGTCTCCGGGTAGTGATTGGGACAACGGTCCGAGCATGGCTTGTTTGGCAGAGGGAGAGGGCCCTCAGTTGGCAATCGTATGGGCACAGTTGGCATTGGTGCTATAGTGACTTGTTTATCACCGCCTGGGCACATAATGGACTTGGGGGTTGGCGCGGCGTTTTCGATATACCGACTCGGAGGAGCTGTGATCAAGCCATTGGGCAGGTTCACTGGGAAGGGTGGGGGTGCAACACTTGGGACAGGTCGGAAAGTCATTGTCTTGGGATCTGCTGTTCCTACGACGACCTCTTGGAATTCGATGGCATCAGTGGTAAATGGGGCCACGCTGAAAGTGGTTGTCACCATCTTGAACGCTCCTCCGTCAACAGCGCACTTGACTGTTCCATCTTCAGTATAGGTACGGGTGCTGCCTCCTTCTACCGAAACAAGTGTCGTCACAAGGGGCGGCCACGTAATCGTGGTCTTGACTGGCAAGATGAATGGAGGTGGCACTATAACACTGGGAATTATTAGCGCATGAATTCAGTCAAAGTGGTAATAGATGAATTATGTACCAAGGGGGTTCACAGAAAAGCTCTGGCTTATCAGTCTCCCAGACCTCAGAATCATAGAACTCCTCAAATTGGGCTGTCGGTATAGGAACATTGCTGGTAGAAGACGACATTGAAAATCCTGGAGGAATACTGGGAATGCTAGAAACAATCGGCAACTCTGTCGGCATGCTCGTTGCAGGTAAAGAAGTCGTGAGGCCTGGGGTGTTAGAAGGCATGCTTGAGGAAATTGGTGATGGTAAGCTGCTAATAGCTGAAGTAGTTGACATGGGTGGAGGGATTGACGCAATACTTGATGTAATAAAGGTTGACAAACTGCTAACGATTGGGAGCGCAGATGAAGTCGAAGGAACACCCATGCTTGACGAACCTGGTGCTGAAGGGATAGTAGCCACGCTTGACGAAGTCGATGCTGAGGGGATAGCAGCCACGCTTGATGATCCCGATGCTGAAGGAATGGAAGGAATAGAAGCCATACTTGATGAACCTGGCGCTGAAGGAGCCATGCTTGATGAGCCTAGAGCTGGAGAGGAGCCCACAATAGTCGAAACTGTCGAGGTTGAAAAGTTGACAGACGATGCAGTAGAGAAAGTGGTCATTAGAGGCGTGCTTGACGACTGTAGGCTCGGCAATGCAGGAGGCGGCACGAGAGTCCAGTCTGCAGGCAGACTACTAGGCGATGGAATTCCGGAAGGCCAATTGATCGACCCTGATACTGGCTGCTTTGTGCTCCAATCCGGGGGAAATGATACAGGTGTCGTGGGCTTTGGGAAAGATGTGGGCCACCATGGAGGAATGAAGATGACAGTTGTCTGCGATGAGATAATCGACGAGGACGATGTCTGTCCAGTACTTCCAGGAGTCGAAGAACTTGGTGTCACTGGTTGAGCAGATGACGCAGATGAAGGCAATGCCTGCCCAGTACTCCCAGGTGCTGAAGGGCTTGTTGTTACGGGCTGGCCGGAAGACGCAGTCGAGACTCCATTGGAAGGGGACACACTGCCCATTACTGAGCTTCTAGACGCAGATGAAGACATACCAGCAGATGAAGGGTTAGCTGAGGGCTGCACTGGCGGGGCGCCAGATACAGAACTTCCGGAAGAAGCTGGCTGCTGGGACTGGATCGACGACGGCACTTGGGACATCGATGGGCTGAAGGAACCTGGCATTTGAGTAGGAATGGGAGCGATAGACGATGACCTGGCAATGGACGGGGCCGGGCTTCCAGGAGGACCGGAATCGCTTCGAGTAGCATCATAATCCATAGCCCACGAAAAAACACCACCAAGGCATCGGGTGTTGGCGAAAGCCAGTTTCATGGCTGCTGTTTCGTTGTCATCATAGCTCCACCACTGATCATCCCAGGTGATTTGTTTCACTGCTTCATCTTTAAGTAGCACAGGCTTGAGCTTCTTCTCCTCTACAAGACGATGGATCTCAATGTTGCTCATGATACCTGGCTGTTTCGTGCAGGAGCCCTGTTGTCCAATGCCGTAGGCGTCGCACCCTACGTTGAGACAATTCCGATCTGCAGAGAAGCCTCGTCCATAGTATGCAATTCCCAGATTAATCTTAGAAGCATCGACCTTGTTGAACCACAGTGGAGTGAGTTTGTTATCAATCTCGAGAAGACTCGTGTGTGGTCGAAGCTTTGCTTTCATGAACATCGAGTTGAGCTCCCACGGGCCATGGAAATCATAGCTCAGGAAGTTGAACCAGTCCACATAGGGATGCAACGCAAGCGGATCCACGCCCTGGAGGTAGACATAGTCTGCGGGCAAAACTGTGCTAAGACCAAAGTTTGACCCAAACGCTTGCTTCAGGTCCTTCATCAAGGCAATCATGTTCTGTGTATCATTATCGTTGCCGCCTCGATCGGGGTTTGCTGGAAATTCCCACGCAACATCAAGGCCTTGGAACCCATACTTGGTCATGAACTCTACAACCGAAGTGACGAAAGCCTTTCGATATAGCGCAGTGCTAGCCAGCTTTGACCACGTGTGGTAGGTCGGAGATGTTGGGTCTGAGAATGTCCATCCTCCCACTGCGATCCATGTCTTCAGTCGGTCGGTCTTGAGTGCAGTGAATTGGTGGTACAAATCGGCATCTGCTGGGTGATCCGGCTTGATCTGGAAGGTCTGGTCATCAATCGAAGCGTAGGCATATACTAGGTGAGTCAAGCCAGAGGTTGAAAGTTGGCTCGGCCACACTTTATCGCAGTCTCGAGTTCGAACATTCCAGCCTTGGTAATACCCGATATGACGACCATTGGTAGCTGAGTTGGCAATTTGTCCGCAAGAAGGTTTCGCGGGAATACCACACGTGCCAAAGTTCTTTTGACAAGTATCACCTGGTCCAGTTGTACAGAAGGTGTCAGTAAAGCCGCATGAACCCCAAGAAGAGCAGCATCCATTGAGAGGGCAAGTGGCCTTGCCGTCTTTGGAGTCAATTCCACAGGGCGCTTTTGCAGCACAGTTCTGTTTCATGTTAGTGCTTCATCATAATGTGATCTTGCCTTGACTTACTGATACGCACGTAGCTGGCGGTGCGGGTTTGCAGTGACTATCTTTGTATCCACACAAGCCATTTGAGTTACAACAAGATCCGTCGGCACAGGGCCTTCCAACGCCACATTGAGTGTCAACAAGCCCGTGGGATGTAGCACCGGTGACATTTTGTTGACCAATATAGGCTTCGGCGATCTCAAGTAATGGCAAAGGACGATTTTCGATCGAATACTCTGATCCCCGGAGGTCTTGCGACGCAACGCAAGTTACCCCGAGGAGGTGAAGTAGGAAGGCGGAGAACCGCATTGCAGACGTCATGCAACGGGGAACGCCGATGGGCAGAAGCGAGAGTAAGGTTGTAGGAAGGAAAGAGACAAAGGAAGGGGAAAGAGGGGGGTGAGGTTGAAGAGGAGAGAGTGGAGACGGAGATTAATGTACTTAAGTAGAAGGGACGCGAGAGACACAAGCAGTTGAAAAGCACGGGTCAAGCAGAGATTTGGTACTGCCCTCTTTCCACTTCACTTGTCTCTGATGTTCCCAAAGCTCACTGGAGTGAGTGAAAGTCAAATTATGAACGTGGATCGATTGGGCTACGAGACGCACATACATCATTCACGGCACAGACATCATCGTGGCAGATTCACTCTTGCCTATCCAATGACAAATATATCACCACCAGCCAACAAGCTTCTTATTTCGAGTGATCTGAGGATGTTGAACAATGACACTTCGCCAGATGATAAACTACTAAACCGACGGATACTCGGGAAGTAAATTGCAGTGTTTCGTGAGCGTTACTCTGTATTCAAATTACCTAGGTAACCTAGGTAGGATCTCGAATAGATTCAATCTGTGAGTAACATATCAGGGAACATGAGACCAATCAAAGGAATTGGCGGTTCATGGACGCAATTCCAGTTGTGTATAACTAGGCCAGTAAGGCTGCAACTATATCAGGTAGCAAAATTTCGACTTCACAATGCGTTGTACACTTGCACTCCAGGTAATGAATCTCTGGATGCGGTGCCTGTCCTGATCGATCTACGAGGGTCGAATTCAAACTTCTAGAATTTCACGTTGTTATACAGCTGTTGGTAATTGATGACACGCTAGAAGATCACGGTTTGTGGTTCGCACAGATTAATTTAAGCGTCTTCTCGTGGGTTACCCAAATGGTGATTGTACCTTCACCTTCCTCACACATTCACTCATTGCTCTCAATACGGTTAGCCTATTCATCAGAGAAACATATATGCAGTGAGCGCTAGAGACTTCTAGTTTGAGATGCCATCAAGGCTTTAACTCCACGTTGAAAGTGGTGATGACAGGTACGCCCCCGTCGCTTTTTCTCCTATTTATTCGTGTGGCTACCCATTCTGAAGACTATACAACAGGCAGTTAATTGAAGTAAATGTGCTCGAACTCTGTAACCGAGTAACACAGGATTACGAGTCTGCAGAATGCATGCATGTTCCCGTGCCGAGCACACGGTTCTTAACCGACTTCCGAATCCGATTGTCGTAACTCAGGTCTGTCAGATTGAGTTAAATACGTCAATTGTCTTTCCTTTCTCGGAAAATGTGATAAGGAAGATCTCGTGCATATGCGATAAGAGCAACCTCATCAACCCAGTCAATACTTACTCGCTTAGATCTTTCTGCGTAGAGTACGTTGCCGATGCTACATCTGTTGGGGTGTTCCCCATTGCTATGAACAAAATGATTGGACACCTGCAGGTAAGCTAACATTGATGCTTCGTATCAGTATGTAAATGCAACGATATCTGCATATAACGTTGATACCAAGCAATTGATGAAGCTTTCTCAAGTCGGGAGCATCCGGCCCTGGTTGACAGCGCATTTACATGTACCTATCTTGGCAGGTGGTTGTTGATTACGTTGGATAGATACAGCTATAAAAAGTCGTGAGAGCTGCATCTAATTCATATCATTCAAGAACTGAATTTCTATCGAATAACCTTATTCACTTGACCTGAAGTCCTCGATCTCATCATGCGGTTCTCCAATTTATTCCTCTCGGCCCTTCCAGCCTTTTCGTTAGTCCGAGCGCAACGACCAGACGATCCTGGCTTCTACAACACAGTGGCAGAGATCTACTCTGGGGCAGACTGCGCTGAAGATACTCTAGTCTGGCTGGATCCGATCTTCGGTCGAGGGGGCGTTTGTCAACTGCTTGATCGAAACAACAATACCCCGGATATATTCAGTTACCGCGTGACGTCTCAATATCCCGGCTGTACGGGTAAGTTCCTTTGACAATTTCGTCGACACTCCGACCCTCTTCAAGTGCATCAATGAACATAAACTAGCGACGTTGTATACGGACGAGGATTGCTTGGGTACTCCATACCCCGCGCCAGTTGGATCATGTGTGAAGTCGACCGACGGAAAACCATTTATCAAGGCATTTGTCGAGTGTCCCTTCTCTTGAAATAGATTATAAATACCGATGTCCAGAAGCTGCGGGTGGCTGGGGAGGTGGACTATGACGATGAGAGAAATAATACAACCATGAATATAACGATCGTCTCTATCAATATTCAGGTAGCTTATGAGTGTTTCGTGTGTTTGATTGAAATTGCAGTGATCGACCCAAAACAGTTGATCATCAGGCACCTCGTGAGGACTGTTCTTGTGTTTCTTGATCGACCCTTCATGACGATTATCAATATTGGTGTGTCGATACAACAAAGGATTATTACATCTGCGTACTGACAGAGACAGACAACACGCACAAGTTCATCTTGAACTGTGGAAGAAGAAGCGATGAAAAGAGGAGACGGGCCAGTCTGTCTACATCAGATTGATCCCTCGCAAGAGCAATTGCACTTCCATGGGATTGCCCTATAATGCCATTCTCTATCTCTTAGGCATAGAGACATCCCAAACTCGTACTACGAGACCGCAACGACCAGTTTGCGAAGAGAATCCTATGGTAGTGCTGTTTGAAACCCTAGCACAAACGATCTGGGGTAATTTTCGTTACAGTGTATGGTGCAGAAGCCGCTCGTTTTCATCCCTAGGCTTTGTGGTTGGTCCATCATCGATCAGCAAATGATCCCACCTTGTAGCATGAGTCAGTTCGAGGATCAATGTTTGCTCAACAATGCTGAATCGTGTATTCGGAAAGGTCTTCCCGGGGTATGCTTTCGACGGTCAATAAATTCGTATCTTGAATCTGCTCTGAAAGCCCGCCGAACGGAGCAGAAGAGCAATTAGAATACTACGACCCAGCCTAGGTTACAAAAATGCCAACCTTGATGCTTCCTCGAAATATCAGTCATTATATTCTATCGCAATGTCCGGTCGTAATGGTAAGGAAAAGATGTTACTCCAAGTGCACAGTGGAAACCAAACAGGTGACGCTCGGCTTCCCCTATAAGCAAGGGTGATACAGAGTTCCGACATGGAGAGCAGCGCATCCGATGGCTGAAACCGGGACTGTTAGATTTTCCAAGAACACCGCCCCTCAGAAAGTCTTACTGTGAGGAAACACGTGACTCGCCCCGCGGAAAGGAACAACTCCTCAGACGCGATAGAAACTCTACCTGCTTTGAGGCAGCCAATGTCCGTATTCAGGATTGGGGAAGAAAGTCTGAGGTGAATGGCAGAGCGCCCAACGCCCATTGGTCGAGAGCCTGCGGGAGCGCTACCTTGACCCTTGAACCCCACGCAAACATCGCCGTCGACTTCGTCCAGAAAAGGTAGCAAGTTCTGCATAATGTTCTATCCCTTATCCACTATCATAAGCCAATCTGTTTTCAGACTCCAGGGAACACCGTAACTTTCCCATTCTGATTCGCAATTGATGGTCGACTCGACCAATCAATGCACAGTAGCTATGATGCGTTACGCGCGGGTTGGGGCACTCTTCGATGCTACTCTTCCACCAGTCTGCAACATCGAACGACTTCGCCACCCTCATACATGCATATTCTGTACCAGGAATCTGAGTACTAAGGCTTACTCGTCGTTTCGCTGCTGTACGGCTCAGGTATCAGTTATGGATTAACGATCATAATGCACGTCCTGATCAATGAGTTATAAGGCAAGCCTTAGGACCCCCATTTGTTCATCATCATCACTCAAGTTCAATCCAAACAACAAACTCTCATTACCAGACACTTCCAGGTGAAGCCGGCCGGTCCTTACATTCTTATTCTTATTACTACTACATATTCATTTGCCACTATCCTTTAAACTTATCAATCAAAATGGCCCCTATCTTCAAGATCGTCCTTCTCCTCAACCGTAAGAGAAAAGCGTCCTATCAAATTAGATATAGTACTTACAGAACTAGTCTCTCTCTTCGCAGCTGCTCAGGGCACTAAATTCATCACCCAGGAATGCGCGTCGGATGCCGAATGTGCTTCCGGCTGCTGTGGATTCAACTCGAACAAATGTGCCGGCCCTAAAGTGGCATTGGAGCGTGATGGCGGCTGCGGTGCCGGTGACGCTCAGCCCAACGATAATGCAGCAAAGGCCCTGGATGCCGCGAATGGCGTTGTCAACAACGACGGCAATGGAAATGGCGTCCAGAATGGCAACCAAAACCAGAACCAGAACCAGAACCAGAACCAGAACCAGAACCAGAACCAGAACCAGAACCAGAACCAGAACCAGAACCAGAACCAGAACCA